GATTCGCCCCGCGAAACTCGTATATGCGCGTCCTCGTCTCTCTCGCGGCGATCGAGGGCGACCGAGAGAGAGAGGGGAAGAATGCGTTTCCTTATCGCACGGGGTTCCTGCTTTTCGATTCCCTCCAATCTTGGCCGATTCGTCTCCGAGCCGCTTCCCACGCGGCCGGGAATCGGGGGACGAGATGCAGAACAGAGCGCGGAGGATTTGGCCAAGTGGAGAACACTGGAGAACGGTGGAGAACGCTAAATGAGTCACGAACACCTGATTTGGCCGTCGAGCGGGACGCACCCTAATTTTGTCGGCCTCGATCCTGACTCATCCGTGATAATAGACCCGGAGGATGTTTATAGACACCCGGTTTTTTTTTTTTTTTTAAGGCCCTCTTCCGTCGGCGCGGCCGGTGGTCTTGCGCAACGCCGCCGCGCGGAACGTCCTTCCCCGAAGGACGGACGCTCCTGGAAGGGCTCGTCCCTGGCTCCTCCTCGGGGTCCTCGGAGTGCCGGGGATATTTTTCCCTGGAAGAGGGGACCATTACCGGGTCGGGGGAATTTTTTTCCGATTTTTCTCACCGCCACAGGGAGCCGGGCGAATTTATTTCCTGGGAGGTTCGGCGGGACTCCGGCGCCGCGGTCCTTGAAAGTAGTCACCGAGTGGGACCTTCCGGAGTATTGATTGGGCTCATCTTCCGCATCTCTCGTGCTAATGGACGTACAATGGCTTGTTTTGTCAGCGGGGAAAGTCCTCCTTCGAAGGACGAATCGGGAAGGATGCTCCGGGAATAGGCATCGACGGTTTCGAGGTTATCCTAGGCCGCGTGGGAGGACAAACTCGATTTGCATTCCGATGAGAAATCGCCTCGTCCATTGGTGTTCTTTTTTATTTGTGGGATTTGTTTTTTCTTTTTTTTTTTTTTTTAGGGGGACTCCGAGTCGCGTTAATCAAATGTTTGTTCGGCACGATTCTCCGCGGATGGGCCGATATTAATTCCAGCCAGGAAGCCGCCGCGTCCTTTACGCGGCTCCGTGGCATTTTTCCTTTCCCTCTGTTTCTTTTTTTATTCTTTTTCTTTTGCCTCCTTTGATGATTCAACGCGCGGCGTAACGCCGTCTAAAACTTACGTCAGCTAGACCGCGAGTTTCGAGGCCGAGTCGGCCACGTGGGTGGACGTCGGCGTTCTTGAAGAGCAAGGCAAAAGGGAGCCACGTGGTCCCTCAGATGGGCAGAGCCTCCTCTAAGAGGGAAATCGAAGCGTGGGTCGTGGTCGTTAAAAAGGAGCGAGGAGAATAAAAAAAAAATCAATTTCACCTTAAAGATAACATTAGCCGTCGATTTTCACCGTTTCATCCGTCAGCAGGTCGAATCGCACGAATCACCTGGGGGTACGGTGGTTGAAATTAATCGGAGGTATTGCGCTTTTCGGAGATTCATTCGAAAAATAAATGGAATAAATTGTCGCTGACATTTCGCTCGGTGCCCGTAATGGGAGCTCCGGTAAAAATGGCAGATGGACGAGACTCGAATCCCCAATGAGGGGGAAGGACCAGGAGCACCGGCCAGAACGAAAACGAACGAGGTTAGGACGACCTGGAAAAGAGAGAGGGGAATGGCCCTCGAAGAGGAGCGCATCCGAGGCGTCCTTCGACGACCGCCACAGTTTGCTGACCTTTTGGCGAGCGAGCGAAAGAGGAAGAGGCCGAGAGGGGGAAGGACGGAGGACGAAGGAGGGGAGGAAATTGATAAGGCGATCTGCCGGGGTAGGGGAAGACCAGGGACGATGATCTCCGGAGGTGGGACCAACTCCTGAGGAGTCGCCGGCTCCCTCTCAGGGTCAAGGCCACCGCGCCAGTTCGAAACCCCGGAAGCCGCCTCTTCTCCCATTATCTCGATTTTCCTCGGCGAGGACTAATTTCGCAGGAATCGGAAATTCCGAGATCCAGGATCTAATTTCTGAAAGAGGAGGAGTAGATGGAAATCGATAGGACGGAGGTGGGACCACCTCTTGCGGGGTGGCGGCAACCCTCTCAGGGTCAAGGCCACCTCCCGAGTCCGAAACCCCGGAGGCTGCCTCTTCGCCGATTACGAGTAAATCCGACGAATCGATCCTTCCGCCTATTTGTTAATTTTTTTCTTCCTTTCTTCCACTTTCCTTCCCGAGCATTAATTTCGCAAGAAATCGCGGATACTCGCCGGGACCGGTCCCTCGGGATTTCGCGACTCGCAGGGGGAGGGAGAGGACCGGTCCCCCCTCCGTCGATGACGAAACGGGAGAAGCGAGTAGCGTCCTTTATTTTCCTCGAGATTTCAGGGGGACGTCGCGTCGATCGGGGGTCGTCGACCTGCCGAGCGACTTTTCGACTTTTCTTTCTCGAGGTCGCTCGAAAATCGATTCTTCTCGACGGGTCGCCGCTCCGGGTATCGTCGCTCGGGTCCCTCTTCCCCTGGTTTCGTCGAACCTGGCCCCGCTCCTCCTTAAAGCGACGCCAGAGCCGCTCTCTCTCTCTCTCTCTCTCTCTCCGTCTCTTTTCGAGGCCGCTTTTGGCGCGCCCAAAGACGCCGCGATAAATCGCACCAGTCGGGCCCGACGACGTAAATCGAGCACCGAGTGAAACTTTTCGCCCATCCCGAGGCCCTCTCGAGGCGCCTCCGCGATCGACACCGGATACTTCCTCTTCTTAAGAGGGGCTTTCTATTTAAATAGGACGAGAGAAGGAGCGACGTCGCGCTCTCGACGCACCTCGGGGGACGCCGCGGCGGAGGCTCCTGCCAAACGAGACCTCGACGCGCTCGTTCGCCGATTAATCGCGATAATTCGCCGATTAGGATGCGGATCGAGATTAACGGTCAACGGTTTCTCAGGAAGCGGAGGTGTAACGGCTCTCCAAGTCGCGTGGAATCGCATTGTTCCCACGGGAAGGTGGTTACGGTCAAACCCCGACGCAATTATCCCGGGCAAGGTGCGTGGCCTTTGACCACCGTTCTCCAAGATGGCGGACCACGGACAAGGAGAGGTCCCGCTTCTCCGGCTGGGTGAACCTCCAGTTCGAGTGTGCACAAACAAAATTAACGGGGTTATTGTAATGTTTCCGTGATGTAGATGTTCTGCCAATTTTTTTTTTTTTTCACAAAAACTAGAGCGGTAAAAAAATTTAGAAATTCCGAAAATTACCGTTTTCACGTTTTCGAGGCTCGGCATTTTCCTAGTGTCGGAGAACTCACGAACGTCTACATCACAGAAGGATTCCAATGAGCCTGTTAATTTTTTTTGTCCAACTCAAACTGGATTACAGGTTCATATAGTCTGCTTCTATGGTCTGGGATTTCGCCGACCATGGAACCGTTCCTTCCTTTGTTCCATCTCCTGGTCTGGGTCCATGGTGTCCGGACTTCCTCGGCCTCCTGCCGTGAAAGGACGAGGAGTTTCGAGGACCCTGAATATGGACAAAAACCGCGTTTCCGAGCTTTGGGTTTCACTTTCCGAGCAGGGCTCCCAGGAAGGGCTAGGTGGAAGAGGAGGTCGGAGGTCCCTCTTGTCCGGGACTAATGAACGCCCTTAAGAGGCTGCGCCTCGCGGGACCGAACCTTAAGTGGAGTAGCGAGGATGCTGGAAGGATGCCGGACCAGGAAGAACCAGGAAGGATCCCGGGCAGCGACGCTGTACAGTATGTACGGCATGCGGCGTACGGTCTCTCCTTCGTCCGGAGAGGGAGAAGTAAATCCCTGGCCCTTTGACCAGGGGTCATCGATCCCGGGTACGGTTTCACCTCTGGAGAACAATTACCCCGGGTACCCCTGGGATTATCGTCGATTTTTATCGGCACCCTGGACCGTTGCATCGGACTATCCCCCTGCAGGTGGAGAACAGACGAGAACGAGGAACGTCCCCTTTGAGGACTTGGTCCACCGTCTAGTAACCCGGACCTAGGGTCCCCAACCACGGGATACCCTCCCTTGGTTCCTGTCTCTTGAAGAAGAAAAAAAGAAAAATTGCCCCGGTGATGGAACATCCGAGTTATATTTCCAAGCTCGCAGCACACTTTCCGGGACCCTCCGAGGAGTTTGCCCGCGCGAGAAAAGTCCGCCTCGGAGACGCCTCTCGGAGAAAGTGCATGGCTTTCTACAGCATCCGATCGGTATGCGATGTCGGGATCACTCGGGCCCGTTTTCGCTGGTTTTCGAGGACTCACGGGAGCCGTTCCCCCGGGTCTCCGGATCCCAGGCTGACGCGAAACGAGGGTCGATGGAGTCCCTGGGGACTGAGAAATAAAGGGGGCGTCGAGGGTTTCGGGATCCCGGAGGACTCTGGAGTTTGGGCATATGGCTCCTCGGGTCCTGTTCCTCGGGGAAATGGGGAAACAATGGGGAAATTGTGCGCAATCGGTCAGGCCTTGCGGGACTCCTCGACTGGCTCTTGCGCTCTTGCTGGAAGCGGCCATGTTGGGTGGTTGAACCTAGGGAGCCGAGGCATTTCTCTCGGTTGGGCATGTCCGAGCTTCCTCGTCGCACTCCCGTCCAGGTGGCCTCTTTTCCTCTCCCTCCCTTCCTCCTCCTCCTCTTTCTCCCGCGGCGAGCCAAAAGTCATAAACCTGGATGCCTGGTGGCCGTTGATGGCTCGAAGAGAGCGAAAGAGGGGGAGGGAACAAAGGGGCCTTGGACCGATCTCATCAGCGGCCAAGATGGCGGCGGGCCCGCTGACTCCTGGTGCGTAAAATTGCGGCGCCTTCGGGCCCCCTGGCCCGGCTCCCGTGTCGGCTCCCAGGCTTCCAGGAAGGTCGTCTCTCCCTCGAGTACCCTCCCCTTCGTGCTTTCGCGGTTTTGCCCTTCTCGCGCCATGTTTTCTCTACTTTTTTTTTTTCCCTCCACCTTTCTGCCCTCCTCCCGTGTCTCCGTTCGCGCTTTCGCGGTTTTGCTCCTCTCGCGTTTTCTCTCGTCGGTACCCCTCGTCCCCTGGGAATCCTGACTTTGGAATAATTCGAACTCTTTTCCTCGGTTCCTTGCAGGGGGAAGTACGCCACGGTGAGGAGATGCCGAGAGAGGTCCAGCGGCACCCAGTGGGCCGCCAAGTTCCTGAGGAAGCGACGAAGGGCCCAGGAACTTCGAGCCGAGGCACTTCACGAGGTGGCGGTGCTGGACGCCGCCGCTCCCTGTCCAAGGCTCGTCTCCCTTCACCAGGTCTTCGAGACCAGCACCGAGATGGTCCTCGTCCTCGAGCTGTAAGCACCCCGAGTTTACTGCTCGATCCCTCGCCACTTGGACTCCGTCGCTATATCTCTTCCTTTTTTCTACTCTACAGGGCTCCCGGAGGTGAACTCCAGATGGTCCTCGACAGGGACGAGGTCCCGGAGGAGCGACAGGTCGCCAGGCTGCTTCGCCAGATCCTGGACGGCATCGCTTGTCTGCACTCCCTGAACGTGGCGCACCTCGATATCAAGGTGAGTCCTGGTATGGTCCGGGTGATCGCGAGGGGTCCTTACCCAATGCAACGGCGAGACGAGTCCTGGGGGGACTCGGTCGGCGCCGGCGTCGCTTGACCGGCGTCCAAGCCGGGGGCTAACGTCCGATCGGCGCTCTAGAGACTCTAGAGACTTTAGAGACTCGGTCCGACCCAGATTGTTATGCAAATAACGAGCGGTCCTGCCAACTGCCGGATTAGAAACGGATTGGAGGCAACGGGGCGCCGCCCTGGCCGAGGAATTCCGAGGTTACCGGGCTGCAGTGGTATCGGGAATCCCCGTCTAGGGGAGTCTAGAGGGAATCCCAGACCCCCATCGGGGTTATCGATATCATCGTCACCAATTAAATTATCGCCTAATCGACTCCCATCGTTCGCACTTTGTCTCTAAATTTTTATGCGACCATCCTTGAAAATTCGATTTTTGGCTTCGGATCATTTTTGGCGTAGGTACACGGGTTTTCGCGTTTGCCAATTCCCGCGGAAGAAAAAGAAAAAAGGGGAAAAAAAATATAATATATCGAAACGGGCGAGTCAAGGCGAGCCGGCGAATCGGCGAGCGTTTCGCGCGAATTAATGATACCCGCGACACCCACCTCCCGGGATTTTTCAACCCGGCCGAGATTGCGATCTCCATTATGCAACCCAATTACCTTTGCGTTTCGCAAATTGCCGTTAACTCGCCGGAGAGAGGAGGGAAGGGAGGGAGATAGAGAAAGGGCAACGGAGACGGATGGAGATGAAGTCGCGAGCTGGATAGAGACGGATAGACCCGGAGAGCGTGTGCCGGGTTTTATCGTACAGTTTTTACTTTTTAATCCCCGTAGCCGCATATTTTCTTTCATCTCACCGCAAATGTGTTTGCGGAACTTTCAAGCGCGATCTTTCGATATCTCTCCTCACCCCGAGAGACTTCTCGAGTACGCGATCATCGCGGACGCGTATATCGCCCCGATAACGAGGATTTTCGTTCCTACGCAGTATTTCCCCCCTTTTACCGAAGATAACCGATTCTTTCTTCCCACTTAACCGACTAGCGACTCGATTTTTCCCAACACTCGGCTAATTAGTTGGAGTTAATTGCTCCTTCTCCCTCTCTCCCTCTCAAAGCAGATATTTCCCTCCTCTCGTGGCGCCATCTACCCGGCGGGGTGCTAACTTCGCGAAGCGACCTCCCCGAGGGGATTTCCCACCTCGACGGATTTATCGCCTAACCTGGTGTATGGAAAAACAATGCACGTTGTAGATAAAAAATGACTGTACGGGATTTCGTGATAAATAAGAAGAATTATAATTCCAACGAATTTTAGGGAAATAATTGAAACGCGGCGGGAGTACGCGCGAGAGTACTTCCCCTCTACCTTGCATGGAACGCTATTCTCAGATGCCCATTCAGGATCTCGCCGACTTTGAGAATGACTCCAGGCAGGGTTCCCAACAAAGAAAGCCGAGAGCCGCCTTCCGTTCCGGCCTTATCGCCCGTGATAAGGATTTTTCGGGCCGTCGCGGGATTTTTTCCTGCTCTCGTTTATTCCCCCTCCCTCGACCTCTCTTCTTTCTCTCGCCGCTAATTAGCGCATTCCTCCTCGGGCTACTCGAATGTCGCTCGCCTCGGGATTCCTCGGACGTCCCTGCGGGGAATCCTGAGGGAAACCTGAGAGTTTCTCCCGGTTTTGCTGAAACTCGCGAATGCCGGGTGTCTTATCGCGGGTCCATTTTCCTACGGCTTAGCAAGTTACTCCATATTATCGGCCGAATTGTCGTAGGCTCTCCGAAGTGGAGGGAAATTATTTTATCGGACATTAATTCCTGACTTTTAATTCGTTAATTAATTCATTAATTTTTTTTTCCTTTCATCGATTAAGAGTGGACGTTTACAACGACGCCCTGGCATTCGATACGAGCCTGTTATCAGGCGTATCGCGAAGTTCGTCGCAAGAAGAGATTTCGTGCGATCGGCGCACCGGAAGTGCGTCGAAGTTCCTCTCTGGGAAGTGATAAGACGGATATTCGTCATGATTTTATGCCCGTCTCGCGGATCTTTTAACATGCCGTGATATTGCGGGGGATATTTTTTTCGTCGGATATTTTGGAAATTGTATCCCCCCTGGGAGTCCCGGGGATCTTCGGAGCTCCTCGAGAAATAGGCTCTGGGATTCCTTCCGATTTTTCCAGACCGCCGCGAACTCTCGGGGATGCATATAGAATGCTCACGGTTATGAATGGAAAAAAAATCTCGGGGGAATTCCTTGGCGAGTCTCCAGGGCCCTCATTGGCTGGGAGCCCACGAATCCCGGCGCCGCTCTCTAAAGCCGTGTTTACACGGGGGGATTTAGGTCCTCTCTTGATTGGCACAATTTTTCCCCGATGCAAAAAGAAGGCATGGCCCTGTTTTGTAATTAATCCCGGTACTGGGAATAATGATAGATTTGATTATCCCGACGAGTGTGATTTTTTAGAGGGAGATTTTAATGCCGGTCGCATGTCCGAGAGTCCGTTGACAGTGAATTTTGGCCGGCGCTGTAGTTAAGAGGCCATTTGTGCGGCCGGCTTCCAGTCGACGCACCCTGCGATATTTCTAGTCGAGGAATGCCAAAAGGAGGCTAGAAAGGGAGAGATAAATGAAAGGGAGGGAGGAGACCGGAGAGGGGGAGAACTTTTGGCGAGCGTGTAATAATCCCGACGGCGCCGAATGCGTCGCTCTTGACTTTCCATTTGTCAGAGTCGGGAAACAAAAGTACCGGAAAGGGCTTCCGCAATTTTTTTTTTAACGTCAGATGGAAGAGGAGTCGAGAAAGACCGACGATTGTCCGGTAAATTTCTCTACTTCGGGGAATGCTCCACATTTCTTTTCGGGGAGTCACCGGATTGGAATGGTCCTGGACATCTGTTTTCTGTCTCCCTCTTGCGCGTGGGGGTTTAATGCGGAGCGAGAGAGACGCGAGACGGCGGACGTAGGCACGCGCGCCGCAGCTGTACTCTCTTTCTGCCGATAATGCGTGTCTGGGTTCCCCTCGGCCCTGAAACGCGCCGGAAGTTTCAATGAGACCGGAAGACGGGGATCCCCCTAAACGGAGACTCCGGTTGGTTAAAAAGCGTCCGCAACGTGTCTGGCTTAAACGAGTCGGACCGGGGAGTGGAATTGCCGCGGAAATTGCAGGGAATGCCTGCTCGTTATTTGGCCGTCTACACGTCTACGACGCAATTCGACGCGATCGGACGCATTAATCGATGCACATTGGCCCCACCTGAAGCTAATCCAGATAAGCGTTCCTTATCGATTTACAGTGAAATAAAAGTGAACGAGCCTATAAGGCGAGATCCGTTGCCGGCCATAATAAAAGGTAGAAAAATATAACTAAACTTCCATCCGCCTCGTGGGTTTTACAATCAAAATCCACTTTTTTTTACTAACCTTCGAATGACGACATCTCGCGGTCAAGCCACGCAGCTGATCCAGAATCGGCGCCATCTCTGAGCCCCCTCGCGAACCCTGTACCCGATTTAGAGAGAGACGAGTGCGTAACTATTTATTTTCCGAGGAATCCCGTTAATGAGAAAATGATAGATAACGTAATAGAGCGAGGTCGGTGGATTTGAGACCGTTTCCCTGGGAATGTTGATTATTAAACCGGGAATGCTTTAATATCTGACGGTTTTTTTATTTTTTCTCTTTTGTGAGGCTTGTTTTTTGCCTTCGGCCGGGCGAGGAGGAATCTTAATTATGTTTTAACGATGTCATAATTACCTCGTGGGTTAAGCTAGGCTGGGATTACTCTCGACTTCACTCGAGGGAGTCCGTTCGACAGTCGGGTCACGTCCGGCGCGTAACTCGGAGTAACGAAACGTAACGCACAAACCGAAGAGAGCAGAGCCGAGTTGCCGCTCGAGCGGGTCCGGTTTAATTCCCTCAAGTGGTGTAAGTGGAGTAAATGAAATCAATGAAACAAACGAGAGGCCCGCCCCCGCTCCCTGGGAGTCCCAGGGCGCGATTTCATTTGTTTCATCCTAACCGCCGGAGGTAAGGAGGTAAGGAGGTAAGGAGGTGTGTGTGTGTGTGTGTGCACACATATTAATTGCAGGTATCGCGCAAAGAGCGAGATTACGGCACGTAATGCGCGAAAACGAAAAGTCCAGCGGAGACGTGAATAAAATCCCGAGGAAAATTTTATAAATTATGATATCTCTTTTATAACAATCTAGTTGACATTACTTTACCGGGGGTGGATCGAAATCCAGGGGTTTGCCAGGAAGAGGGGAGGAATAAATCGAGCGGATTAGGGGCGGCCATTTTCCCCCCGAATGCCGGGGCCCTTTTTCGCGTTCCTTCCTTCTTTCTTTTTTTTTTTTCCCCATCCGGCAACAATCGAACAATGCTCCTGGAGAACGTGTGCGGCAGTTGGCACCCCCCCCCCCCCCCTCGAGGCAACGGCGACAACGGCAACAACGACAACGGCAACAACCACCGGGCCCCATTGTCGGGCCTAGGACCCGGACTCGAACTGGTTTACGACCACCTAGGACGACTGTGAATTATGTTTCCAGGACGACGCACTCGGCCCATTGTTGCCGTTTTAACGGAAGGACGCGGGGGAGGGGCCCCTCCTTATCGGGGGAGTTGCGAGACCGATTATTATTCCGCGATTAATTGCCCGAAGAAACGAGACGGACTTCCTTCGCGATTCTGAACTCGATTCCCCCGTAGAGATTTGAAATTAAGATGCCGGATGATAATTGGAGAACGGAGGCCTTCGACTTCAGGTTCCCATATTTATTTATTTATTTATTTTTCATTTTTTTCGATCAGCTGTTCCATGACGTAAGGACCTCGTTATCCGATTTTTCCGATTTCTTTTCTCTTGTGTTATCGAGTGTCGCGAGTCGCTCCGGCGGCTTAATAAATTAATCTCGTCAATAATTGTGAGTGTAATCCGGAGTTATTTAATCGTTTTTCCCATTTTTTCGTGATTTCAGCCCCAGAACCTGGTTTTGACCGGCGAGTTCCCTGACTGCGACGTCAAGCTCTGCGATTTTGGGATTTCCCGGTACATCAGCCAGGGCGCGGACATCCGCGAAATTCTGGGCACGCCTGATTATGTCGGTGAGTTGTCTGGATTGATTTTTCAGTTTTTTTAGCGGCAAAGATACGTCGCGGACGATTTTTTTTCTATGACTCTTTACAAAGAGACCGCCGCCGACCAAGAGAAACTCAACCTGTTGCGCGATCGGACGGAAAGGCGGCACTTCTTGCTGGCGAATTATTCGCCAATCGGAATCCTAACCCTTTACGAGCGGTGCTTTCGGGCTTAATTGGCAATCAATAATTACGACCGATTGATTAATCAAGGACTCTTCTCTCGCCCTCTCCTCCCTCGTGGCCGATTATTCGAATCGTCGAGCGAGAGTAATTAAAAAAAAAAAAAAAAAACTTGTAGAAAATTGAAAACGTTATGCAAAGAAAAAAAAATAGAAAATCGCAAATAAACATTTTTTTTCAGCCCCAGAAGTCCTGAATTACGAGCCCATCAGCCTGGCCACGGACATGTGGTCCGTCGGTGTCCTCCTCTACGTCCTGCTAACAGGATGCTCGCCTTTCGGGGGTGACACCAAACAGGAGACCTTCTGCAACATCAGTCGATGTCGCCTCGACTTCCCGGACGACCTGTTCGAGGACGTGTCCGAGGAGGCCCGGGATCTGATGAGAAAGCTCATGGTCAAGGACCCAAGGTAACGAGCCCCTTAAAAATGAGGGAAGGGAAGCGATTATAAGTTCCACTGATAAGGGAGGGAAGAAAAACGAGTTCCGGTCGCGCTATCCATCTTCCGGATACCCGGGAGGAAGCGACCGTTTCCGGTCTCCCCTGGCCAGTTCCGCTCGTCCGTGATAACCCGCGTTATCAATCCCCTTTGTTTGTCCGCGACCTCTATGATACAAATTTTTGATGGATTATCTCCTAGAACGATTAATAGAAAAGAATGTTTTTTAAATTTCCAGTGAAAGGCTGACCGTGACGGAGTGTCTCCAGCACCGGTGGTTCACGATGTTCGACGACCCGGAGGCCCCTTTGCCGGTCCCAGGACCGACGAAGGAGGAGGTTTCTTCGGAATCCTCGTCAGGATCTGCCACGAGTCCGGCGAGGGCGCAGAGTCCGGAGCCAGGGAAGGTCGAGGCGGCGAAATCGGTCCAGGAGACGAAGACGGCCTCTTCGACGAGTCCTACGACGCCCAGGGCGGTGTCCTCGCACACGGAGAACATCTACTCGAAGCCGAAGAGCGCCCCGATGCCGGTGAGGATCGGGCTGAGTCCGGATCGACGGGACACCTTCAAGAGGAACATGGAGAGTCTGGCGAGGAAGTTCTCGGGAGGCGCCGAGATCGTCGTCCTGGAGGCGACCGGGGTCCAGGGTCCTCATCAGAGAAGAGCCACCGGGAACCACACGATGCCTGCCGGGGAGGTCTTCAAGTGCACGCCGGTCTTTATCCTGGGAGAGGAACAGCAGTGCGACTCGGGCAGCGACACCGTCTCCGAGGTCTCCACCGACAGCTCAAGCGACAGGAGCAGCATCTACTCGGACGACTCCCTGGACTTCGTCCTCTATGGGAAGTCCCAGGCCAGGGCGAGCTTCCCGTTCGCCGTGGGGGAGGGCGAGAGGTGGCCCGACCAACGGCGGAGTCTGCAGCAGCAACAGCAGCTGCAACAGCACCATCGCCAGAGGATCTGGCCCAGGGAGTGCAGCGGAGTAGTCAGCAAGGCCCTCAGTCGGTTCTCCAGCGAGCCGAAACCCTCCAGCAGAGTCGGACCACCCTCCACCAGCAGGGCCAAGACTGGACTGGAGGCGCTCAGGGAACGGGGGGGCAACCTGGTGGTCATCAGGGAACCCGTTCGCGCCGGCAGGTACACCAGGTACAGCGAGGTCCAGTGCGAGTCCGTCCAGGCCAGGATTCGCAGGTTCCAGGTGCAAGGCGCTTCCTAGAGCGAGGCTCGTAGATATTGCTGACTCCGAAGATGCTGGGAGGAGAGATGAAGACGTTTCCGGCATGGAGGTGCTCGGAGGAGATGATGGACCATGATGAACCTTGATGGAACCTGATGGTACCCGATGCACCATGATGGACCATGAAGAAGCACTGGAAGACCAGGAAGCGCCACGAAGAACCGTTCTCCATCGGACCCCCCGTACTTGTACTTATCGAGTAGAGTCTTCGGCCTCTCCTCGACGTTCACCGGAAACCGGAAGCTCTCCGGCTTTGTACATAGAATGTTGTATGATAGCGCGCTCGGGGGTTCCAGAGGGATCCCCTTCAGATGAGACCGGGGCGGGGCAAGGATCTTCCCCGGGTGTTCCTCTCGTTTTTCAATCTTCCACTTTTTCCTCTCGTTCTCCAGGATACCGGGGAGATCCTTCCTCCGCTCTTCCGGTCACTTGGGAGACTGGCGAATGTCGTGTAAATAGGACAGGTCGGCCAACCTGGAGAGGTTCCTCGACCTTGTATATAGACGTTAGATTAGGTTAGGGAAAAGGTGCCTGCGTAAGGATGGGGCGAGTGGGGGGACCGAGAGGATGCGGAAACGAGGATGCGTTCTAACGGCAGTCCCGACTGTCTGCCGATTTTGATAGACTGATTACGACCGCGACTCCGGCCGAGTCTCACCCCGGTGGCGGGAATCTTGAAAAGTCAGGAAATCTCGATCTCTTACCCGGGACCAGGGGATGGTCTTTTGACACTCTTGTCACTCTGATATCCCGATCGCTTATCAACCCGGTGACACTTGGCAGGATCCGGTTTCGAGATCGCTAATCGATCACTCGGTGCCTTTGTCGCGATGACACTCGAGGGGCGATCATCGTCTCTCCGACTCACTCGAACGGTTTCTCGCGTTTTCTCCTTTTCTTGGCTTTCCTCCTATACACGGAGACTCGAGATATATTTCAGAGCTATTTATATACATATTTATATTTACACGGATTTTCACGTCGACCGGACTGGGAAAAGGATGCTTGCGAAGGGGGACGCCTTTCGAGTGAACTCCGAAAAATTCGGATTTGATTTGTTACAATTCATCATTGGAATTCTTATCCTCGGCCAGGTCGCTTTGGGGAGATAAAGTGGAACGTGGGGAAACCGATGTCCGGCCACCTGGGAAATTGTCGGATTTTCCTGGGTCGCCAGTTTTGCACGAATTTCCGAAATTCTGCTCACACACTGATCCACACACACACACACATGTATACACGATTCACAATTTTCGAATCGTCGGATTCGGAATTTTGAGGACAAGACTCGGAAAGTTTCGAAGTCGTGCCTTAATCGCGCATTCGCGATCCTTATCGAGCTTGTAATCCTCTAATCCAAGATTCGAGAGTTTAGTACGTAATCAGCCTACGAGTGTCCTTAATTATCTCCAGCGATTCCACGTGCACCGAATTTCGTAATCGTGGGAAAATTCGTAAGAGTCCCTTCGACGAGGAGGAAAGAAAAATGAAATGGTAAAAAAAAAAATTAAAGGATTGGTCCTTCGTGCGAATTCCTACCGAAGAGGAGCGTATAAGGAAGTGGGAGATGATTATTAGGAAAAAAAAAAAAAGAAAAGAAAATTAAGAGGGAGAGAGAAAAGTATGTGCGAGGTGGCGATAAGGAATTTCGGGCCAATCGGTGATTCTCTCCCTCTGATTTTTTTAATTCGATAATTCGGGCCCAGCAAGCGATAATGAGGTTATCTAATTTATTTTGGAAAATGCTGCCAAATTTTCGCGGAGCTCCGGTGCGAGGGGTGGGGTCGGCAAATCGGCCGTTTCGGAAACGAGATTTTCTTGATATTTCGATTTTCTTGAGGTACTTTTAAATGCTAGTCACGAGTTCGTCCCTTTTTCTCTCTCTTTTTTTTTTTTCGTTTTTTCCTTTCGGCCGATAAGGCGTTGATAACGCTACGGACACATTCCCATTGGCCGAGGTGCCAACGGGAAATTCGTGTCCGCTCTTTCGACCCAAAATCGGGAAAGAGGATGGTAAAGATATACGTAATCAACTTTTTTTTTTTAATGGTTTTAATTAACAAAAATTTCATCACCTGCGATCTGAGGTGACTGTACCGAATTTATTACGCCGGCGACATATCCCGCGAGCTTTTGTAATTATTACAAAAGCGTTGATTAAATCGGTTAGACTTGTAGTCGACAATCATATCAAAATGGCTAGTGATAAGGCTGTGATGAATTCAGTACGGGAACGTTGAGAAACGGTGTCGGATCGAGTCGTCGACCAGTGGTTGATCGGGAAAAGCTGTGAGGAAAAACCTTAATCCGTCCCCAGAGAAGGAAAAAAAAAAAGAAATGAAAATGCTAGACAATTTTTACACGGTTTCGCAAATTGTTCTCTCGAATGTCTTCGGGATTTCGCAGGAACTCGCCTCCGAAACTTAAATTAAAAAAGGGGAAAGGAAAGGCTATATTTACAGGGGATTTTCTCAGGCATGGATGCAAGTTTATTATGTATGTATATATATAAAGAAAAAGGAACACGCACATAAAACACACAAATTTACACACACACGATCGTGGAGACGTCGCGGGAAATGCGAGGAAAACGCGAGCAAGGGTTCGATACCAGGCGGATCGCGGTGTTTCTTCTTTTTCTTCTCTTTTTCTTCTTTCTTTCGTGTAAAATATATACATAAATATATATATAAATATATTTTATAGCTTCGCTACGTCGCAATGTCGAGGGGTCGCGCGTCCGGCGAGCTATTTATTAACAATTTCCCCCGTTTATCGTAATTTTGCAGATTCGCCACCTTTTGGTATTCGTCTCTCGCCTTGCCGGGACATAAATGAATAAATAAATAATCTCCGGCACGGACGTGGCCCGCTCGTCCGATTGCGGTTAATTATTAATTGTCCTTACAGTTTACTCTGTCCCTATTAATTAAACAAATATTATTTACGCTATTACTGTAACGTTTATCATCGAAAAGGAAGACGATCGCGCAGGCGTGCTGAAAGTACCCCTCGTCACCCCTCCCCGTGTACATAGCTCTTCAGTTATTGCATTAATATTAAATAACGCATATGAAATAAATAAATAAATAAAAACTTGATTAACCTCGATGTTCATTTCTCGCCGTTTCCGGAAACCGCAATTCTCAGCCGTCGATTTTTCTTACCTCGGCTATCGCGCGATGCTTCGTGAATTCTTTCGTATTTTATATTGATGTTTACGAAAATTTAATTTTTTTCAAGCCCCTTGTGCATGATCGGGATTAATGTCGAGGTGCATCACGGGAAATCGACATTCAGGCGCAGTTCGACTTCTTGTAGCACGTCGATGCATCGCGAGTTGCAGTTCTTCAGGGACGATAAAAGAATTCAACCGGACTGCTTCGTAAAAAAATATTTATTTCTGTCGAACTCCTGTCTTAAAAAAAAAATCGAAGAGACTGAGAATTTAAGGGCGTTTGGAAAATAGAGAAAGAAGACGCGAGGTTAAATTTCTTTGTATTTCTATGAATTTTAGTGTTGCATTAATTACTGATTTTTATGGATTTGCACATGTGTGGGTAAATCGGCGGAAATTCATTTTCTCTCCTTCGACCTCGAAAGCGAAGGCACGGGATCCTACCTCGAGAGTATTTCCCTGGAGCCTTGTAAAAAGGGAAAAGAGAAAAACGGGAAAAATGGGGGGAGGGGGAGCGGATAGAAAAAAAAAACTCGAACGAGTCACCAGGGAGCGATCGGTCGCTTTTATGGTCGCAGAAGTGGACGAAACTTTTATTTCTAGGACGAGAGCGTCGCCGCAGGTGTTCCGCGTCGGAAACGCCGCATGTGTCATTCCCGTTGGCTCTTGGCTAACGGGAGCGCCGAAAGGGGACATTGCTCGTTTCCGGCGAACAATGGGAAATAGTTAACAGCCTACGAACGTCCCGGAAATCGCCGAGAGACGGCCGAGAAACGGTATGGAACGATCAGCCGGAAATAACGTCGACTTTTAATTAATTAATTATTTCAAGTAATTAGAGATCGAAAAGGGGACGCCTGACGTTCGAGGTGGAATTTCCTCCTTCGATATTAATGGGAAGCGAGAAAAAAGACGCGGAATTTCGGGGCGATGGAGGTCTCCGTTTTTCTTTAGGCGAAGGAGGGAGAGGACGACAAAAGAAACGGAGATCAGAGGGGGCATCCTCGCTTCCGTGACAAGGCGGCGATAAATAATTCAACGGAGCGTCCTCGCTGGGATAAACAATGTCTTGTCGACCGGGCATTCTTTTTCTTTTTTTCTCCCGAAATGTTGCCTTTATTTCGATTCCGACGTCGCAGGCTCGAATATTCTTGAAATTTACGCGAAGAGGCGGGATAAAAAGGGGACGCGAGATGAGCGCCGCAGAGGCCGCCATGGAATGTAGAATTTCCGCTCGTTTGTGCGGTAATTTCGACGATTTCTTGGTGGATATGCAAAGATTCCCATTTTCTACGTTATTTTCCGGGGTATTTCGATACCTTTCGCGAATTTTTTCGCTTTAATCGAGTCATCAATGTGCGACGCGAGGCGCGCCGAAGAAGATCCAAGATGGCCGACCGCCGCCGAGGAAGCCGACGATTAGAAGGCCGTTTAGACTTGAAAATCGACGATTCTTGCTCGGCAATAATTAGAAGAAAAAAAAAGAAAAATACCACCGACTCGAGATAAAGGACTGCCGCTGACGACAGAGTCATCTACGACGTTTCTTCTCCTCGGGAAGGCGGCTTTTCTTTAACAACTATAAATAGTATTCAATGGTCTCTACTCGCAGGTGATGCGATGATTCACTCCGGACCTATATACGCATCGGCAGATCCTGGCCGTTCTTTCCGAAGGAAATCGTCTCGCGAACGCTAAATATATACGAGAGAAACTGTAAAACCACGCTCCTCCAATTAATTAACGAAACGCCAGGCCGCCGTAATTTTATGTCATGATTTAATCCCAGCCTCCGAGGATCTCCATTACTCCAGCGTCACGTTATCACTCATTCTGCTGTATTAAACCATTATATTTAATTCAGAGAATTCGATGGGGAAGGAATTTTAGATATCTCGAAGCTAGAATTTGAAGTATATTTTTTTGGGGAGGGTTTTAAAAGACTCATAAGTGTCGTTTACGTCGGCGTACCGAGACTCGGTGCAGGTATTTACGCCACGTACCGTACGTATTTTCTTGGAGGAGAATTGCCCTGTAATTAGCGACTCGCCGCCCAGCTTTGGGGGAACTTTAAACGCCCAATCTGGTATCTGGCCAGAGGCTTTTCTCGGCTTGATAAGCCGATTAAAATCCCCCGGGACGAATCGGACTTCATTTTCGCTTCCTTCAGCTTCGCCGTGGCACTTTTCGCCGATTCCCGGGGGAAGCTTCCCGATTAAGCGATCCGCAGACAGTGCCCCCCGGCGGATAATTATCCAGGGCAAATAATAATAAATAATGCGGGAATAATTACGCGGATAACCCCTTCGGGAAGACTTCCTCGCCGACGAGGATGAGAACTTCATCGGCGTTGCGTCGAGGATGGGACTTTTCGTTTTATCTATTTTCTTCCCAGGTGTTTATACATTTTTAGCGTCAATCCCGACGCGGAAGAGAACCATCAGCGAGGAATCCGTAAAAAAAGGAAAAATTGTGTGCGTGATGAGGAAGATGTGGATCTTTTTGCCGGAATTTTTGTCCCATGCCGATCTGCAATTGCGGCACGTCCGAAATAAGAGTAGCCGATAAGCGATTCCGCGGAGTTTACGAGCTCGTCAGGAAATCGAGCCGATGCATTTATGCATCCTGCAGCGCGTCCCAAAGAAACATCCCCACTCGTCACTGTCAAGGAAACTTGTCAAGGGACACCGACTTCACTTAGACTTCGCGTTAAACTTCCCGACGAGGTGCGCCGCATAAATGCCGCGGTCGGCGAGAAAGAGGAAGGAAAGAGAAGGAAAAAAAATAGAGAGAAAAATGGCGGAAGGTCAAAATTGTCCCGTCGAGAAGTGAAAATGAAAGAGAAAAGGAAGAACGGATGAAAGGGCAGGGCGATAGACGGAGAATCAAGGAACAGCCGAGAAAATGGCCGCCGATCGGGAGGCGAGGACTTCCCACGCCGCCGATTCGAAACAATGAAAAATTCCTTACATAACCGAGATTATCGAGAACCTCCTTCCGAATGCGGAGAGTGAATCACGGACCCTTCCCGGTATATCTGGAGCAAATTGGCCTCCTCGAAACAATGGGCCGCTCTTTTGCGTAACGCCCGACATGAGAGCGAACACGGATATGCAGATTGAGGAGCCAAAATGGCGCTCAGGACGCCGGGATTCGTCGCAAAACGTGGTTAACCTCGTAAAGAGCCACTAATCGCATGTCCTGGTATGAATGGAAATTCCAAAATGCATCCGCGAGATAAAAAAGACGCGGAAAGGACGTTGCGCGCCGGCGGTACCAAAATGGCGGCGCTCGGCTCTTTAAATTCAAGTTCGCCGTCCACCTCGCGATGCACGTGCGAGTTCTCGGCGGGGATTTATGATCCAAGAATTAGACACAATAGGCGCGACAAGGAGACAGAGAGAGAGAGAGGCTGGTAATGATCGTCCTACGATCGTGGCAGGTTGTTGAGGATTAATGCCGATGCCTAGTCTCCCTAGGTGGCCTCGGAAAGTCGCGATAAAGCCTTCTTAAACGCGTTTATATCGCGTTTTTCCACTTTATCGGTAATAATGACGTTAGATATAGTTAATAAAATTTCGGGCGCATCTCCGCGTGCAGTATTTAATTTGAAAAAAAGGATCGAATTAGTCCTTGAGGTTCGATCAGGCGATTCGTCGCGGTCGTCGATGCTCGGCCGCGTCTTCTTCAAGGTGGCGGGCAATTTCTTTCTCGTCCTGTATTTTCCCCAGGGTAATCGCATTCTATCCGTCAGAGTCCCTCTCGCGTCCTTGACAAAGCATCCCGCCGATCCGTTCATTCGTGATATATGTATATACATATTCTTATTTTTATAAATTCCCTTTCGCTTTATTCCTCTCCCATTGGGAGAGCGAAAGGCCAGGAGAAAAGGAGGCGCAAAAATGACCCGCGAGGTTCGTCCTGAGATCAAAAGGACCTTTCTCGAGGAGGTAGGGAAATAAATCGAGATCCGAACGAGTGCTCGTTAATTCCCACCCTCGTTGTCGGGCAGTTCCATCTTTTATGCGAGAAGTTCCGGCCGGCCATTTTGTTTCCTTTTTAATTCCCCCGAGCTTCTCCTTGTCATTTCTATTATCAAAAGTGCATGATATAAAATACGGGAAGAGGTGAAAAATTTTCTTCGTAATGACTTTGATTTCGAGGGGGGTCCTTGAGGATTTCGAAATTTCGAGGTTTCGTTCAAGCCCCGAAGATAAGCCCTTTCGTCAGGCCCGATTAGATCAGCTCCTTCCATAGAAAATTAAGGCCTCGGATCTCTGTGTCGAAATCTCGATTTCGTCCCAGAGCCAGTTTCAAATTGAAAAGACACGATTCGGATGCCGGACTCGTCGGGAGCGATGTAATCGCTCGAGGAAACCTCGAGGCGAGACCCCCACGCGCTCATTAACATATTAACGCTCTTAACGGCGACGTTAACTGCCTCGTTGCCAGTCGGGATAAAGAATCCTCGGCGGAGGAGATCGGCGAATAATCGAAGCTGAGAAAAATCCCGCCAGTTTTCGTCCTTTGTCTCCTGCGGCCCCTTTGTCCTTAAAAGAGGACTCGATGCCCACTCGGGACGAAAAAAGGGAGAAAAGGGAAAGTAAAAGTCTCCCTAACGAGGCGCGATCCTTGTCCCGAGATCCTGGCAATTATGCGCCGATAGTCCTGAATTAAAAATTGCGGAGAGTACAAAAAAGCATCTACGGATCGTTAGGACATTGCTCGATCATTAATGGGATCTTCGAGGAGTAAGGAGAATTTTTTGGAGGATTTCCAAGGGAGTGAAAAAAATTTTAGGGCGCCGAAAGGACACGTCCAGGACTTCGCGAAAATGGAGGACTGCTCGTCTCGAAGTCTGACGACTTCTTCCAGATTCTCGACAGCTTTTCCCCGGGGTATAGTTTCTATCTCGAAAGGCTGAAAGACCTAGGAAGGAAACCGATCGAGTCGGTTCGGTTTCCGTATCGAGAAAGGTTGCCTCGAGCGTCCCTCTCCCCTCGCCTTTATGCATATTCCTGCACCCGCCATTTTTACTCTCACTTTATTTCCCCTTCCTCCCTCCTCAGGACCCGAAGTGTCCACTTCCACGATGAAAGTCATCCCTCCCCCCGAAAGTAATCCCGAACCCCCCGGAAGAGCCCAGACCGAAGGTTGAATTTTTTGGGAATTTTCTGGATGGGTGGAAAATTTTTTTTTAATTTTCTATAAATTCGTATGGATATTAATATCGATTCCCAGTCGAAATCGGGCTGGTAGAGCGAACGTACACTCGTCCGTTGTGCACATAATGCGCTCTCGTGACTGGATTCCACCTACGTCAGAGTGTCCACTACCACACGGGGTCCACTCTGGCCGCATAAGGCCGAGCGAGCGAGAGAGAGGCACTTATGGCGAATGCGGGCGCGAGACGAGGACGCCGCTACGAGGTCGGCGGAAGGAGCGAGAGAGACGAGGACGCCGCTATTGGGCGAGTAAGAGGAGCGAGGGAGACGCGACTATCCGCGGCGCGACTGCTCTCCGAAGCTGGGACCGTCATCTCGAGGGCCTCTGGCCAGTTTCAGACTCGCGCTGGACCGTGGAACGTGGAACGCGATTCGAGAACCGTCTCGAGCGCGGACTGCCGATATCGCGCCGCTAATATTTATTATCACCACCTGCGCGTTATCATACACCGGTCGGAGTCGGTGCTTCCGGGATGAGAAGGGAACCCCCGCTCCCAGGAGAGGCTGCTCCACCGAGATTTCCAGGACCTCTTCCCGCAATTAAATAAATCTCGAAATCTCAGAATTTTAGACAATCCCACCTCCTAGGGGGAATTTTATAAATCATTTTCTCGATCACCTGGAGGATGTGGAGGGCTAGCTCCAAGAGCTACAAGTCCCGGGGAGGAACCTGAAGAGTCCCACGAGGGTCTGAAAATTCGGCAGAAGCGACGAAGGACTCGATATCCAAACAGGGTGCAAAATCTCAGATTTTCCAATCGAAGAGATTTTTCTTTAGCGATGAAGAACCAGTGCTTGGCGAGGAGTTCCTGAAGAGGGAGCCGAAGAGGTCCCAGTCTCAGGCGTCTTCGAGAGGAAATTCGAAAGCATGAACGGAGGGATGATTTAAGACTGAGCCGATAATCGATCCACGATGATCTATCAATCGAGCCATCAGGCACCGACCATGTCGTCCACGAGGAAGTCCTCGCCGCGTCCTCAGCGTCGCGGCGCTCAGTCCTCGGGGAAGTCCTCCACCTCGTCCTCCTCTTCGGCATCTTCCGCCAGGAGCAAGCGGTCGGAGAAACCTGCGGAAAAGTGCAGGGGCAGGTGCAGGGTGCAGTGGAGCGAGAAACACGTCAAGGAGGGCCTGGTCCTTGTCCAGGAGGCGCAGCTCGCCAGGGTGGTCAAAACTGGACCCATCTCGGAGTATTACGAGATCGACGCCAAGCCATTCGCCAGGTGCGATTTTCTTTTTTTTTTCACTCCCCCTCTCCCTCACCTTAATTTTTTTTTCCCTCTTCTATATCCCTTCTTCGGAGAGAGCGACGTTTCGAAATTATCGATATGGGGCAAAAGCGAAGGCTGGCGATTTCTGATATCAATGTTCCCTTATCGAGCGGCGTGTCCGTCACTTTGCGACCGTCGCGACGTTAACGTAGGTCGGGCATTAAATCATATTTATTGCTTGATTAATTAATCCTGCTACTGGGCCTGTAGCGTGGTCGGGACATTTTCCAGGATCGCTGGTACACCGAGCGATAGCTCCTGATAACGGCCAATTTCCTATATCAGGAAGAATCATTTTGAAATGATTCATGGCCCTTGTCGGAAATTCCCGAAATTTCAATTTCGCTTATCGAGGGAATTAATTTGGGAATTAATTTCAGGACTTTTATCGGACGACTTGCTATCGATTGGGGTTTTCGTAAGGCTAGTCTTGGGTTTTACTCTCTTGGGAGGTTTTCTCCGATTCACGGCGGATCGATCGGGTCGTTACGCGAGGATCGATCGTTCCCTAATCGGTCCTAGTCTATTGATTTTCAAATCGGATCGGTCCCGTTCGCCGAAACGTGGGCGCGGATGTTTCTTTCTTCGTTTGCGAGCCTCGTGGGCGACGAAACACACATCACGCCTTTTCTCGTCGTATGATTTATGTTATTGTCGATTTTCCCCCCTCGTTCCTGGACTCGACTCCTTTTCGAGTCCTTTTCTCTTGGACGACTTTCGAATAGCTCGAAAAAGAAGCAAAGAAAAATTATTATTACGAAAAGATCTCTCGGGTAATTTTCGAATCCTCGTGAAACCCCCTTCCGGGGTCGACGATAATGTCCACAGAGTTCTGTCGATCGATCCTCTCCAAAGGACCCTTCTGGTCGTCGATAATAATTTTTCCGCAATTTTCGTCAGAAGGGCCTCGAGTCTTTCGGAGGATCTCCCCGACATTCCGCGTCTCTTAAGGCTCGATTCGTCACCGATCGAGCCGATCGATCGGGATCGGAGAATTCCCGAGGCTCTCTCTGGCGTCCTCCAAAATAATTGCCCCTCGAGGAGGCGATCTCTTTTTTGGATTTATTCCCCACCGTCTCGCTTTGACTCAGCAGGTGGTACATCTCGGTCGTTTCGCAATTATCGATTATTACCGATAAATCGGACAAAGAGTGTTGGTCCTTAGGATTCCACGAGGGCCTTGAATTTTTCGGGGGAGTCTCGAAGGGGAGGACACTTTTTTCGCCGACTCGAAAGTCCGATCGGTGATCGAGCGACGATCGATCGATCCGTTTCGGGGCCAGACGGGGAATCGTAGATCTGTCTCGCGTTTCAGTCCCCGTCGGTGAACCTTTAACTCGTTTCATATTCATGGGTATGTTAATGGTCCCGTTTAATGGGCTGGTCATACGCTCGGCCGTCGATAACTCGTTCCCGAGATATCGAATGCGATTGCCTCATCGCCGCGGCTTGCATCCCTAATGAAGCCGATCTAATCGGCTAGCTATCCATTGAGAGCGATCCACTATAAAGCAAGCGCCATTATTGTCCCTCGAGTGGGCATCTGGGCCGACAGATCTCCGAGGCAGATTTTCCTACGTAGATCGTTACGTCGCCGGCCATTTTTTTATTCCCGCTCTCCATCGCAGATCCTTGCATTTCGTAAGACGCGTCGAGGTTTCCTTTTAATCGAGAAAATCCAGCGCCTCGGAGTGATTCCCGATTCCCCTCGAACCTCAATTAAATCGGCATCATTAACTAAACTCATTGTCAAACTCATCCGATGAATTACCCGGAAATTTATTCCCAGGACCAGATTTGGTCCTGGGAATAAATAATCGATTTAAATGGTACGTCTAATAATCCATTGAAAAATCCTGTCTGAAAATTCCCTGTGAGTGTGATTTTTGTTTAAATGTCTTTAAGAGTCCTTTCGTGGTGAAATAGCGTTTAAGGGGGATTTTAGTCGCAAAAGTGGATTTTAAGCGCCGAAGGTGCGAGACTTCTGGCAGGCCTCGGCGACTCCACCCTGAGAGGACATACCGGTCTATTAATAGTGGCCCATATTTAATCAAACGTTATCCTTGCAAGTGTGTTTTTTATTAAATATCTTTGAGGGTCCTCTCGAGGTGAAATAGCTTTTAAGGGGGATTTTAGTCGCAAAAGTCGATTTTAAACGCCGAAGGAGCGAGACTTCTGGCAGGCCTCGGCGTCTCCACCCTGAGAGGACATACCGGTCTATAAATAGTGGCCCATATTTAATAAAACCTTATCCTTGTCGAGCTCGCCGATCGCGACCGGACAACGGAGCTGCCTTCGACCATTGTCCACGGCAATGTCTATCTAACCTTGGACTACTCGGCCGTGCATTTAAGCTGACGGTCCACCTGTGCCTTTCCAGACGGGCTCCTTGCAACCTGCACTTAAATGCATTATCGGGAAACCACGCAGCAGGGTCTTTGTTTCCCCGAATAAAAAACGAGCCCCGCGACCATTCCGATCCTTAATCCCGACGCCTCCGTAAATGCAACGTAGATTTATCAAACAATCCAAAACAACCAACGCCCATCCGCCCATTACGGGCGGATCTAATTACGGCGCTCGGTGCACCGAAAAATGCATCCGGGGATTAAAAAGTCGAAAATGAAGGCGCGCTCTGGGAGAAGAATTGCATTTTTCAAGCTTTCTATTTACTCGAGCGAGGAATTTATCCGGGAAGTCGTGCACGATGTTCTCGAGGAAGAGGGAGGAGGAGCCAGGTTGTTGGAGAAAAATTTGATTTAAAAATTTTACAGAAGCTCCTTGCCAAGTTTTTCTCGATTCTTCTTTTTGTCGGGGAATTTGGGGAAGTCGGACGAAGTGGACGAATCGAAATTTGACGACGAAAGCGACCGGAGAGAGCGGGAAACGGCGACCTTAGCCTTGAAGAGGCGCCGCGGCGCCCGGCCTTCCCTGGTGAACCGGCTGAAAAATCATCCCGGTTGAAATCGTGTTCCTTTCGCGTGATTTCCCGATTCGAATCCCGACATCGGTTCCGCGATCCTCTCGAGAGGCCGAGCCAAGGTCCGGTTAATGCACTTTTCTCGTTATTCCCGCCTCGGCGATTACTTTTATCATCTCTCATTGAACATCCGAAGATGCAGCCGGTCCGCCGAGGACGTTCCCGAATGATTTCTCAAACGCTTCCCCGAGGCTCGAATTAAAGGAATTCCTTGAATACCTGAGATATGGGAGCCTGGTTTCCTGGGGAATATTAATATTTCTTCCTCCCGGGTGCGCTGGAATATTTATTAATTTATTTCTCATGCCATCTTTCGGACTCATTTCAGTGGACAGTGGGCCAGGGTGTACCGGTGCAAGTCCAGGTCCTCTGGCATCGTCTACGCGGCTAAATATTCCTCCAGGAGTCGATTCAACGCCGATTGCAGTGCGGAACTTCGACATGAAATCGCTTTGCTCAGTTTGTGCTCCCAGTCGCCGAGGGTAGTCAGACTCCACGACGTCTACGAGACCCCGAAGGAGATCATCCTGGTGATGGAGTTGTGAGTGAATGTTTCTCCTTCTTGACCCTACCTGACTTGAATTTCTTGTAAAGGGCTGTTGTCCATTTCCAGTGCCCCTGGGGGAGATTTACAGACTCTGATAGACGGCGACCTGGTTCCTCTCGAGGGCGACGTGGTGCATTTCGTGAGGCAACTCGTCGAGGGACTCGCCTATCTCCACGAGAGGAACATCGCTCACCTGGACATCAAGGTAAATTGTCAACGTCGATATTAGAAATCAAAGGTAACGAGGAAAGGAAATGAGAATTCGTCTAACCAAAGGTACATTTCGTTGGTACCATTCGCAGAAATGTATCTCTGGGTCAGTGAAAATTTTTCATGGTCCCCCTGGTAATCTCGATTCCGTTGATAAGATGCCAATCCAGGATATCGAGTATTTTCGATCCTCTTGGTCCAGGATCACCGGTGGAGAGGTTTAATTACGAGCGTCCGCGTCGTCGTTCGCGCGACTCGCGCGACTCGGCGATATTCTCGATAAGCGAGCGGAAAACAAATTGGATTCCCTTTTACGGCAGTGCGCTGGACAAAGGGTCGTATAAAGTCGATTCGGGACCTTCCCGGTGGACTCGGGGAAAAAAGAAGACGAAGCCGAGATTCCGCTCCGGGACCGAAAAGGACGCGCCTCGCGGGTGGGACCAGAAACTCGTTTAACCAGGAATCCAGGGAAGGATATTCCGCATTTCGGGGAAAGATACTGATCTTGCGTAAAACATTAAAGAAAAAAAAAAAATAACCCAAGAGAAATTAGCCGAAGACCGTTGAAAAAAAAATCCGAGCTCCCGGAAAGAAGATATCGCCCCTTGGATTTTTTTTTTCTCACTATTTTCACTATCACGAAAATAGCAGAGATAAATTTAGAGACGTCCGCAGTTAACGGCGGCGTTCGGACGAAATAAATTTCTGGAGTTGGAAATAATTAAGGAGAGGAAAAAAAAAATGAGAGAGAAGGTTTGTCGCGTGCAAGCCGCGTATGCAAATGCGGTTAAATCCGTTTCTGCACGCGCTTTAACATAAAATCCAGGGGTATGAATATTGTTGCATTTAGGGACGGGGATTTGCATACAGGCGGAGTGCATTTTGATGGGCGAGGTCAGTTCATGGAGGACGTTGCTCCGCAGGTTTTCTTTTTTTTTTTTTTCGGACGAGGACTCCTCGTTATCCTCGCGAGTTCGGCGCCCCTTGAGAAGAGGAGTCCTCAATAAGACCCTCGTTATGTCCTTAACCGGAAACCGCAAAAGTCGTGAAAAATGCCACGATGGAATTTATCGAAACCATGCAGGAAATTCGGCTGTCTCTCTCTATGGAATATCTGCACTCCCGACGTTTTAATTTAATGCCGCGTTTTATTCGTCAATTAGCGGGATTATTACGCCGGGTACGGAAGGGGTAAGACGGAGATTTAAGAAATTTTATGGGACCGTGTTTCGAGAAATGACACGGCCCACCATATAGAATTTATGGCGGACGACGGTGCAACGAGTCGGCGCAGAAATGCATTTTCTCCAGTCCGAAGAAGTGCATTCCCGGTTTGGAAAGTGATTACCGACTTGCGTTTGATCTCTCCAAGCGGTAACAAAGTTGGTCGCTGTAAATCTTCGCTCCTATATATACATGTTTATATACGTGCGCGTAAATGTGCAATTACATGCACGCGAAATCCCACTGGCCGTACTTGGGAATGAGCGCGATGCAACTCTGCCGATCGCGTCCTATCGGGGCGATCCGATTACGACAACTCTTAAAAACCGATCTGGGATGATCCATTTTGCAATTAGATTTTTTTTATACAAGTGCCGAGTGCGCTCTAAAATTTCCTAAAATTTCCTGAAGTCGTTCAGGAAATTGGCGACTTCGAGAACCCGAAAGAAATTGTTATTTTTGTTATTTCTGTGCGGATATATACATTTATGGGTATTTGTACCACGTTACTCGAGAGAAATGAGTCCCCGGATTGCAGACCATTCTTAGGGATATCTGCCAGGAGAGCGAAACCGTAAATCCCGTGAATATGTTCCAGGGCAATGCGTGCCCACGCGAGTCGAGGTGACTCCGGTGTCTCTCCCTCGTTCTGGCCGGTGATAACGCACGAATCTACTGATAAGCAGACGAGAGTACGCCCTCGGAAGGTCCAGAACCTGCCAACCTCGCAGGACTCGGCCAGGACGAGATCTAAGAAATGACCTAAGAAATGATTCTCTACCTCTCGAACCGCACCCTGAACCTTACCATGTCGAGAGATCGCACAATTATTAATGGAATATTTTTTTAAATAATCGTACATATACTACGGAATTTAGAGTACAGACATGCATTGTGTAGCCCGCAAAAAAAGGTTCAAACCGTTGAAACGTGCAGAAAGAGTACCTTTTAAGGTCCTTTAGAGTGTACATGCGTGGGGATGCGCTCAGGTCCATACGATGCAGAGGCCAAAGATCGACGTGCACTTTCAGAGGTCCAGAAAGAATTTTTCCATGGAAACTATTGCGATTCTTTATCCTTGATTTTCTCCCTGCCCACTATATCAAGCTGCTCGGGATACCTGAAACTTTTCATTCATGATTTTCGAGATGAAATGTTGCGTGCGCGAGGGCATGCTCATACGTCCGAGGGGCGTCATCCAGGGGGGACATAATTCCTGGAGTTTACGAGCGGCTGATTCGATTCACAATGTGTTTTTATTCCCGCAACATTACCGGGGAAGAGTAACGAAGCCCTCGGAGCTGAATGCACCTCCAGAAGTCACGCCCCAGCGAAATAAAGAACAGCGAGTAGCCGCTTCGACGCCTCCGAAGCTCGGCAAATCACGTGGGCGATTCTTTTATGAATCCGTATTCGGATTTATTTATTTCCGCCCGTACCCTCTTTATCTCGAGATAAAACCCGAGCCATGGGGAAATAAAGCTATCGGAGAAGGAAATTTCGAGCGATGGCCAACGACCCTCCTCTCGGAACGGCTATAAAAGGCGTAAAAAATACTCAAAGGTGAACTCGTATATTTATTTGTAAGTCTGAAAGACGATCCCCCGGGATTTTTTAAGGCGCAGGAAATGATTACCGTCAGACTACAAAAGGCGAGAAAAAAAAATCCTTTGGCATCCTTCTTACGTACATATTCTTTTTTTCACGATGAAAAATGGAGAATGTGCAAAAATGGGCGCGAGAAATGTTATATGGAATTTTTTACCGATGAGACGGTTTGTATTTTTGGAGCAAGTTTTCGTCCTTTCTTTCTCAGGGGGGAATTCACTTGCGGATTAAGTTGTCCTCCAATCGATGATATCGGGAATCGACGACGTTTCAATCGAAGCCCCTCGCCGAGGCCCGGAGGATTTATATTCGACATATCGATCGCTATCGATAATGTATTCCTTATTCGAGCCTGAAATCTGGGGAAAAGAAATGGAGGCGACAAACTACCGACTTCAACTCCTTTTGCTCCGATAGGGAAACGGAAGTCTGTCCGATTTCGCGGACGGAAATCGGGGGGGAAAAAAAAGGGAAAGGATAAAATTCCGCGTTCTCGCGCGAGTAAATTACGACAGTGATAAACTGTCCCGGACTACTTCCTACGAGGTGTTAATCCGCTTTTAGTGTCGAGCTCGTACATAAAACCGCGGCCGCACCGTGCGATACCTATTTCCGTTTTGCGGGGGCCATAATCGGCCGACTCCTAGAATAGAAATTGAAAAGGGGCTTACAGATAGTCCAGATAATCCGAAACCCGACTAGAATTGATAAAGAGGTTCCCCCACAGACTGAAAAAATTCCCCTCCCCCGAGGTCCTTGCCAAGTTGTCCCAATTAATTTTCGAAACATTAATTAAGCCAATCCCAAGGGAGATTAATTTCGACAAGAAGCGATGGCCTTGTAATTTTACATTGTTCCCGTAATTGTTTGCCATTAATATTCCCCCTTTGTCCGCAGTTTTATTGTTATGCCAACGGTGGGTATGTCCTTTGTCGAGAGCCAATTTTATCGAGGGTCGATCCGATGATAATTTTATACTTTGATTACTCCAGCTTTCGTTCCCCCTCCGTGGGAATTAATTTTATTATTAATCAGTGTCAGAGGTGTCATTAAGGAGAGTAATCACGAAGAAATTCTGCTTCAGCCGCAGAATCTCGTCATGATGGGGACGTTTCCGGAGTGCGACGTCAAGCTTTGCGACTTTGAGATCTCCAGGGTGATCCTGGAAGGCACGGAGGTCAGGGAGATCCTCGGCACACCTGATTACGTGGGTGAGTAATCGACGTTATCAAAGGAAAATGCCCGAAAAAATTCCGTTTAAAAATGTCGAAAAACCTCTCTCGCTTTCGCTAACGAAACCCTGACCTACGACACGCCCGAATAGCGTGAGGATTCGCACGTCCGAGGAATTCCGGTGAATATTTGGAAATTCGTCGCGCTTTCACCGAAACGTGCGTGTCAGCACGCCTCGAGAAATTTCGTAAGGTTTCGTGAGATTTTTCGAAATTTCATGAAAATTCTTGTCGCTTTTCCGCACAAATCGCCGCGCCGCGGGAGGTGCACATGCTCGCACCGACACATCGATTCCAGTACCCCGGATCGATTTTAATTACCGATCGCCGAGTAGCTGGTTAATTTGCCGACAGTTCGGTCGGGATTGCAAATACAATCGACAGGTTTAATCGACAAGTTAGCCTTATCGAAGCGGCCCGTGCCACGGGGGGGCCGATCAGCGATCGGCGATCGACAAGGTAATCGACATCGATGATTCCGCCGATGGAAAGGTGATCGTAATTCAGCGAGGTAGTCGTTTAACATCGAGATTCCGCAGTAATTAAGCGATGATAAGTCGATAAGATCATCTCTAGGCGAGGAGATAAACCGGAAGCCTCGGTTCCGCTGATGTCACAAGATTTCCATAAAGACCTCAGACCAGTGATCTTGACTCCCTTTTCCGTCATCTCTGCTCGGTTTCCGGTTTTCAATGGAAAAATGCAGATCGGCGCACTTGTCCTTCTCCTTTTGTCTCGTTAATGACTTGTCCGGTGTTTCTATAATTACTCTTGCCGTTTATACTACCATTACCTCGATGAGAATGATGAGGACCGTCGACAATTCCATTCCAGCCCCGGAGATCCTGCACTACGAGCCCATCACCCTGGCGGCCGACATGTGGTGAGTGACTAAATTCCTGGAAAGGAGAGAAAATTCTTGGAAAAATCCTTGATCGATCATTTTACGATTCAGGTCCCTCGGAGTGACGACTTACGTCCTATTGACGGGGTTCTCGCCCTTCGGGGGTGAAACCGACCAGGAGACCTTCAGGAATATTTCCCTGGGCGAGGTGGACTTCCCTGAGGAGCTCTTCGAGGACGTTTCGACGCAGGCCAAGGACTTCGTGGCCAAACTGCTCGTCCCAGACCCGAGGTACCTGTAAAAAAATGGAATAATAAAATTAGGGCACAGTAGATCCTGGGGATGACGACATTCCCCTGCAGGAGGGTCTAAGAAATTGAGGACGATGAATTTCAGGGGGCGGATGACGGCCAAGCAGTGCCTGCGTCACGACTGGCTGAGAGGAGCCCCTACGCAGGCGTCCCCTCATCTGAGGAGGTACCTGTCCAAGTCCAGGGAGGTGTTGCTAGAAAGGGTGGTCAGCAGGGAAAACCTGCGACGAGCTGCCCTGCTGAGCCAGGCGAGCAGTCAGGTGAGCCTGTCGAGCGAGGTGGACCCCAGCAGGTGGCTGAACAGCAACCTGAGCCAGAGCGAGGTGTGCCTGAGTCAAGGATTGAGTCTCAGCAGGAGCAGCCTGCCCAGCAGCGAGGAGGGTGTGAGTCCTGCGGACTCCAGGACGAGCCTGGATTCCCCTGGGACGAATTTCGCGCTGAGCCAGAGTTGCCTGCTGAACAAGGAGCAGACTCAGGGGCTGCTGAGCAAGGCGCAGAGCAGGTCGCAGGCGAATCTGGACCATGGCTCGAGTCGCAGACTGCTCTCCAGGATGAGGAACCTGAACCAGAGCCAGTCTCAGGCGTGTCTGTTGAATGGGAACGATGGAGTCTCAGCCAGGAGTTTGAAGAGAGCCATGGACCCGCTGTTCAGCAGGTCGAGAGAGAAGCTGTACGGCCTCAGGAGCCTCTCCAAGTCTCAGGGAGTGCTTGGCATCTATAGGAGCCTCGAGTGCCTGAGGAACAGAAAAAACAGCGGTCAGGTGGCCAGGACTGAGGACATGCTGCCAATATTCAGCCAGCTGAGCGTGGAGATCGCCAATTCTTCGGGGTCCTCGGCATCGTCGGCGTCGATGGTCTCCTTGGTGCAGGGGATTCCCAGCCCTGGCTCAAACCAACTGTCTGGGACTCCGCCTGCTGCGAATCCACCGATGATCGACAGGTTGGAGGAACTTGCTGGGGTCGAGGGTTCCAAGTTGGATTCCGGGGACTCTTCGGAGTTCCAGGGGTCTCAAGGAATCCCAAGCGTGGAGGTGGTGGTCCCTGGGGAGGAAGGAGTCTCAGCAGGGGTGGAAATTGTGGTTTCTGGGAATGGAGGAGTCTCGAAGGAGGGTCCAACTGCGAAAATCCAGCGGAAGGCCAGCTCTAGCTATGAGTCCGAGGAGAATCTGAATTCCCTGCAGTCCATAGAGTCCGATACTTTGACAGAGGACTCGGACGAGCCTGCTCCTGGGGAGAAGTCCCTGCTGGGAATCCTGCAGCCCAGCCAGAGGCAGCATTCGGATGTCTCGAGCCACTCAAATAATTCTGGGAATTCCGATGAGAAGGAGGAGCACTCGGAGTCTGAGCACGAGGAGCCGAAGTACACCGTCGCTCAGCTGGTCTCAGCGTTTAATAGACATCAGGAAGTGGCCTCGAAGAGCAGCCTAGAAGCCATCATGACGGAGAAGAGGATCAACGAGGTCAACTTTCCGACTGGGCCCAAAGCGCTCAGGCTCTTCATCCCGGATATCGATATCACCGGGAGCAGCATCGTCAGGAGAAGGACCAGCTACAAGCCCAGGAAAAATTGGGAAGAGCTGAGGAAACGGAACGAAAGGAACGAGGGCGTCCTCAAGGACTTGGATCGTGACTCTGGGAACGAGGAGGATGAAGATCCTCTGGAGAAAAACCAGGACAAGGAGGTCGGGACGAAGGACGACACCCTGAAGACGGATTCTCGACTTCGAGATGGACTCGCCGGTGGTCCCAACCAGGAAAGGGTGGGTTTTAGGAAGTCCTGCATTTTTTGGAAGCCAGGACCTTATTTTCTTTCATTTCAGGACGTGGTAGAAGTTGGTCCCGCGCAATTCAGGACAGACCTTGAAGACTCGGAGAGGACGCGTTTCTGCCCTGAAGTTCAGGTCGGGACTTCCCTCGGTTTAATTCTAGGAATGTGTTGACTTTAAATATTTATTGTAAATGTTGTCGCTCTTCAGGATAGGGTGGAAGTCAGCTCCGGGCATTTCGGAGGGATTCTGGAGGAGATGGAGAACGCCAAGGTGAAGTTCTCCGAGGAGGTGGACCCGAAAATCGATCTCAAGTACAAGCAGTGCGTGGACGGGGTGAAATCCGGCGAGCAAGATCCCGATGAGCACCTCGAAGAGAGGTCCTCGAGGACGAGGCCCACCGGAGGTTCGAGGTACGTAGGAGAGAGAGTGGCCAACTACATTTTCCCGGAAATCGCAGCAAAGGAGGAGAGGGTCTCTTCAAGGTCCGGCCAGGAGAGGAAAAAGGTCGTCCTAGGAACTTCTAGGTCCAGGAACGACTCTCCTCCAGGCAGCGACAGCACCGTCAACCTGAAGGACATCCTGCAGAGCGCCGACTCCTTCGAGGCCTCCTCGAAGGAAAACCTGGAGAACTTGAGGAAAAGGACCTCGATCGCCAAGATCATCGTCAACGACAACCTCGCCTGCGACAGCGACTCGAACAACAATGGTACGGCCCAAAGATCCACATCCGAAAAATGAAGGACGACCCCATAAATCATTTATTTCTTTAGAATAAAAAAAAAAGAGAGAAATTAATATCACGCTGAAGACGAGGTTCCCGGTTTCCAGGAACGAGTCCTCCGGGCTGCAGGCCGGCGAATGGCCAGAAGGACGAGGAGTCCTGCAGACTCTACGTCCCCCCATCCTTCGTGAGGTCCTCGTCCTTGTCCAGCGAGAGCAGTTGTCCTACGCCTTCGAGTGCCAGGTCAGAGATAGGCACATCCTGGGAGGACGTCCAGGGGACCAAGGGGTCCTGCACTTCTTTAGAGAGAGAGGAGAACAGGTGCTCCAAGAGGACCCCTGGACAGGATTCCAGGAAGACCGCTTCCAGTCCCGAAGAGCGCAGGACTTGGGGCAAGGTCTGCACAGGATCCTACACCAGGGCGATGGAAAGGTTCTCCGGAAGGGGTGCCGATGCTTCCAGGAAATCCCCAAATCTCCCCCAATTCCCCAGGGAGCCGGAGAAGACCAGGAGGAAGAGCAGTCCCGCGATGCCGCATCTCGTTGACTCCTAAGGAGAAATTAGACCCTTTAATTAGAGACCTTGAGTTCTTTTCCAGGCAAGACTGATCGACACTCGAACGCGATTTTCGCGGCGTTCTCCGAGGAATTTGTACATTTTAAGGGTGGTTCAAGCGAGGTTTTTCGAATTTAAACACTAGCTCCCTTTCCTCCTTCCATTTTCTCGGATCAGGGAACTCGGTAGAGTTTCGCGCGAAATATACACACTTGCTAGGATTTATTATTATTAGGACGTTTCGCAGCGCACGAGGACGCTGCGGGAGTGCCGTTTTAATTTTAAATAAATAAGATAAAGAAATGTATAACGACGCAGGAGTTAAAATGGCGGCTCGGGAGCGTTTGCCACCAGAATGAGAATTTTAGGTGGAACGCGATTCCCTCGCCAAGGCCGCGTTTCCGTATTCGGTCAGAGACGCGTGATTCACGCGTGTCCGAGGTGAACGCGAGAAACGCGCGTTTTCCGCACGCGAATCGCATTGCGCCTTGAAATTGGAGCACGCACGAAGAGGCAGGATGACATGTTATGTAAAGTGGAGCCTTATTCTCGACAGGCCGATTATTTATTAGCTCTCCTCGGATCGTCGTGCGCCGTCCATAATCGCATTAAATCCTGACCGGTTTCTGTTCTTCTTCCATCTTTTTCTTTTTCTTTTTTATTTATTCCGGCAGCGGTTAAATTCCTGGCTTATCGTTGAGTAATACAGAAACGCTCCTATGGACCAAAATATTCGGGGCGGAGACGACGAAGACTCGAGGAGTTGTTGGCTTTGAGGTCGGCAACTTCCGTTTCCTTGAAAAAAAAAAAAATAATAATAATCTAGAATATTTAAACAATTTCTACGTAACCTCCTCGATTTTCTTATTTCCGAACTCCGATACAGATATGTGTTAACGTGCCGTAAAAAAGAGAATAAATTAAGCGTATAGATAAAAGGGACTTACCTCTTTCCCTTGCTGTTATAAAGAAAAAAATTTGAAGCATCTCGCAACACTGAAAATCCCTCAATTTGTTGAGATTTTCTCCAGGAACTAAACGATGATAAGTCAAAAACAAGAGCCTGCAGTTAGCGTCGTTAAAATTAAATTTTTATTCGTAATACAAAACAAATCGGTGCGTCGAGTGATCGATGGAAATTAACGTACGAATTCGGCCTTACTTTCCGTTAAAGCGAGATCACTCCCATCTGCTTTTCCGCACCCTCTTCCGCTCGCTTTTTTCGGCAGTGCCGGAATCTGCGCGTCCATCCTGAGGTGCGTTTTCGCTCGTAGGCTTCCCAGGAAGTGGAGGAGGTGGTGGCATGATAACGGATGGTGGTGTTATCGTCTGCTCCCAGGTGTGATCGGAGGATGCTCTAAACTGAGAATGATGGGAAATTTGAAGAATAATGAGCAAAGAACTAGGAAATAATTACAATGGAGTGCCACTTACTTGAGTGTTATACTGACTGCGGAAGGCAGCTTTCATCGCAGAAAGTCTATCGCTGCCTGGTCCCTGTCTTTCCAGTTTTTTCACCACTTCGCTGATATCCTTAGTAGCTTGTGACGAAGACCCAGAGCTCTGCGACAGATTTTTCAATTAATTATACACAAATTGCATTTTGGACTCATTTGTAGATGAAATTTTTAAGAAGCGAAACCTGGGCAGGAGGTGGTCCGGTTCTTCCTCTGAAGCCAAGACCTGCACCTCCGATGTTCATACTCTTTCCTTTTCCACCCTTGAATCTGGACTTTCTGAACCATGCACTCTGCATCGCTAGGTCCATCAAACCCTTTGGCACTTCTTGGTTGACACCCTCCAGGTTCCTTACGAGGTGTCCTGCAAATTCCTTGTCCTTCTCAGTGACAAGAGTAAAAGCCGTGCCCTTCTCCCCTGCACGACCTGTTCTTCCTATCCTGTGGGTGTGGGTGTCAATATCCCTTGCAACGTCGTAGTTCACAACTGTTCTAATATGAGGTATGTCGAGTCCCCGAGCTGTCAACAGAGGCCACTTCTCAAGAGGAGTCCGAAAAGCACAATTTCTAAACACATATTTATTTATCATCAAATCGAGGAGCGCAGATGTCTAAGAAAATTCCTGTAGTCAGGGATGAAGTCCTGCAGGGTGTCAAGTTCGAAGGGAGGTTAAGTTACCTGCCACATCAGTAGCGACCAACATGCTGACTTCCTTTCTCTTGAAAGCCGTGATCACTTTATTTCTCTCGATCTGGTCCATGTCTCCGTGCAACAGCAGGACGTCGAATTCCTTCAGCTTGAGATTATTTGCGAGTTCTTCGGCATTCAACTGGACGATGAATAAATGCATGAGACCCTATTGAACTTGGGGTAGACTTAGCGAGGTCATAGGAAACATAACTAGCTCGCAGTCACCTTTTTGGTCACGAATATTAAAAGGCTTCCAGAGCTGAGGAACTGGACTATGTTACTCAACAGCCAGCTCCATTTCCCAGTGGGATTATTGTAGAACACCAGAACGTTTTGCGTGACATCAGTGTTCGCCTCTCCAACGTCACCCTGAACTATCCTGATAGGGTCAGTTAGGACATCCCTTGCTAATTTCTCGACTCTCTTTTTAAACGTGGCACTGAACAACAGGGTTTGTCGGTCCAGCCTGACGTGGTTACAGATTGATCGCACTTGTGGCTCTGTGGAATGATTTTAGTTCCCATAAAATGTCATAATTTACGAAGGAGAATTTTTGATGAATTAAATGCAAACGATAAAAAAAATTCCTAATAGATAGTCATACCAAAGCCCATGTCGAACATTCTGTCAGCTTCGTCAAGTACCAGGAACGTTACCCTGGTTAAGTTTGTTGCCTTCATCTTAACCAGATCGATCATTCGACCAGGAGTAGCAACGACTATCTCAGCTCCGCACTCTAATGCTTTGCTCTGTTCCCATTTGCTTCCACCTCCGTAGCAGCAGCACACTTGTATGTTATAAACTTTGCCAAATTTCTTTGCCTCTTGGTAGATCTAGAGAATGAATAAATAGAGTTAAGTTAGATTTCAAAAAAGGACAGTTTCTAATTATTGATATCGTCAAACCTGTTGGGACAGTTCTCTGGTGGGTGCCAGAATCAACCCGATTGGGCCATCTCCTGCTTGCAGTTCCTTTTGGTCCATTATGTGCACCAGCATTGGCCAAATAAATGCTGCCGTTTTTCCACTTCCAGTCTTGGCGATTCCTATCAAATCTCGACCACTCAGAGCAGCTGGAATGGCTTGTGCTTGAATCGGCGTGGGCTGAATATACTCGTTCTTACGAATAGCCTTCATCATCGCGTCGTCAAAACCAAAGTGAGCGAAACTCGTTACAGGGTTTGGAGGAGAGGGTCCGGACACCTTGATACCCAGGGTCTTTCTCAAATCTTCGACTTGCTGCTTGCCCAGGTTCGCGATTTCTTCATGGACGTTGTAGAAATTCTTCTCAAAAGTCTCGTACTTGATTTCCGAGTGATCAATCGGAGGCAATGGATCTATGTCTTTCTTTTTCGGAGGAGCGATAGGATTTCCATCTTCATCGTACTCGATTTCCTGATCGGAATCCTCCTGCTGCATTCCAGCCGTTGGGTTTTCTTCCATATATCTATAAGCAACAGTCCATTAACATCCTCATTAACATTATTTAATCAAGATATAAATTACCTGTAGTAACTTTCTTCATCATCTTCTCCATCGATGTCAGTCCTAATGCCTTTGGATTTATCCTCCTTGCGCTCCTCCTCATTTAATTGAGCTTCGTACGTATTCTTTTTTACCTCTGCATCAATTCCTGCCATAAATGCATCTAATGGATCCTCCTCGCTGTCACTGTCTGGCTTCTGCTCCGCCTTCTTTAATAATTCATATGTAGGAGAGCCAGGAGCAGGAATATATTCCAAGGTAGAGGCTTGCGCCTCGTCGTCGTCTTCGAAGTACCTATTTCAGTTCGTAATTATGTATGAATGAAAATTGAACGTCACATATCCCATAATGTTTGAAAAATCTCTTCTTACTCTTCTTCAGTTTTGGTACGCTTCTTTGGCATACCCCAACATGCCGACAGTGCGTTCTCAGTAATGGAATTCATTGTGTGGTACCCTTGCTTACTAAGAGCCGTGTTCGACACAGGTGGTGGAATGCTCGTTCCGCTTCTCTTCGTTCCAGTCATCTGAAAGCCTGTGAATCCGAAGCCCTTCGGCTTGTTACCACCTCCTCGGTGGTAACTCATTTTTCTAGCCTTGCAAAAGATCAACAGCACATCATAACCTAAACTTATCTATCTGAATTCCGTTCAAAGAAAATTAAATACAAAGCATCACAGTGCTATACAATTTTTACAAGTTGCACAGAAAATTACATGAAAAATTTATGGACCAAAGATTTCCGTACTTACAGCGACTAGTCAACTTTTGCAAATGTATCATACGAGTTTCAAATTAGAGCAAGTCATGCACGTATGAAGTTACGCTACAGTGATTTTATTTACACTTTATTAACACCATTGCTTCAACAATAGCTTTTAGTAACAAGCGCTTTCGGGAACAGAGGTTAGCTTAGTTTTGCGACCGATTTCTCGATCTGCCCAAGAATATATGCGTCATTAGCAGAGAATAGTCGTGCTCATGATCAAGGTTTTACATCTATTACGAACAACCGCTATCTACCTGCAATGTACTAAAGTTAATACAGGAACTCGTTCGTGCTGTGTGAACAATTTTAATACGCGACAGCATTCGTTGGTAAATCTTTTTCTTTCGCACTTCGGTACTGCGTGGAGAGATGTCGCTGGGAGCGGCGACGATTCGAACCCAGCTGGCGGAGCGCGGCGCGAGCGGAGTCAGTACACGCGCACCTGCCGGCCCGTACGGACGTCACCTCGTAACCTCTCTTCATCGAGCTCCTCGTGTCCCTGGCCCGCTGACCCAAGGAGACGTCCTTCCACCCCGAATCTGCGCAGGAGCGAGCATCCTCCAGGTGCGCCCTTTCCTCTCATTCTGTCCGCCTTCCTTTCCGACCTCACGGCTCAGGGTCAAATTCCAGTGACGCGCAAACCTTGCGGTTCGATCGATAGGTTTTCCGCCCTCGGAAAGGTCGCGAGTCGTCCCGGATTTTTCCCTCCCCTGCCGGAGGAGCTCCAAGGACTTTGGACGCGAATCGGTCCTGGAAGATCTAGGAGAAAATTCGAACATGCCGGCCGATCCTGAACTCAGCAACCTCCTCAGTCGCCGACAAAGGATCAACGAAGAACTCGAAGAGGGCAAGCAAGTCAAGAGGGAATACCGATTCGTCAATGTTTACACCGAATTCCATGAGCTTTCTCGCCGGGAGATCAAGCAGTACGAGCAGGCTTTCAACAGGTGAGATATCCCCCCTCCGACAACTCCCCTCAAGTTTTGCCCCTTTTCCTTTCCTCGCTTCCGCCATTATTCCCATAATCGACCGAATGGTCTGTTTATAAAAAAAAATGATAAATTAATTTCGCAACAATAACCTAATTTAAAATAGAAAAAAAAGCATGCACTGAACCGAAGAAACGTTCCTTTTAAACGTACCTAATAAATGTTTCGATAATTCTAGGAATTAATTATTAGACTTGGATAAATCCATGCAACGTTTCTTCGGACTGATAACAATTCATTCGAGATCAGATCGGTCAAATAATTATTCTTTGAATTTATTGTTATCTATCCTCTTCAAAGGGCCTAAGTACATGTGTATACAATGTTTCAAATTAATCGGAGGCACTTTATCCTCACTGGAAGTTTATCCTTCTTTTTTTTTTTTCTCTCGGGGTATATTGCGAAATTTTGTAATGGAAATTGTGTGCTGCGGGAAATTAGTTCTCGAGGCGCATATCGCGAGACAATCGCCTTCACTTTCGTCAAGGTCTGGCGTGTAAGAATCTGAATATAATGATCGTGGATTTCTCGAGGCACTTTCAGTGTCGTCGTAATTCGCTGGTCTAATGATCGACGCTGCGATGATCCAGGGTAAATCCTGATCGAGGAGAGATCGGGCTTCCGGATCGGAAGTGACTCCTCTCTCTTTCTTCCCCTGCGTTTCCTCCGAGTTTCGCTTTCCTCGGGGTAAAAAAATCCCCTCCGACGTTGCGATTGTTCCTCCTGTTTAAAATCACCGGGTAAACAATTAATTGTTTATAATTTCGTAGAGGAGGGAGAGAATGATCGAGGGAAACCGTGGGAAAAAAAATCTTAATTACCGATCTAGATCTCGAGCAATGAGTCGACACGTGAATTATCAAAGTCTGGATAATGTAATGAGAAGAAAAAAAAAATAAAAAAAATTTCAGAGGTTCTTGTCGATTAATGGATCGGTTGCAAAAGGTCACTTTTGATCGAGGAGGCCTTCACCTCCGACCTCGACCACCTTAGCGATGGATCGATGGAAAGGATCCTCGATCGAGGTGGAGGAGGTCGACCTGGGCGAACAATCGTACCTTCTCCTTGGAGCCTGGGAAGCTGTCCTTTGGCTCTGGATCGTTCTCAGACTTCTCTTATTTAACAAAATCCGAGGGGAATTTTAAAATTCAATTTACCTGGACGGGGAAATTTTTTTGGAAAAATTCCCAATTAGTAGGAAAAGCCCGAGGGAGAGATTGTCTATTTTTTCCTGATTTTTTTTTTTATAGCCATTCGGATCAGATCGATAGCGGATCGATCGACTTCCTCGGGTTCGCTCTTCAAGGTGCGAGCGAAACCCAGGTTGGCCTAAAAAGGAGATCGAAGGTGGCTTCACGAGGAGGTTCGTCCGATCTCGTGGCCATATAAGATCGAGCCTGCTTCTCGATCTCCCGACTTCGATTTCCTTCGACGGGGAGGAAAGAAATTCCACGGGTGCGAGGAAAAGTTTCCACTTTTCCCGGGCAAATGGAAAAATAAACGCGATAAATCTTCCCCGAGAGGTCGACGGGGAAGGGGCGCGGGATTAATCCCATTTGCATAGGTGGACCCAGGTGGAAATTCCAATTTTTTTTTTTCCAATTTCTTTCGGTTCGTTCGTTTCTTTCTTTACTTTTTTTTCCCTATTATTCCCATTGGAGGCCAAATTGAATCGCGACGATAATTCACGGAGAGCTCAATTGATCGCGCCGAGTATTACGGGTCATTGCGCGCAATTCCAATATCGTTCCCTTGGTTTACATATTGATCGGCACCGGCCAATCGGCGAGCGTCTTCGTCGAAATCGAATCCGCCTATTGATTCGTTTTGTCTCGAGTAGCTATAAATAAAGTGCATCGAGTTCCCCCCATTTTTTCTCCGATTTCTTTATTTTTTTTTTTCCTTACCGCCTCAAGGCCGGCCTCGCCTTGGTCGCCCACGGTAATAAATATGAAGGAAAAGAATGGGAGGGGAACGAGAAATGAAAAAAAAAAAGAAAATTGTCTGCCGACAAATTGCGACATTGCGTATCGTTCCGGCCGGTCGGAGTAATGTCTCAAGTTCGAGGATAACGAGGGTAAAAAATGATTCCTCGAGGTGAGCGAAAAGTCGGGAAATTCCCGGGTAACTCGTTAGAGGAAGGAAATCTTCAATTATCATCGGTGATAATTGAAGATTCAATAAATTGAAGGAAGAAAAAAAAAAAAGAAGAAGAGCACCCCCCCTCGGAAGGCCGGAAGTGCTCGGGAAACCCGGAAGGCTATTGCTTCCGCGGAAACGTGCCGCGTTGCGGAATTTCGCCGCGTGGAGGAAAGGAGAGGAAAAAAAAAAATATATGAAGAAAAAAGAGAAGAGGGGGATCGGCACTCGGCGGTTCCGCTGAATCGCGAAACACGAGTGCTCGGCTTTTATTGCGCGAAAATCCGGTCGCCTCGTTAATCCCCGAGCATAAGAGAGGGAAAGAGGGAGGAAATGAAGGAGAGAGGAAGAGGGAGGAAACCAGGGGACGGGGATATTTCGGCCCCCAAGATCGACGGCGATCCTGGCATGGGGCTTTCGTGGGAGGCTTCGTGCACTATTTTCGGCGGAATTACGGTGATTACTGGCTGGTTTAATTTTGGAAATACGTAGAGAGAGAGAGATCCGCGAGCCAGCCGATGGCCGACTGAAATATTCCCCACGGGGTTGAACGCCCCCCAGGAGGGAATGATTATTTATTCCCTAAATAAATAAACTCCCCTCCGAGGTATGGGGCGACCTGACAAACTCGTCTCTGCCCGAGAAATTCTGAGTTTAAAAGAGTTTAATTTTATGTGATGCCGTATTTTGGGTGGGGTTGTATTTTTATTTATTTATTTATTTTTTTTATTGATTTTATTCAGTTTATTTATTGTAATCGATCTAGTTTCGGATCGCCCTCGGTCCTCGGCGCGCGTATCGTCATTCTTTTAAATTAATCCTTTCCGTTCCCGAAGCGGTGCCAGGAGCGACGAGAGAGCTCGCGCGCGTAATCAGCGCTCTGATAAGAGTACCGAGAGAGAAATCTAACCTCAAAACCGCTCCTTTATCGAGGCCTCGACAGGACGGACGTCTATTTTCGTTCTCGGCTCATTTTCGCCCCGTGAGATATCGATTGCACCTCCGGATAAGCCTGCACTCGCGTGCACCTTCGCCTTGCAGTGGGTGCATTCTTAAATTGAATTGTCTACGTACATTCATTTCAATCGCTATTTATACTTACCCCTCGGAAAATTACGTGAAATTCAGGCATGCGGGATTTTTCACGGGTACCCCTCGCCTATGGGAATTTTCCTTTTTCCTACCTCGCGTCGGTACAATAGATCCCCTTAGTACCGGGGAATGCGTAAGGACTTTCGCTCTCGTTGTGCAATCACTCGGTAGTTTATCTGATACTTGGAGCGGATAGAAGGAAAAAGAAAAAAAAAGGAAAGAAAAAAGAATCGACCTCGTATAAGCGTTTCGGCCGAGTTATCGTCGCTGGCCGCGGTTAGGGAGGAAATTGTTATTGCTAAATTGCGGTGATTGGGGCTCCGGAAAATGCCGGCTCGCGGACAATTATCGTCTAACTCGGTCCCTTTAAATCGGCCTGGATGGGATTTTAACTGCGTCGCGTTAACCGCGTTCCTTAAATGCCTTAACTACCGCGAGTCGCACTTGGGCGATTTGCAATCGCGGATATGACAGGGCCAGATACCGAGTTCATTGTTGTGCGACGATAATCGTGAATCACGGCGTGATACGGGGAAGGACTTCTAACGAGGAATAATTTATAATCGCGGCCCGGGTGATCGAGTCCTCCAGGGAACAGAGAAAAATTGCGATTTCACGAGTTATCCCGTGTTCGTCCATTTATTTATCTGGTCGTTTTATATTTATTTAATATTTATTTCGAGAGTTGATGTTAAATAGCTCATGCGAGGATATTATGAGACCGGAGGACTGTCCCGAGACTCGAGAAAAACCGGTCGCACGGCGTGCTGTGCAAAATCTCGGCAATGGCCTGCCGGATGAAAAAAGGAATGAAAAAGGGTTAAATAAAAGAAGAGGGACCCGTCGCGCTCTTTTATTTCCCCGGGAGGATGCGAAAGCGCACGCCCCGGGAATTCGAAAACGAGGGGCCTCCCCATTGCTTCCGAAATGCCGAAATGTCGGCCTTAGGGATGGCGGAGGTTTGCAAATAAAATGTTTTTTCTTTTTTTTTTTTAACGGAAGATATAGCGCTTCGGGGGTGTATTAGGGAAGGTTAGGGTAGGATCAAACGAACTACGCCACGTGGCTCGACGTTGCGCAGGTCGGGGTGTCATCGGTGCGGCATACTTGCGGCCTGATCGCCGTTATTGACTCGAATGGAGCCGATAATGGGGATTTAATCAGCCTCTGATAACGATTGCTGTCCCCAGTCCCTAGACAGAGGCAGTTAGACTCGCGTCTAGAGGAACAATTGTTCTAATAAAAATTTTTCCGTCTGGCGTGGCTCAGGTTAGAGGGCACGGGATTACCGGTGCACCCCATTCGTCCCTTAACGCGGGATAGGTGTTAATATAAATGTTAAAAAATATTCATTAGAAACGGATACGAGGAGGGGGTTGAAGATTAAGAGTGGAGGAATTTTTTGAAGATTTTTTTTTTCCCCCGCCGATTTCGACCGCGAAAAGCGTCCTCGCCTCGAGGCCTCCGAGGGCCTCGTTCCCTCCTTCTCGCCTCTTTCCCTCTCTTGTCCTTTTTTGTGTCAGGGTATTTTCGACCGAGCATGGCGGCAAGTCTAACAATGCAGGTCGAGGGGCGGGAGGGAAACTGGAAGAGGTGGTCGTTGGTCAGGTCCATCCAGGGCCGCTTCTTCAAAAGGCCCGACGAGTCCGAATTTCTACGAGACTTCTCCCTCCGTCGTCGGAAAAGCGGAAAAAAAAAAAAAACAGCCCATTCGTCTTCGGCTCTGATGATATTAATTAAATTCCTATTGTAATGTATAAACCTCCGACTCGGGTCATTTTCCTTGATTTTGTCATGGGTGCTTTTTTTTTATTTTTATTATTAACGAGCTCAGCTGGGAAGTAAACATGGAAGTGTGCATTTCTCATCGCGGCGGGCTGGGAATAAATTTCGGTGTCTTCTATTTTGGATTGTTTCTATATTTTTTTTCTTTTTTTTCTTCCCCTTTCACCGCGATGCGGCCCTGGCCACTACACCAGAGGCTGCGCGCCTCCTCTTCTCTTCTCTTCTCTCTTTTTCTCTCTCTCTTCCTCGGCGAGACCACAGCCTCCGGTCGTCGGGTGGTACCTCTTTCTGGCCGAGTTCCATTTGTCCCGTTCGACTGGGTGTTCGGTCGACCTGGTGGCGGAAATTGGACACCCACGTCGAGCACACCCTTGGCCACGATCGGTCCCACCGAGTGGGTATATTCGCCCGGGAAAATTGTCCGGGGTATTTCCGACCGGAAGTGAGTCACGGAACAGGAACTCGGGGGACACCGGCGAGTCGGCCGATGACTTTTGTTTTCGATTTTATCGGCCCGACAATGAGCAGACCCACCGCGGATATGGATATCATTTTTCACTTTTTTATATATTTTTTTTTCACAATTAAACCCCTAATTTATACAATTTTTTTTACAATTAATCTCGCGATATTCTACTATGCGATATAAAATATAGTTTCTTTTTCCCCGTCGATTGGTCCGTTTTCGAGGAATACTTTTTTTTCTTTTTCTTTTTTATCAGTTCTCGCGATATTCGAGGCCCTCCAAATTTCCGGAGAAATCCGTGGGTGTCGCAGGAGCTGCGTCATCGGATTTCCAAATCAGCCGGTTTCTGAAATCGAGTGACGGGTCATTATCAGCTCTTTCCTACCTCCATTCCGAAATCGAGAGATAACGCCCGAGGTGTGGTATTCCCTTTTCTGTTTTTCAGGAGTCCGGACGGACCCGAGACGGATTTTCTAATTTCTTTCGTTTTTTTTTTCTCTCTCCTCACTGGCTTAAATTTCCGGAATAAATTATCATCTGTATTAATTATACACCTGTCGGGGGCACACCTCGGTGGGCATTATTTTCCCTGATAAGATTTATTGGCCACGTTAGATCGATCCATCGTGACTGGGAGTAAAAGTTATCCGGAATTGATATCGCTAATTAATCCCCATTACCTTGCGGAGAAATATGAAATCGAGAAGTGACTATGTCGTTCTTTCGATTTCGCAACTCCTCACTTTTCCGGCGAGATTAATTTTCTCCAATTTTTTTTTTTTTCTTTTTCCTTTCAAGGTTCGACGCCGGCCACGACGGTTTCCTCGATCTTCCGGAATTGAAAAGGATGATGGAGGTCCTGGGTGCACCGCAGACTCACCTCGGCCTCAAGGCGATGATTCACGAGGTCGACGAGGACCAGGACGGACGCATATCTTTCCGAGAGGTGCACTTCAATTTTCTTTATTTCTGTTTAAATCCACCCCTTTCCTCCTGTTAGGTGAAAAATCTCGAGCACCCCTCCAGGAGGTCCTTTCCACGTCGTCCTTGAAAATGGGAGAAATCCGGCCGCCTCTTCTGGATTTATCCCGCGACCCTGAAGAAGAGAAAGATCGGACGTCGATGCGCCCATTTTTTTTTTTTTTTTCCCCTCGGGCTGCGATAAATTAACGCTTATTAATTTTCTTACCGTAACGGGGAAATTGATGGCCATTAAATTTGCGAGCGAGTGAAGCTGCGAGTGCCGAAGAAGTTGGCCGAAGTAGGGGAAAGTAGGATGTTGTGGTCGACCGAAGAAAGTGCGTAACTGCACTTCGATGTGCCCCCCTCGGGTAATTTCCGTCTAAGGTAGTAAACCTGGAAGTCGCGGAAGAATGTCAACGCGAGGGAGTAGAATGGAATACGGCGTTACCGCGAATTTAATTTCAACCGCGCTCGTAAAGACCCGGGGAAAGAATTCTAGCCGCCGTCGCGAAGTGCCTCTTCAGGGTAGCGACCTGAAGTGGTTGTGCGATCTTCGCAGCGACCTGGATGTGCGGTGTTTGGCAAATCTAATCTGGTTAAATTTGATATGATTAAATTGTTTTTTTTTTTTAATGTTTATTTAACCCTGCACGTTAACGGTGATTCAGAGTCAGGGTGTCATACGTGCGAGTACTTACGTGTCGACCCGGTGACACTTACCTCCGGTGAATCATTCGAGATCGATACCTCGTATTATATATTCGTGTCGCCTCGCATAACGGTCTACGGTCGCATAATTGCACCTCGGTGCGGGTAAACCGTAACATGCAAATTACCGGAGCAGGAGGGCCCTCCCCGTTCGACCCTCAGAATGAAAAATCGACACACCACGGAGTTGGCGATGCCCGGTCACCTAATTACGCGTGCGAGTACCGATTACATGAGTAATGGGTCTCCTTACATATGTATGTACTCTTTATGTTATTCCGAATGTGACTTTGCAAAATGTGGAAAACTCGCAAAATTGGCAATACTCGACACCCTCGTCACGCCGGTCGGGCGAGATTTCTTCGTCGATTTTAAAATGCATTAGTCCTTGACCTAGGATAAGTGTAGGATTATTTTGAGATTGGTGGATGGTAACACTTGATTTTTCATTACAGTTTCTGCTGATCTTCCGGAAGGCGAGGGCTGGAGAATTGGAGCAGGATTCCGGGCTCGGTCAGCTGGCCCGTCTGACGGAAATCGACGTCGACGAGGTCGGCGTCACCGGCGCCAAACACTTCTTCGAGGCCAAGGTGGGTCGAGGTCGTTGGATAATTCATCTCCGATGATATAAACGGAGACTCGGGGGTAAACCTCACCGGTCTTATCGAGGTCCTTCTCTCGATTCCCAGTTCCTCAGAGGCCTCTGCGAATGCAGAGATACCCGGATTTAATAAATGGGATAAATAATCATTGCACGGGATTTTAATTGATGGGGGTAATCGACGGTAATTTTTTATCTTTATTTTTATTTCAGATCGAGGAATTGCGCAAAGCGAGCAAATTCGAGGACGAGATCCGCATGGAGCAGGAAGAGCGGAAACGCGAGGAAGAGGAGAGGGCCCTGAGACGCGAGCAATTTCGACAAAAAGCCGCACTTTTTGGGAAAAATTAGCCTTACGAGGGCCAACCCTTAACGTAGTTTGGAAATCATTTTAAGAAGCGAGACGTAGACGAGAGTTTCCCGATTTCGTATCGAAAGGGGCCCAGGAGGTTCTTTTATGTTCACATTTCTCTTTCTCTTCTCGTTCGTTCAAGATATTCACTTTTCATATATTTTTTTTTTTTCTCCCCCGGAGCCAGATTCAGCGATCAGTATTTTATCAGGCTGTACTTGACGAATTCTTTGGAGTAATTCCATTTTTAATTCCAGGACGTTAGGTCGATTTAACGGACATGTGTTAATTTATTTTATTCTTGATTCGAGGATATTTTACATCGTTTAACAGATTTTACAGTTCGAGTGTGTAGCTCTATTTGTAATTTTTTAGCTTCCTACGAGTTGCCTTCGAAGCCACAATTTTTTACAAAGCTGTCCTTGTTTTTATAGCTGAATTTTGCCTTTATCTGCTGATTCGTCGCAAGGAATACCGCGATCTGCCAGTGTCGTACAAATCCGCAAGTTTTAATTTGTTTTTAACTGTGGGAATGGTTGTGAGTTTTTGTCTTTTATTTTTTTTTCTTCCTCTCCCTTTTGTCACTTTTCTCGAACTGAGGGGAATCGGGAGAGTCGGCGAGGATGCACCTCTGCCGATGAATTTCTAGAAGCACGCACGACTGATGTATAATTAGCGTTTGGTAAGGTGTCTTTAAAGTATAGGAGATGTCGCCTAGGATGTTTGTTAAGATAGTTATGGATTTAGGATAAATAAGGCCTTGTTGATTCGGCGAGAAATTTAAGTCGAGCTCAAGCGATCGTTTCCTCGTACCCTTTGCCTTGTCTTTTATCAGTACAACTACTGTTTCTAATGTTGAACACAGTTCAAGTTTGAGCTCGACCTGAGTTGAAGTTTAAAAGGAATTCAGTCTGGTTGTTAATGTATCCGCCGATAGGAAAAAGTACTTTGTCCCGCACATGGTGATGTTTCCTTTTCCACGCGTATATGTATCTTGTAAATAAAGTTGTATGCATAGTTCTCACTCGAGTTTCAACGCAATGGGGATTCTTAGCCTTTTAGGCATTTCAAGACGTACTTCGGTGTCCTTTTCGGCCTCGAAGTATTCCCGTTAAAATTTATAGGCTTCTCTTAAGATCCTCCTAACTCCTTTACACTCTTGTGAAGCTGCCATGAAAATCTATAATTTAATGACGCTACAAATCGTCTTAGGAATTTCGTAAGTCCCGCTAAATTTGGTTCCGGAGGACAGCGCTATTCGTGGGAACTATTTTACGTGGCTCGCGTAGTAATATCGGTATAGTTGGGAAATTGCTCACGGACTGGGTCGCATGATGGTGTTTTGTGCTGCCCCTTGGTGGTCGGTGCGGGAGGCTAACGTATGAACTCGATCCGAGCTAATGGCGATAGCCGTATGCAGTTCTCGTGTTATCTTACTTCGTGGATATTACTGACACGAGTCCCACCCTTTTTCTATCACGAAAGTAATGTCAGCGTCAGTGACTAAGTACATACTCAATTGTTTGAATGAATGTTGACATTTAGGATTATCACTACATTTCTTTACAAATGGCTAAGTGCCTTGTAGTGATACTCTCGATTCTGTACTTTTGCTACCTAGGTAAGATAAAGTTACTCAGTTGTTTGTAATCATTGCACACGAGGCTCTGTTATTACCGTTGATTTTAGGCAACGCCCTAGAATGCTATGTGTGCACTAATCAGGAGGATAATAAGGAGAAGTGCATAAAAAGCATAAAAACGTGCGAACAAGGCGAAGACGTATGTCTGACGGAGATAGCATGGGGAAGTAAGTGTTACGTCTGCCACTGTATGTCAACTTTATACAGAACGTAAGTCCGATGCCACCGCTTTGTCTCCTCAGGTACACCGTACTGGTCTCAGGGCACCAAGAAGCAATATTACATTTCAAAGCGTTGCTCCACTAAAAAGAACTGCGAACGAGTCAGGCGTAACAACATGCCCGATTGCACTCACATTTGGTATCAAGATTGGAAATGTTCGGAGTGCTGCAAAGGGGACCGTTGTAATTATTATATCATCGTAAGTCTTTTTCTAGATGCTAGAATAACAGGAACCTTCCCAACTTTTCTTTACGATCTTAATTTCCCTTTTGTTCCAGTCTGGTAGCGGTAGGACAGGAATTTGCCTGGTAACGATACTAGCAGTTCTTTTGCCCATGTTTCATTGGAGCATTCAATAACGTACGTCCTGACTGTACAGAATCCACTCCTACCGCATGACACGGTCATGCCGAGTGCTATATGCACTATATTTTAGAATGCAGGAGCTAACGCCCATATTGAAAGTCTCGCGACTACCTACACAGTGTACCTGTGCATTTCACAAGATCATTCCATTAACCACAAGGGCAAAAAAAGAATCTAGTAAGATTGGTACCACGCCGGCTACTACCGGTTCAGCGAGCCAAGCGTGATACCTAGCTTTTAAACCTTTTTTTTACAATTTTATACAGTATGTACTGCATGACTACATACTTAGCTATAAGATCTAGTTTTACGACTGCTAGATGGAGCGTGAAGTTACGTTCGCGTTGGAACTGCGCCCGTCTAGCAATATCAATTTTAATTACCAAATATGCGCCGACACGTTTTTAATCCGTGAAGTACAACTCGGTCCGTCCAATTTTAAATAAATATACCATGTTTTTTAAATAAGATTCCCATCCTACGTGCGGTCTCATGTCATCTGTACATCATTTATCAGCCGGCAATTCACTATCAGGAATGAAGTTAATCAACTGTTTACGGTAAAAATTCCGGCTCTTCGAGATACTATCTGTTGATTCTTTTAACAACCGGAACAGTTATCTCTTAACGCGTTAGATGCTATCGAGCCTCCCTGGCTTATTAACAAAGATAATCGCGCCGTAGAATTCCTCCGGGTCCGATCGGAACTCTCGTCGATATCTCAATCGAACACTTAAAGCCCGCAAGGCAATTCATCAACCGATAGCGAGTACCTTCCTAGTCGGTGAGTCAGCGTCATAAATATTTAAAACTAGGAAGCGCTAATCAACCACCGTTAAGTCGCGTTAACAATGTATAATTAATCGACATAACCAACAAGGAAAAAAAAAAAAAGAACGCAAGATCCGTTAGTGACGATTGCAGGAAAGATCCTCGGCTACCTTGTAACACAAATAACACGCACAACCGGTACGCAGGAAATGTCACCAGGACATCTCGCCAATGTCGCAAGATTCGTTGGCCTTATTTCTCGGCAGCATTCCGACTAAGCGACATTTTTCTTTTTTTTTTTTTAGTTCGCTCGCCGGCCGAGGAGAAGAGGATTTCTAACTTTTCCCCCTGACGAGCTACGCATTATTCCTTCCCGAAGTTTAGACACCGAGTCGTCCCCACCAGCACGTGGACGACCATTTCGTCCGTTTGTTTTTTTTTTCTTTTCTTTTTTTCTTCCCTCCATCCTTGCGACATCGCCAAGAGGAATAACCAACTCCTCCGAGGCACTCCTCCGTGTCCCGATTACGCGCGCCGAATGGTGGCCGCCGATCGCGCAATCGTTACCCCAAATAAGCGGATCGAACGCCTTCGATTCCGCTTTCGTGTCCAAGAGGCCGACAGTCTTCGACTCCGCGGGTCCACTGGCATCGTCTCCGATAAAACGAGCTCGTTCCGCTGATAAGCCGAAAAAACAGCCGACCAGTCAGGACGCCGCACGGTCCGCACTCAGGTAACGCACCTGCGAAGGATAAATTGCGATTACTTGCGACTACTTTCTCCCTATCCCGGGAATCAGGTTTACCGAGATAAGAGTACATCTTGCAATGACCGGGGCGGTACTCGAGACTTTTATCAATGCCACCGACTGGCGATTCATTCGTTCAATTGGAGAAAATAGATCGGCATCGTCAGATTAGCGCGGCGATACAGTCGACCGTCAGCGGATTCCGCTGATACTTTGGACGCTAGTCTTATGTAGGGTACCGAGCACATCCCGAATATCAGCGGTTCCTCTCCTCCGGTCAATTAAAAGTACGAGGAGGGCCAGTAGTAAGTCAATCGACCGTTCAATTGGGACGGGAGAAATCGCCGGGGAAGATCGTTAAGACATTTGGACGGTACTCCTTGTTCCCTTCGGATGTCGCGGTCCTTGGCGAGACCGAGAGAGACCATGGACCGCCGACTGTCCGCACTCTTTACGGTGAGTTACCGCTACGGCCGAGTGACTTTGAAAAAGTACATTCCACCGGCAATTACATAGATATATACGCGTCGTTCCATTTATATTATGTAAAGAAACGCGTCGCAGAGAGAGAGAGAGAGAAAAAGAGAGGGGGCAGGTGCATAGGTGTCTGCCCAGCAAAAGATAAAGAGTCGTCGCGTGACTTTTCAGACGCGGGTAATGCAGTCGCTCGGGCTGGACGCGGTTTTCGGGGCCCTCGGCAGGAAGAAGCGACTCGAGGAGGCCCCTGCGGAGTCGAAACTTGCGAGATGTCTCACCACCCTGGACCTGATCGCCCTGGGGATTGGATCTACTCTGGGCGTGGGCGTCTACGTCCTCGCCGGCTCCGTGTCTCGTGACATAGCCGGACCAGCTGTGGTCATCTCCTTCGCCATCGCCGCCCTGGCCTCGGTTTTCGCAGGTACTCGGCATCTTCTGGAATAAAATCCATACGTACACTTCGCATCCTTCGCTACGTAGAATAAATGACCAGCCTTGAAGACGCGTCATCGAGCACTCGATGCGCGGCTCATGGTCCATCATTTTCTCTCTTTTTTTTTTTTTTTTAATGACTTACCGCCTGACACAACGCTCGGTAATTTGGCAAGCTTAAGGTAACGCCTCGGAACGTGTGTTGAGGAAACGTGTCAAAAGCAACGGTTTGCATCCTAGGGCTCTGCTATGCGGAGTTTGGGGCCAGGGTACCTCGAGCTGGTTCGGCTTACATCTACAGCTATGTGACGATGGGGGAGTTCATCGCCTTCCTGATTGGCTGGACGCTTATCCTGGAGTACGTGATCGGATCTGCAAGCGTGGTGCGAGGACTCAGCACTTACGTGGACGCCTTGCTGAACAACACCATGAGGAAGGCCTTCGAGTCGGCCGCGCCGATCGACGTCAGCAACCTCTCCTCGTACCCGGACTTCTTTGCGTTTGGAGTGACCCTGTTATTCGCGGGTGCGTCTTGGAGATGAAGCTGAAGACGAAGGTGGTAGATCTCCGGACTCCTCGATGATTCCTGTGATTTTGGTTGCAGCCGCGCTGGCATTCGGCGCGAAGGAGTCCTCCTTGGTCAACAACGTCTTCACGGTGGTCAACCTGGTGGTGGTCCTCTTCGTGATAATCGTTGGCTCCTCCAAAGGTAACACCCATCGCTCTGCGGGAATAAAGTCAACTAAGTGGTAATATACGATTCTCGGTTTGCAGCTGATACCTCGAACTGGAAGACTCAACCCACGTGTACCAAGACGGACTGCAAGTTTGGTACCGGAGGGTTTGCACCTTATGGTATCAGTGGCATCATCAGCGGGGCTGCGACTTGCTTCTATGGGTTCATCGGCTTCGACTGCGTGGCTACCACTGGAGAGGAAGCCAAGAACCCGCAGAAGTCCATCCCCATAGCCATCGTGGTGTCCCTCACCATCATCTTCCTGGCGTATTTTGGGGTCTCCACGGTTCTCACCATGGTTTTGCCGTACTACGAGCAGAATCCTGACGCCCCGTTTCCACATCTCTTCGACAGCATTGGATATCAATGGGCTAAGTGGATAGTGTCCATCGGTGCCATCTGTGGATTGTGCGCCAGGTGGTTCTTGTTCGGTACCTTCGATCATCAACTTAGCTCCTTCGCTGACTAACTTATCGCTGCGCAGTTTACTAGGTGCCATGTTCCCATTGCCACGAGTTATCTACGCCATGGCCATGGATGGTCTCATCTTCAAGTGGATGGGGAAAGTCAGCTCCAGGTTCCAGACACCTTTGGTTGGAACCTTATCTGCTGGTCTACTCACGGGTATTCTTGCGGCCATCTTCGAACTCTCCCAGCTGGTGAACATGATGAGCATCGGTACCTTGCTGGCTTACTCCATCGTTGCGGCTTGTGTACTTATTCTGCGGTATGAAGAGAGCGAAGCGTACGAGAAGAAGGAGGATCGCGATCCCAGGACGTTCATGTTTATCGTTAAGCAGCTTGTAAATGCTAACAGGTTGCATCACTCGACGAGACTCACGTCGCAAATTGTAACGTGGCTTGTCTTTTTTTACTGTAAGTAAATGCTGTGGCATTAAGGCAATTACTTACCTGACTGGGCATTGATCTTGTATCTTCTTGCAGTTGTCCTGTGTATATGCACCACTGGTCTCATCTCTGCTTACTCGGATGAGATCACCAATATCGACACTGTTGTATTAGTGGTGCTTGTCGTTCTCGTTGTTCTTTTAATATTGTCCCTCTTCTTCATCTACATGCAGCCGGTGTCCGGGAAGAAGCTGGCCTTCTCCGTGAGTTTCTGAATTCTGATTGGTCTCGATGGGGATTTGTCTTCTTCAAATTAATTATGTCATATCATCTTGCAGGTTCCACTGGTACCAATTCTGCCAGGAGTCAGTATCTTGGCGAACACATATTTGATGATGATGTTGGACACCATGACTTGGGTGCGGTTCATCATCTGGATGGGGATCGGTGAGCATTGTCGAAGAGTGGGTTTTACATCGATCCAACTCGTCGAAGAACTTATGTTTTTTTAATTTTTAAACAGGGCTTATTATATATTTCTCTTATGGCGTGTGGAACAGCGGCATCAGAGAGAAGAGATTTACGGCAAAGTTTGCCTCAACCAATGGAAGTATTAATTTAGGTTTCCGCAACAGTATTGACACTCCAAAGTGTACGTGACGACAGTTGCTGGCGACTGGCTGAGGGCGGTATAAATAAAAGTATTGTCATATCATGACACAAAAATCACATGCAGCATTCCTTTTCTAAGAGTGATTAATATATTATGAAAGGTCTTGAGAATGTCCTTTATTTTTCGTATACAACTGTAAACGTATCCACTGAATAAATATGTTTCTTTTTAACATGACAGGACATGTTGGTAACGGTTCAATAAAATTGCGTAAAAAATGGTTCAATATACATATAGTATTCAATCCTCGCAATTAGATTCCAGTTGGAGAGCATTCGATGCTCCTAATTTAGATCTCTTGCACTGCCAAGCGCAATTGATTTCAGGTTAGGATCTACCAACAATGCACCAATATTAAATAACAACTTCCAATATTCTAGGCAATCTGTTAGTAACCAGCCAAACACCATTATTGTTAGTACTGACTAAGTCTACATACAAAACCTTACAAAATGTAACCTGGATAATCTCAGGAAAGTACATATCACGAACTTCGAGTGACTTTTAAAATTAGCATTTGATCGGTAGACCTAAACATCACAGTTCGAGAGTCACCACAGGGACCTAAATCAACCGAATAAACCCTCGTCCAAACATGCAGCATTAAATATGGCGTTCGAACGGTAATAAATAATGTAGAAAATTCCAACTGAGATTTCAACCTGCTTCGAAATTTTAAGACCAATCGCAGGAGCCAATGGACACAGCATGCCGGAGCATTAGCTTACCCTCTGTTACCTGAATGTAAGGTCACCATAAAATCTTAAACATCCATAATAAGTAACGATAACAATCTCCTGTGCCATACCCTCCACTTATTGGAGCATGGGGTTGTGCACTGTCGATGCATCCGAGTTGGATATGGTGGGTACTGGTTTATCATTGTCTTCCAGCTTTTCTTTCGAATAGTGCAGTTCTTCCTTCTGTCTCCGATTTACTACCAGTCTCACGATGTAAAGAAGAATGAGTGGCAATGGTGTCATTATGGCACAAGAAACTGGCACAACTGAAAGTAGATTATTCATGTCAAGCTAGAAGTGACATAAGTCATGCCGAACTCACCAGTGGTCAAATCTGCAGCTGGTTGGTCCAGACTGAACCGTAAGAGGAAGATCGCGATTCCAGTGTTCTGAATTCCTGTTTCGATGGAGATTGCTCTGGTGTCAGGCGTGGGTTGTCTCATGACAAGCGAGACCAAGTAACCGAATATGTATCCAAGCCACGGCAGACCCATTCCAGCAACAATGATCTTAGAATTGAGACGATCACTGATTAGACATTCTGAGCTTATGAGCAAGGTGTAATTCACTCACCTGCCAGGAGAAGAGTTGGAAGAGGTAAAGGTTTGTTATGATGGCAAACACTACAATGAAGATGATAAGGATAGCGGAGAAGGGTTTCATGATTCTGACCATCAGGCGAGAGAGCCTGGGGAGCTTTTTCTGGATGAAGTACCCAATCGCAAGGGGAAGCACAAGGGCGATTGCAAACATCGCGATCCGAGAGTAGGGAACTACGAGATGAGCTCGCTCGAATATTCGTCTTCCCAATGTAAAGATCCACAATGGCATCATTCCTGAACAGTTGCAAAGCTTGACGATAGATAAAAATCTAGAAGTAGCGTTTAATAATTATATATCAAATGTGTTTTAATTACCAAATGCGGCGATAGTACAGATGGTGGTCATGGTAATGGAGAGATTTATATTCCCTCCGAGAAGTAAGGTCCAGATGTTAGAAGCACCACCACTGGGACTTACTCCTGTGAAAAACATGCCAAGCTGCATCTCGTGATTATCCGGAAATAGAAAGTAACCAACCACGTAACTTATCTGAGGTGGAAATCAATTAAACGACGTTATTACAACCTAAATTATCGATTTTGTTTTGTTAACTCAATGACTTACCACTGGCATGAAAAGGAACTGCGTGATGAAGCCAATGGTAGGTCCGATGGGTTTTCGCAGAGTTTTGCGACATATCTCCCAGTCCATAGCGCATCCAAAATTAATATACAGAATAGATACAAGAATGGCGACACTTGCAGTAAAAATTATATCTATTGGTCGCTGCGGACGAATTACGGTCACTTTGAATATGGACATTCTCTCAACCATCTAAAGGAACAAATGTCCGTAAAACAAGTAGCAGCTAATAAAAACTAAGTGTTCTCGTCAAAATGCAATGTTCATAATGTGATTACCCCATCCACTGTTGCATTCACTGAGACTTCAGCGTATCCTAAGAATACCGCAGTGATGTTAAAAGTAGCATTCCAAAAACCATTCTGAACATCTTTTTCGTTAAATACAGGGACTTGTACGGTAACGATCTTATCGTTGGAGGTACTGGCAGAAAGACTAATATTCTTATATTCTGTTAAAGGTACAGGAACTGTATACAGTGATGATATTGTGCTTGTCATTTCAATTGTCACAGACACAGATTCCATATCTTGGCCCATCGCTTGAACTGCTCCCATAAGGAGCAGTCCTAATATTAAGTATCTCATTTTCTACAAAAATAAAACAGCGTCTTATTAAATCTGGATCAATGTAAAACTATTGCCTATCCATATTATTTTGTACAAGTTACACTGTCATACTGAATCAGCAATAAGTCGAAACTATACTAAAGAAATATCTTAGATAAATATGACCAAGGTCTTTAAATGAAACATTATCTCCCTCTCATAACGCAAAGCAATCAATACATGCCTGATAAGATGAGAAGCACTCTTGGACCTTTACGTGTACAAATATTTACCCACGTATGAATGTTTCTTTGAAAGTAGTTGAAATAAAGTAATAGTTTCATAACTAAATCAAAACGATTTATTTGAACTGCGCAACTATAAGCTCCGCAAGTTACGGCAACTTCCACTTCATCCACTTTTGGAATTACATTGTAGGTCAATAGTAATGGAAATGGTAATCTTTCCCCATACGAAGTATTTTTTTTTACAAAAGTGGCGCACTTCCTTTCGACGCAGTTTCACAGAATTGCAACTAATGCAAAGTTTAATAAAAGAAAAAACGAAAATTCCAGCAATCGATAGACAAGCTTTTTTTAATTCGGAATGTAGGGATGAATTGTTGTTACCCTTTGTTACTTACACAAGAATTGTGCTATTCAAACCACTTAACCGGGAACGATATGTTGCTTTCAACAAACATACTCTTGCACTTTTATGTGCATTTGCATGCCTACTTGTAATTTCGTCACCTAACCTCGGGGTCTATCACGTAAAGCAAATTTAGCGAAAATGTGAAAAATGAGTAGCTGACGTGAGATGAAAGTGCGAGAAGTGAGCGCTCTCGTTAAAAATACGTAATAAACGCTCTCGTTTATGCTCGCAATTCGTGGTTTCTACGTCTTGCATTTATCTAACGTTTTGTCCAAATTACATAAAATTTACTAGATTTCAATCTAAGGATATTTCTCACCGCAGGAAGGATGAAATAACGAACATGCTGACATTGCAGTATAAAGCGCGCGAATGCGAAGTTTGATTTTTCTTAGGTTATGAACAGTTATGAAAAGGAACGCGCAATTCCAAGCAAGAAAATATTCCCTTTTTAACTGAAAATTTGCTGGTTATTGTTACTACTGTTAAGAAGATTCTTATAAGATGGCAGAGAATAATTTACAAGATAAGCTTAAATGTTATTATATGAGGTTATTCCCATTCACCCACTTCTATCGATGGCTCAGTTACGGTGACAGTAAGAATTCTTGTTATTTCTGATTATTGTAGTATTTAAATAAAAAAGACTCACTGTAGATATACATTTTAGGAGACATATTCGCTCGCAGGGAATTCTCCTATACCATTCGTAATGAAATTTATATAAGGTTCAAATCATACATGAGTTTTCAGCAGTTCGAGAAAGAAGTCAGAAGGCTAATACCTTTCAAAATTGATATCGGGGCAGTGTACAATGTCTAGTGAGAATATTTAATTTAATTATGTATGTTGTACTGTCCATTGCTTCAATAGTTTGTATAATGCTTAATTTTTCTATTAATCTAGTCCTTCTCAAGACAAAAAGGGTATTAAATTTAGAGCGGTGGAGAGGGAACTTGTCTTTGATATAGACATGACTGATTACGATGATATAAGGATCTGTTGCTCGGGAGCAAGTGTTTGTCCAAAATGTTGGAAATATATGGTCATCGCTTGTAAAGTGCTAGATCAAGCATTAAGAGGTAGTTCTCAAAATCTAGAATCTAGATTTGTGTGAAAAATTAAGGGAAAATAAGTATTCCCACATTTGCTTTATTTTCAGAGGATTTTGGGTTTAAACATCTGCTCTGGGTGTTCTCTGGTAGAAGAGGCATACATTGCTGGGTATGCGACGAGAATGCAAGAAAAATGGATGGAATAATGAGAACTGCTGTTGCAGAATATTTGCAGTTAGTTACCGGTGGAGAATTCATGGCAAAAAAGGTCAATCTTCCAGGAGACAAACTCCATCATTCTATTAGGTGAAATTTCAGCTCAATTTGAATTCTAAATCTCAGCAGCTTTGTATGAAGGTAACCGAATTATTGACTTCAGCCGTGCCGTTCAAATAATAAAACCCACGTTCGAGGAGTTGTGTGTGATAGAACAAGACATGCTGGGCACAGGGCTTGGTGTTAGGAAGTTCTTGTCTATAATACCTGAATCAACCTGGAAATCTGACTTGAAAGCCTTGTTTGACAAATGTAAAACTAGTCAAGAGCGATGGCAGGCATTCCTTAAATATTACGAGAATCAAAAGCCCTTGGTACGAATAGCTAGTTATAGACCAACTCTGAATAAGTACAGTAATCTGAAAATTTAATTCATATTTTAAGGCTGCAAAAGGATGGCGCCAGTCCAATTTCTTGGTAGAAGAAATCATGCTACAGTACTGTTATCCGAGATTGGACATCAACGTCAGTAAAGGCCTAAACCATCTACTGAAAGCTCCCTTCTGCATCCACCCAAAAACCGGCAATGTCTGCGTACCATTTAATCCAAAAGTCGTGGAAAAATTCGATCCCTTCAACGTCCCCACCATAGATAAAGTGTTCGAAGAAATAAACGAGTACGATGCTAAGGAGAAGGCCTTGAACAAGGAGTACGTCCCTAACGCCAGGATCAAGGGGTACAAGAAGACCAGCCTCAACAAACATATCCACATTTTCCAAGAGTTCCTATGGAAGATGGAAGAGTCCCAAAAGGGCCAGAAAATCATTAAAAGTGGTAGGAATACTACTAAACAACCCCTCTAACTTTACACACACAAAAACAAAGTATAACAAAAAACCAAAATATATTTCAGACATGACGATGGAGTTCTAGAGCAGCCTCAACCCCTGGGAAAGCTCATCGGAGCATCATTCATCTTACCATTGCTGTACATACCCTTCGCGAAACCAAGAAAGTAAAGTACCTAAACTCATTTTTAGGTCTAATAGACGCAGAAAAATGTACAATTCAACTGATTTTTAGGTCCAATAAACGCAGAAAAATGTACAATTACCCCGTCAGTTCTTTTTGCAGTCGCTTTCTCCTCCCCCGACCTCTTCACCTCGCAATAAACACACGGTACTTAACGCTCTTGTCGGAGATACCATAAAACTGTTTTAAACCGTTCTACGGTCCACGTAACGTGGCTCTGCTAACAAAGTTATACAGAATCATGTCGGGTTTCTTCTGCGGCAGAACGCTCGCCTCCATCGGACGAATATGTTCCAGCCTCACCATGGTGAGTCCTGCTTCATCCTTTTGCTAATTGCTTTTCCGTAGAAAAAGAAAACCAGCGCTGCAGGGATTCAGACACTGCAATGAACCCTGTAGACCGAAGCCCGCAAAAGTTGGACCTCCAAGAGCACCTAGCCGATGAAAAGAACCGGAAATGAAGAACGTTGCGGTTCCAGCGATCCTGATCGCATTCTGGAGCCTGACGATCGTCCAGGGTAATTTCGTGCGAGAAGGGGACATCTGCGGACCCCACAATGGCCGAAGGCTCTATCTGGAGCTGGGGGAACAAGGTCTCCTGTACGGAAGGAACATCTCGTCCCCCAGGCCTCCACAGGACCCAACATCCCGGCCACAGGACGAAGCCATCGTGACGAATAGTTCCCACGAGCAGTGCAGTTTGGAGCTGGTGACCTGTCCCTCTTGCATCATCGTCGTCACCTTCAAGAGTCTCAACCTGGCGCACCACTGTAGGGATGGAAGCGTCACCGTCGACAGCCCCTGCAGGTGAACCCTCGGTCGACGTTCCTCCAGCTCCCTGAAACTTCTTTAAGGGATCATCATCGATCGATCGCCTAGCTAGAGTCCTAATGACGCAGTCAACATTTCCAAGATTCACCAAGGTCCTTCTTGTTTCCTGCTGCGGGATCCTGGCGAGTGCAGATGCGACTACGTGTGGCTCTCGGAACCGCCCTACGAGGACGTGTCCGGGACTCCATTTTGCGGTCTCTTTTCGCCAATCACCCACCGATCGAGTACCCGGACCTTGTCGATCGCCCTCCTGTACAGCCAGGCTCACGTGGACGCCTTCACCATCGAGTACACATCCGAGAGTTAGTAGAGAGGGTGATCAGGTGATCAGATAGCACGTTATCGGGAGGCTTTTATCGAAACTTGTGATTTCTTTCAGGGAACAGGATTCACCTGAGTGGGTCGGACGTTGTGGCTGGGATAGCGAAGACTGGGAATGGATCTACCGGGGGCATCTTGACGTCCCCTTTCTTCCCAGCTAGGTATCCCCGAGATCTGGGAATGGAGTACATCGTCACCTGTCCTAGCGAGGCCCCCTCCTGCAGGGTCAGGATACTCTTCAGCGACTTCCAGCTCGCCACGGTCTCTATTATGGAGGTAGAGCCCTAAACGACCTCGGTTCTTAAACCTCTCGTTTAGGGGAATCACAATTAATTATAGTATAGGAGACCCTGAAGGGGTGTCTCGATGCCTCTTTAAGTCTGCAATTTTCAGTTTTACGACTGGAATGGACAACGACTGGACGTCAGCAGCGGGGCCAGGTTTAGACCCCCTGTTATAGTCAGCTCGGGTCCATCGCTGCTGATAAGGTTCTACGCTAACGGTGGCACCGGCCTCGGCTACAAGGCCTTCTACTCCTACGTGGTGGGCCATTTGTATGACAAATCCATCCAGCCGATCACCGACTGCGGAGGATACGTGGAAAACCTGGGGGGCGCCATCACGATGATGGACATAGTCGATCATGGCGTTAAGACCTACGACTGCGTATGGCTTATCAGGCCTCCCAAGAATTTCCTCCACATGAAGACGCATATGTACATTAAGGTCGTCGCGTTCGCGGAGATGGGTAGGTACTGTTCCTGTAGATCTAATAATAATTAGACGATGTACTTGGTCGATCCCGAGACCAGGAAGTCGTTGGTTTCCAGCTGGGACCACGGAGGTGGTGATCAAGCAAGGACCTACTTCGGCTCTGATGCCTCTGGAGGTGTTGAGGCATCCTGTAAGCCAATTGCAGCCGCCAAGACTTCGGGAACACGTTGCTCCAGTTTCCAGTGGATTTCATGTCAGTCTCAGAGGAAGTTTCGGGCCAACCTCCAGACTAGCTATCTCTTACGCCGCGTTCAGCTACATGGGTAATTGGACCGAGAGTTAGTGCACTAGGCCAAGAGGCAGCGCCATTAGTTTCCGATTACTTCTCACCTAAGATGTTCGATCCACTGATTAATTGCCGGTCCGTAATCTTGGAATTGCTTCTCTTTGCAGACTGCTTCACGGGTTCGGATTTCCTCTGCCAGAATCACAGGTGCATCCCGAGTCAGCTGAACTGCGACGGGTTCGATCATTGCGGTGACAACAGTGACGAGCCGACGACTTGTTTCCGCGGTAGGTGCTCCAGGATCTGCCGTGGAAGTCGCAGGTTCTACCTGGACAGGCAGAACGCCAATTGTTACATCTGGGATTCTTATATTATTTTAGAATGGGAGTTGGAGCCCCAGGACAGGAAGTGGCACATCAACAAGGCGAACTATTATTTCCCGAAGATCGACCGATATCCGGACCTGAAGACGGCCACCCTGGTCTTCGTTGCGAGTAGTCTTGGTCTGATAATTCTAATATCAGCTCTGATAGTACTGCTCTACAGGATGGGAGCCAGAGCTCGCCAACAAAGGGAGCTGCAGTCTCGTCTCCAGACCATCAGCGAACTCCTAGGTAGCTTCGCCACCGGAAATAGCATCTGCGTCAACACCCTCTTCAGCCTTAATTCCCACAGTTTTCGACATTGCAGACGGTGCCAGAATAGACGAAATCACGGTATCCGATGACCCTCCCGTGTACGAAGCTCCTCCAGGATATGACGAGGTCGTCAAAGTCGGGTTCGAGCACGAGACGGGAAGAAGAAGAAAACGAAGGAGTGCCTGCAGGGAACCTAGAAGTCGAAGCTCGCCGTCTACGCACTCGTCAGTTATTCGACATTGACCTCATGAAAAAGAACAAGAAATCCGGAACATTTGTCCGGAGGGAAGTGTTCGGATCCATTCACTGAATTACCTTTGTTGCGTCCAGGATCGACATCGAGCAGTTCGTTCCCCTGACTTCGGAAGGTGCCAGCACGAGCAGGAGTAGCCAGACAACCCCGGTTTTATCGGATTCGAAGAGCAACATCCCGGAGAGCCCGCCACCACCATACGTGACTCCTCCTGGGACCATCCCCAGAAACCTGGACATCTTTGGTCTTCCATCCTGCTCCATTGCTGCCAGTGAGTATGCCAAAGGTGCAGTGGAAAGAGGAAAAAAAACGGAGGTAGGAACTAATGCTTTCGTCCAGGTGGTTCTCCAAGCCTGAGTCGCCGAGGTCGCAGGTCTCGCAGGGCTTGGAAGCGCAGCAACACCGACCAGCAATCCTCTTCAAGGACGTGTTCGCCTCAGCGAGCAGGACCATCAGCGTCCCTGGACGCGGAGATGCTGGGTGCGTATCTCCGGGACTTCGAGGCGAACCTTGCTGAACCCTCTCCCCCACAGTCGACCAGCTCCTGCGGTGTTTCGACGAGGGAGAAACCAGGGTACGAAGACACGTCCATCAGTCCCGAGAAGCGCGCCAGAGATCGCGACAATCTAGCAGAAGCGGAAACCTACGAGGGCGAGGTCGCAGGAACCAGCGACGACGCTAAGCTGAGCTGCACCTGCGAGGGAGCCTGCGGATGTGCCAGCCAGAAGGAGAACCTGCTGCAGGACAAAATGCTGGAGCCAGGCTCGCCATGTTCGAAAAGTAGTATAATTAAGCTGCTGGGCAGTTCCAGAAATTCTACGTCTCCTAGACGCACGGGTACCGCGGTGTCCGCCTCTTCCACGCCCCCCGGTACCCTGGGGAGATCCTGTAGGAACTCCTTCAGGAAGGTGTCCGTCAGGTCCAGGGATAGCTGTGTCTCCAGGATCTCCAACATCACCGGCAGCAACAGCTACGAGAAGCTGCAGGATGAGTTCGAAATCATTTCGGAGACGGCCAGTGTGTTCACAGGCCCCAGCACCCTGGCGAACACCCCCATCGACACGCCGAAAATCACCTCCAGGAACAGGTCCCTGTCTTTGAGGAGGTACTCTAACTCCGACATGGATAGCCTGTATGAGGGGATAAGGATTCTTGATACCTTTCTAGCCAGAAGGGGCAACGGCGTGTCGGCTAGAAACCAGTCGGTCGCTGTTATGGTCTTCGGGACCCCGGAACACAGGGCCAGGGCCAGTTGCTGCGAAACCACACCCTGTGTCGATAAGAAGAGGGTCTGGAGATCGAGCGATGGCTTTCTTGGGAATTGACCTTCCTTTTTTAATCCCATTCCGAGGGAAGCGATTGCCAGGGGAGTCTTCTAGGTGGAACCAACCGGGGATTAGCGATTCGTACCTGCGTTGCTAATGCTTGCGGGGATTGTGGTTTTATGCCTTCACTGTTCACGACATGGAAAAATTGTGTATACGAAACTTGTTGCTGATTGTCCGAGGGTCATCTTTTGTCTAATTACTGGTTTTCGTATTTGTCACAGTTCGGGCAGAAAACCGTGTTTTTCTCTTGCTGCTGAACGTAGACTGCTTCGCATGGCGGAAATAGACGTGCTTTTGATTGCCTAGAATTTGCAATTGTTTTGCCCTGTATCAATCTGTTATGTAGGTGTTCAGATCTGATTTTTAATGGCATGTCTGCATGCTTCTCTGTGTGTTAGCGATAGATGATAGCTGTAATTTTGATTCTTGTGGCATTTCCTGCTCCTCGGCAAGTCAAGGCCCGCGATTAATAAAAATTATTTAATGTTGTAAAAAATGGGCAGATCCTTTTCTTTGACATCGTAGAAGACTTGGACGACGGTGAAGAAACGTCGAATGACTATTTCTAGGATGACGAGAAATTTGAAATTCTATTTCATTCCTCCACGAGCTCTTCTAGGGGAATTTTGGGAAGATTGTAGGACCTCAGGGTTACTTGTTGTAATCATTATTAACAACTACTTTTTTCGATGCAACTCACTGTACATTAACCGCATAGTAAAATATACCTCATTTATATAACGATATACAACCATTTTTCCTTTCCGCCGTTTCCCATGATTTTTTCCCATTTTTCCCACCCATTCCCTGATTTCTTCCTTTTTCTTACATAGATATGAAAGTAGAACCACTGGTAAATTTTTCCAGAGAAAAACCATCGAGATACGATATCCTAGAAGTACCGACTTAAGTCCTCTTCCTCGATGATTAAACCTCGGTATCAATTTCAGAATCTACTCGAGATAAAGCCCGAAAAGTCCCGGATAAAATACTGCAACAATTCCATTTTTTCCTCCTCTTCGGTTCATGAAGCTTTATCACCACCGAAAAGCTTTTGCGGAAAAGTTCCAACTCGGCGACTTAGTCCCATTATGGGACGAGTGTTTTGGCGTTTTTCTTGACTTTTAACAAATGTAGAGATCCGCAAAATATTGACCAGGCGGTCGATATTAATTTTCAATGATATGAAGATGGTAATGCTTTGGGCGTGTGGCACAAGGTTATTCTTTGGCACTCTTTGGACCAAATTCTTCATGGTATACTTCCTCTTCTCCTTTTCTCTCCTCGTCTCTTCTTAAACTTCGGACACTTCACCGTAAGGCTATTAATTTCCTGGTATCTAATCCTGGCTTCGAACTTCTCATTCCCAGAGTCAGTCCGAAGCACGTCAACGAGTTTTTAAATATTAAGCGATCTTCTATAGAGGGACCCCTTTGTTCTTTGCTGAATGGAGCCTCCCCCATTAAAATATCTTCCATCAAAGGAAACACGTCACGATCCTATTAAGCGTATCAAAGACTTTCCAAATGGCCGCTAGCAGGAATTATTCGAGGTACCAGCAATATTGCTTCGTGATACTCATCAAGTACTTGGCATGATGTTCACATAAAAATTCACTCTGCTGTTAGAGGGATTTATTCGAGGGAATATTGCTTCACGCCACTCGTCAAGTACTCAACATTGTTGACATAAAAATTCACTCTCTCGTTAAAAGAACTTATTTGAGGCAATGGCAATATTGCTTCATGCCACTCGTCAAGCACTTGGCATCGCTAGCATAAGAGTTCACCCTGCTGACCTCGTCGTCAGTCACAGTGAAATTGCTATCCCCATGGTACCTGATGGTGACTTCGAATTTCCCATTTCCAGGTGTGACCTGAAGCAGATAGAAGTACTCCTCCGTGTCGGAGATCGAATTCGAGAGGTTTATCACCTTATCGACCCTGATCAATTTCTTAAGCTTAAGCGGGGCGCAGAGTCTCTTCCCCTTGGAGTTCTTGTACCCCTTAACGATGTTCTCCATATGCTCCAGGAACTTTTGGGCCCCTTCCAGGGCGATCTTATCCCCAGTGCTCTCAGCCTTGAAGGCGGTGCAGGTGCACCAGTGTGCAGCAACTCCAGCATCCTCGCAGCCCCTCTCCTTGGGCACGGGTTTCAACAGAGTTTGGCAAGTGGAACAACCCGAGCTGGAGTTGGCGATCCCCCCAGACCTGATCAAGACGTCTCTGAGAGTTTCATACAAGTCATAAGGAGAGGTCAGTCTATTAGAATTAATCCTCAGAGCCTCCTGCGCCCTGGGGTCCTGCTCCCTGAACCAGTCGGGAAGCCTGACGTAGATGAAGGGCAGTCGCTCCTCGTACCACCCGACGAAGGTGTCCCTGATGCCACCCCACCTCATGCCATGGTCGCTTAGAAATACCACCATGGAGTCGTTCAGGACACCCTCCCTCTCCAGGACCTCCAGCTTCCTGAGGATCCGCTCATCCATCGAGGATGGCCCGTTCATGGCGTCGTGGCTGATGGAGTTGGTCCAGAAGAAGCCGAAATATGGCACTCCTAGGAAGGTCTTGGCGAACTCCAGGGCGTAATCCAGGATCCTCTCTGCACTGACCTCGGGTCCCGTGCAGTACTTGGCGTTGAAGCGCTTCTTCGAACTCAAAAGCTTCTCCGAAGCTATCATGTACGGCCTTAGATAATAGTCGGTTGGAGGCTGGACAAAGCCAACCTTGAGGTAGTTGAAGGTGCTCAAGCTCGTCTCGTCTTCTCCGTAGGCTGTCACGTATCCAGCATCCCTGAAGTTGTACCAGATCAGGGAACAGTTGTCCAGCCCGTAGAGCTCCTTGGGCTTGCAGTTGCCATACGCTTGCTGGGAGTCCTGGCCAGTCAGGATGGCCATCAAATTTGGAAAAGTGTTGTCTCCCATTTTGTTGTAGCCCTGGATGGGGATCCAACCAGTCCTGGACATGTGTCGTTCGGTACGTGGCATCGTCCTGCGAAAATTTAATCTCGACACGCTGTCGATTCCCAGCATCAGGATGCTGAGTTTCCTGGGCTCCGATGATCTCTCCGACTGGTTCAGACGGTCCCGAACGTGTTCGGGGTTCAAGATCGGATGGACATTCTTGTACACCTCGGTGGATCCCGGTTTTTTCTTGATGCTGGGCTTGGGGTCCCCTCCATTGCTGGTCCTGCAGGACACCACCAGGAGGTCCTGGTTTTGGGGCACCTGCAGCTTCCTCTGGAAGTCCTGGCAGGCCTCGACACTGTTCGGGAAAGTGGGACGCAATTGTTAGATTCGATTGTTAAAACACTAGTCTCGTGTACGTCGACGTTAACTCGTTGAAACGGAAATGCAATTCCGATAGAGGGGTCGCGCTGCAATGGAATTAATGCAAATTCAATTCCGAGGTAATGATACCTAGCATAGATTGCCATTCCTACCTAGCCATTGTTGGAGAGGATAAAAAGAGCCGCTATTACCGGCAATAATCCCAGTCAAGTGTAACATTAAGGCACAATCGTTCCAAGCCAATTGCTCTCGTTTAGCGAAGGATTTGTCGTTGTGCGCCTTAGACGTCACACATGCATCGCGAATAAAAGTGGACAACTTGTCGCTAACTCGAGGCTCACCTAATCGTCGAATCGACGTTTCGACCAGGTGGACTTGTCTCCGGTCTGATAACAGGGGACCAACAGCAAGTCAGATTCTTGTAGAGCTTTCCGACTTCCGGGTCCTCCAGGAGGTAGATACTTCCATTTTGACTGCGCTCCAGGAAAGTCAAAGGAGGCGTTTTGGAGCACGCCTCGTATTGCACTCTTTTTACAAATTTTACTATGGAGGGGTCCATGGGGTTTTTCTCGTGCATGTGACACTTTGGGTTCCACACCAGATAGCCGTCGACCAACTCTGAGGTAGAAACAACCAGTGAGACGAGAATTGGAGGTATCGAGTCGTTTCAAACTTCACAATATGAAGATGGAGGCTGTAAGGAAGGTCCTGGCATCGAAACTGTGCATTTGATAAATATTTAAAAAATTAATCAGAAACGATGAAATTCCGTAGGCGCCAGGACCTTTGTCATGGTTAGCATATTCACTTTGCGAAGTTTCAAACTACTCGGTACGTTCGGTTTGGAGAAAAGCTTCATTGACCCCTCGGATGTCACTTTGACCCCCCGTTAATTGTAATTTTTTATTTTACTTTCAGATGCCTAGCACCGATTTATCGCCACGTGAGCAGCGGCTTCTATACCTTCGCTGGCATTGTAAGACCGGAAGGAGAAATACTGTAGGCCGATATACTCAGGATCGCTTCCGGAGATGAAGTAGAGAGTAAGAATCAACAGACAAGGCAGCAAGATCAGGACGAGGCCGGGCCTTTTGCAGAAGCACTCCTGCAGATGAGCCCACTTGGCCTTCCACATCATCATCCCCGAAAATCTTCGACGTCCTCGAAGTCCTGCAGCCTCCTCTTCAGCGTGGCCTTGTCCAAGATTTTCAGTAGCTTCCTGGGTTCCCCTCCACCCGGTGACATTGCCGATGGGATTTCCCAAAACCGCGGTTCTCTTTTCGCTCTCTTCTCGCCTCTTCAGGGACTGCGCTTCAGGAGTCCTCTGACATGCTGCGGACCTCAGCACCTCGCATTTTCTACTCCAAGGCGGTTAACAGTTTCTAACCCAAAGCTTAATCGTCGATTTATCTCTCCACTATCTCTTATCGCCGTTACACCCACCCACGATTTGGAAACGAAAACAATTCCTTCCCAGAAAGTCCGTCCGATGGAGAGCTGCCGCGAGAACAATGCCGAAGAGTGCTCGACAAATTGTTTAGACCGCGGTTTAACGCAATTCCCTCGGCAATTCTCGTGGAAATTTTCAGCCCGGTTCTCGATAGGCGTCGAATGTTTGGTCTTGACAGTTAATACGCCGGTTATCGCCGAGGTAGTAAAACGTGCTCCCTGCGAAGTGGAGCTCCTTCTAGTTTCCTTCGAGTAGTCCACGAGTGCCGATGAGACTTCCAGGACGTCTTCGAGATGCTTCTCCTCCGAGAAAGAAAAAATCCCAAAGGTCGATAGGCCAGTAGTCGTTGTATCGATTATGCGGAAACGTCCTTTCGTTGTCAATCGATCCTCCATCCCTCTCAGTGCCTGAATTTCCCTCGATCAGCGATCATGCTCTCGACCTTGGGAAATCGGTACCAAAGGATTCAGCTTGAAATCCGCGCTTACCCTCCGTAGGATTTAATAATAATTTCAAGGTGTATCTATGGTTATATAGGGAAATCCGCAGGACCTCGTCAGGTAATTTCGAAATTCGGGCAGGAGATAGGCCAATGGTAGGACGTTCCTTTCCCCTCTCGCGAGATGAACACTTGGACGGGTAGCGATGAACTGAGTTCGCGGGGAACTCTCTTATGGACGTCTGATGTCAGCGCGCATGTCAAGCGCAAATGCGAGGGCCCTATCGGCACATCGTAAACATTTTTATTTCCAGAGCCGCGGCATTACTATCTTATCAAATCTCGGCTGATTATCAGTCTATGGAAAACCCGACGGAAAGTTCCGAAATGCGGAACGCACGAAACGCGGCTTCCTATTTCTTGTCGACGCCATTCGTCGAGGAGCGATTCCGTCAATGAGCTACAATTAGGGCTGCACTTTCTTCTCTGGAAGAGTAGCGCACGAGTCCGCACGACAGGTGCACAGGACACCTGTCCGTTTCCAAAAAGAGAGAGTCAGGTGTCCTCGAGGACGAGTCCTGGGGGTCCGGGAGGTCCTGCGAGCCCATCGCGACCGGGTCCTTGGCTTCCTGAGGGAGCCGACTGCCTCGGCAGTTGCAGCTGGATGCAGTCGCGTACAACTGCAACACTCTTCCGCGATCGGCGAGGCTGCTGCAACTGCGCAACCGTACTGGGCAAGCTTTTCAAGCGGAAGCTCCTCGTATAGGAGGTCCGATATCGACTGGCGAAGTGGGACCTTCTGGACGCAGACGCGAAATCTCGGTTGCAGAGTTCGCCTCTGCAGATTCGCGTAAAATCCTCCCAGGATATGTATAAGTACCGATGGATTCGGTAATCGCCCAGGAAATGCTTCAGACATTTAAGGCGCCGTGAAAGTGGCACTTCCACCCTCTGGAAAACTTTTCGCTAAACAGGGCGTACCGAGTTCTCTGCAATTTTTCCACTCGACTTTGTCCACTCTACCCAATGTCTTTGCACCCATGAAAGTTTATTATTTAAAACTAAAAAACATTCACAAATGAATTTTCCATAAATACACCCTTAGTCGAGCTGTCTGATGTCAGCTGGTTTCGCTAGGAAAAAAAAAAATGGATCGATTGAATTTTTATCTGCAATCGTCACAGCGCGTTAAATCCTGGTCTAGGGTAGGCAGGATACATTATTAATAGATCGAATGTCGTAATGAGTGGCCTAGTTGGAGTCGCCCGTCTAGGTGCGTCCACGTAGGTCGGATTATCGACGAGGTCCCAGAACGCAGTCGCGACATTTGATTTTTTCCTCCTTACGGAAACTAGCACGTCTATACAAGGAATTTTATTGGCTTTGAATCGTATATCATGGTTCCGGGGACACGTGTTCGACGGAAAGCCTCGAGGGTGGTCTAAAGTATCGATCCCGGGAGTCCTTCAGCTCGGAAGTGCCGAAGCTCTAGCCTGAAAGTGCACCTAAGAGACTCCCAAAGAAAGCCTCCAGGTGGAAAAATAATCGATGAAAATAAGGACTTCGATAGAAGACCCTTATCGCGACCCTTACTCCAAAGTAGAGCCATCGGATAATAAAAATGGAATTTTTATTGAAAAGTACGTGCCCTCCGCGAGTTAGCTCGCTAGTCCTTCGTCTAATTAAGATCTAAGTGTCCACCTCTATCTATATCGTTAGATAAGATTACTGTTAAAAAGTACGCGTTAAGTTAATCTACCCTACGCTCCTTAAATATATCTTAATCGAGGTATCTTCTGTTCATCCTGCGTTCCCTTGGAAGAGACAATAGAAAAGGGAAGACCGATGCGCGTTTGTCCGCGATTACCCCCGAAACACTAAAAACAGTAGAAACGATAAAAACGCGACATCGATAGCGAGGTAATCCCGATGCAGCAGGTGCACACGGTGCATCATGCACCTGCAGATTACCCTCTCCCCTTCCCTAGCTTCCCTTCTGCAGCATCGAGCTTGCATCGGAAACGCTTTAGCAGTTTCAGACCGGCCTGATGGACCGAAAAAAGTCCACGCAGGTGTATAAAAAACATAGAAAACAATTTCCAGGGTCGTCCCGAGTAATTATAAATCCGAATAATTAATCGACGCCTTTGGCTCCGGAGAAGCGCGCTGGTCTTTGGTCAAGCTTCCTGCCGAGTGCTCTCAGGATCTCCCTTCAGCTTCCGGAGCGTTTTCCTCCCTCTCGGTGAACGAGTCGAGGTCTCTTGCACCCGACGATACGATTTACATCGAGCTGGGACATCCTGGAACACATATCGAAGGCTTAGCGTCCGGTTTCTCGACTTATCGGACATAAACGAGCGTCCGCCCACGACTTTTGCGGAGCAGCGATAGACGCTACTCGGTAGCGATTGTTTTTATTTCCCCGTCATGAATGCTCACTCGGAGCATTTATTATCCAACTAAAGGACATTTAAACATGTCAAGTCCTTTTCAAACTTACTGCAGACTGTGCAGTTGATCTCGTCGGACCCATCGCCGCACCCATCGCGGCCGCTGCAGGTGATGGCGTCTGATCGACACCTTCCATTGTTGCACCTGAAAGGACAATGTCTAGGTGCGATCCTGCCGCGGTTCCGCGTCCTGCAAGCACCTCTGGGCTCGTCGCTTCCGTCCCTGCAGGACACGACTGCGTTGCAAAATTCATAAGCCGGAAGGCACTGACCATTGTTGCAGCGAAACGCGCCTTGGGGACACCCTGTAGCAACAAACCACGAAAGAAAGACGACGATCAGTCTTGAGTTCTGTTCTCAGGACTCGAGGAAATAAGGACAGACCAAGGGTAACGCCATCGCAGCAAATATGACTGCTGTACCTGGCGTATCGATTGTACGTATCAGATAAGGATATGGTTTATCTCCTTTTGCCTGTTTATTTTTTCAAGGTGGGAGGGTCGATACTGCGCAAATTTTGGGGGCCACTCACTCCGCCTATTGTTGCAGCCGTCCTCGTCCTCGCCATCGGGGCAGTCCCTGGTCCCGTCGCAAAGTGTGGCTCTGGAGATGCAGCTGCCACTTTTTTGACAGCGGAAGGCATGTCGAGGACAAGCTGTCAAGGAACATTCCTCGTCGGAGGCGTCTCCGCAATCTGGTCTTCCGTCGCAGACGAAGAACCAGCTGATGCAGTTTCCAGAGCTGCGACATTGGAAGGTGCCAACTGCACAGCCGTTGGACTTGGCAGAACAGCTGGCATTGACAGGGCCCCGGTAGTGACAGTCGCAGACGCCGTCGAAGCACCTCGAGTTGGAGTCTGCCATGCGACACTCCAGGTCGTCTGAGCATGGCAGGCCCAAACTGACGGCTGTCAAGCTGGCAGACTCGTGACGGTCCGTCTTGACAGGCGCTGAAAGATAACCATGACAGCCCAGATGATTTTCGCTGATTAGGATTCCTCAGGAAGGTTTTGGAATCCTTTGTCGTCTCACCAGAAGTGGACGTGGTTGGCACGAGCTCGGTGATGACAGCCTCGATGACAACTGCGTCGCTGTCATCTGGGAGATCATTGGGTCCAGGCTTGGAGGAGCCCGCGTTGGACCTTGTCACCAGGTTGGCAGGGATCAGGGGAGCTGGTGAAATCGTTGACAGCAGCATGGTCGCGTTCTTCAGCCAGGATATCTGGACACCTTGAAAAATCATCAGGTGTCACGAAAACGGGCTTTTGACAGCGCACGGGTTATAGCTATGATCAGACTCAGGAACTGCCAAGCACCTGTATCAGGATCCTCCTCCTTCTCTTCAGTGGGTTCCGTACTTCCGGGGTCATTTCCAGGTTCCGAATGGCTCTCTTCCTGGTCATTCCCAGGAAGAATCGCAACTGGATTTTGGGGAGGTCTGACCAGACTATCGGGTCTACACACATCGCCGTCGCGACGCATCGGAGCTGTACATTGACAGCGGCCAAAGAGGTCCGGAATTAAGAAATCGCAGTGCGAATCGCTGTCCCAAAGTCGACAATGAGCATGACTGTAGCACACTTGGCCCGGTCTTGCAGCTGCAACAGAAAGGCAAGAGTTTGGAAAAAAATTCACTATGCAGATACCTTGTTACGATTAGCACGCATAGAGTCCGTAAAAAAGTTGCTCCCAAGATGGACCCAGCTATAAGTCCTCGTTCACCCGCGGATATAGCTCTGACTTCACCGGAAACATTTGTTAATGTCGTTTAACGCGGAACTTTCCACGTCGCTCGAGGAGCTCGAAAGAGCCGTGGGCAACTTTTGCGTCGGTTTGTACAACGAGTGTAAACGCAATAAGGAACTGCTCCGCGTAGAGGAGAGTCCTTAGATGAAACGGGAAAGTACCATTCCGGTATACGGGGTGCGCGCGCATCCGCACACCATCTTCAGGTTAGGTGCGCGTAAACACGCGTGAACACTGAAAACCTGCGTTTCCTCGGGGTGCACATTTTCCCTAGCCGTGCGAAAAGGCTCGGCATAAATTCCCGATTTCTCCACGCCAGAAACCCTGAGAAACCTCGTTCAGTTGGGCCCCAGAACGAGGATCCTCGTCGTCCCCTTCATGAAGAATGAACGGTCCCCAGGGGTGGGCTTTAATTATCGTAAAAACGACCCCCGAAATTAATTCCCCTCCTTCGGGGAGATTTAGAGATCCTTCAGGGTGGTCTAAATCATCCTCCTCACTTACGTCCTAGACAAGTGTGGCGTCGAAACTGCAGGAAGCCCTCCTGGCACCTGCAGACTCCGGCCAAGCAGCTACTGTTCGCCACCTTCAGGGAGCACTGGCCCTCCACCTGGCAATCGTATCCCAGAAGTGTCGCTAAAACGTACAAAATCGACCCTTTATTCCCTCTTACCGCAATCACTTCTTCCATTTCTCGAAAATCAACCTCAGCGTCCTTCTACACAAGAAGGAGCGACCTGCACGGACTGCGCAGGTTATATTATAATAATATTAATCCCGTTAATTTCTCTCCATTGAATGTCATTTTTATTACGGTAATCGCAGACCCTCGAGACAATAAGGCGATCTATCTCGACCTATCCCGTGAATTGTTGGGAAGTCGGAAGGACAAGCAGGAATGTCTTGGGGTAGGTCGAGGTGGAATGCCTTTAGCTCTCCAGTTTCGCACTCCTGGCCCCGTCCCGGGTATTCAATTACTCGGCGAGTGGCCCTCGCCCTGGGGATGCCAAAGGAAGCTTTATTAACGAGGAGAAAGAGGAACGGAGAAGATGAAGGGAGGAAGACTCACACTCCAGGCACTGGGTGCCATTGTACTCCGCGAAGAAGGGCTGACACCTGCAATATCCCAAGTGGCAGTGGCTGTTCCCGATGTTGGCCTCGCAGTCCCGATTTCGGTTGCACTCCGCGCCAAGTTCCAAGGTCGGAATCGTCGGCGAGGATGATACGGTACTCTGAAAAAATCGACACAATTATAAGATCGATAGATTCGGTAAAAAACGCCGCGGCATATCTACCCAATCGATCCCCCTTCCTTATCCCTTTGCGGCGACATCGAGCCGTTGCGGTGTAATGATCTCAATTTTACGATATAATAAATTAATCAGCTTTAATATCAACCGGAGCTATTATATTGACCCTCATTTAGGTGTATGCATCGGCCACTGCTAATTACGCATCACGCGATCAATTCCCTCGAACCGCAGAGCTTCACACCGTGTTCAGGTGAGGTTGGAGTACCGAAGGAAATTAACTCGGCATTAATGTACGAAGCGTTCCCAGGGGAAGGAAAAGGCGCGGATAGGAATTCTCCAGGAATCAGCTGAGCACATCCTCGAGGACGCGAAAGGCTGATCTCTATCGAGCTGCCGATGCATCCCCAGAGCATATCCCATGGAACTAACCAGTGCGGAACTGGTCGAGTCATTACCGCCAGTTTTCGCGATTTTTATCGAAGGCTCCTGCGCCGTGTCGTTACCATCCTCCGGCTCTTCCTGTTCGACGAGGAGATACGCTCTTCGAGGCCGCGAGATTCCCGCAGAGCATGTGCAGACCGAGCGCTCTTCCTACTAATCGCTTCCCGGTTTCCCACGATCTGCAAACAATGCGAGCGCAACCTTGCCTAGCCTTTGGGAGGGCCCGGCAGCTCATAGAATAATGTAGGGCTTGGATCGGGAGCGAGACTTGCGGAAGAACGAGAGAAATCAAAGGAAGCAAGCCGAATGAGCGACGCGGCGACGGCCGCCATTTTGGTACCGCTTGGCGAACCGTGGGGACCGAAACGAGAGCTTTCTTTAAGAGGAAGTGGCATCGAGGGGTGAATCGTTCTTGAACCTGAACAATGAAACCTGAAGATTTCATTTTTCTAAGAATTTTTAGAAAAAATAAAAAAGAGAATTCCTTGGGCTGTTGATGCTTTTCCGCCGTCGAAGCGACAAACTTCTCATTAGCATAAACACGCCGCGGCCGGTGCATGGCTGCATAACGAGTCGGCACCGCCTCGGGAATGGTAGTTAGCAGTTTACATAGGGAGCGAAGTGAAATTTATTTAACCGGCAGCGCGTCCGAGGGCACGTGACCGTTGCAGCTGCATCCCGAAGATCACGGGGCGGTATTATGCAAACGACCGGCCAGGAATTCCGTCCGGTCATCAGTCAAACCGCAGACCGTTCCGCGTCGAAGTGCCCACGCGGCGACTTTTTCACCGCTCTATACGTCCTCGACTTCCGAAGCTGAAAGGAACGGGGTTAGAACAGAATAGGAAGACTTATCTCGTCCTGGGACTCCCCGAAGAAAAGTAACAAGGAATGAATCCGAGGGAAATGAATTTCGTCCTTCTGTTTAGGGAGGAAAAAATTGCGGTTGGATCAGGAGGAAGATGACACCTCGTCTCGAAATTCCAATAAATAAATAAATAAATGGAGATGGAAATTACTCCAGGACCTAACCATGTCTATCAATCCTGAAGCGATAGACCCGACCCCCGATCGACGGCGCCCTATGGGGGGTGTTTATTTATTAGGGGCGACATCGGGCTCCCATGGGAATGGGACAAAAGGATTAGCCCGGGCTCCGGATCAGCCTCCACCAGGATGCTGTGTTATCGATCGGTTGACACCCTCTGGTACCCCAAATTTCCCGAGATGAACCCGATGCAAGGACCTCGGTGCATCGCTGACGCTAAGTCTTCGCTTCGGCACCCTCTCCCGACCCATTGTATCCCGGAAGCATTGTTTTCGATTCCTGGCATGATCCCCAATACCCTTCCAGAATCTCTCCATGACGTGTCCAGAAAATGTTTTAAACCCCGTGGGGTCCTCGGATGGGCCCACGAGCGTGTCTGCCCGAGAGCGGTCTCTTCGCAGGACGACTCGCTCGTAAATCGTCCTGTATTATCATAAAGGACTTGCAGTCCCCTCGCCCATAAATCTCGCCACCCCGAGGTGCCCCCGAAGCCGCGAATCGCGACCCCAGGAGGTACTCCGCACTTGGGAATTGATTTGTCCACGTTGGAGACCTTGGGATCTCGATGAGGATAACGCTTGAGGATGTTTCAACCCGGAGGAATTTTCCTCTAAATTTTTTTATACGACAATAAGGCCTCTTGCGTACCAGTAATCGCATCCACAATAGGAAGAACCGTCAGATTATCAAATCTCCACGGTATGTTAAATCTGCAATTTCTTGTGATCAATTCTTATCATTGGGGCGGCATTTTTAAATGCACTGGAATTTTTATGGATATGCAAATTGACGGCGTTTGGGATTTTGGGTCTACGTTTTGGAGCTGGAGGCAACTGTTCAATTTATGGGCATTTTATTTGCGAGCTTCGGGGCAGCTTTTTGTGCGCTCTTCCCGTACTTTTCGCGGACTCTTCGTGTACTCTTCGGCTTGTTTTTCACGGCCACGGCCACGAGCGATCGCACTCGGGAAAGGATACCCCTCGGCCTTAAAGGCCGCGTTTCCAACGGACTGGCTTCGCGGTTATTACCGCGCATCTCAGGAGTTCGACGCACGTTCAAGCGAGCGGTGGTTGCACCGTTTGAGCCGATGCAATTAAAGCGCAACGTCCATCAAACACTCTCGAGGGCTCGTCCAGGAAGTGCAACCGGCTGGGAGTCTCCAAGATGCAGAAAGAGATGTTAAAGAACGAGCTTGCGACCGCTTAAGAAAGCCATGACGGCGCGGATTCGCTATTCACTGGTGGATCGGTGAACGGTTCGGCTGATCAGCTGTTTCTTTCCTTTTTGCTGATCAGCCCTCGGGATCTGCGCAGAAGTCGACGCCAATACACACACATATATATATATCGGATTGCACCTCGCTGCGAACGAAATTGCATCGCCAAGGGGAATGCGGAGGAGGTCATTACGTGACTTCCTCGGTGCAAATTGATCTCCGAGTTAGCCTGGAAATCCCCCCTGAAATTTAATACAGAAAATCCCCCCTAGTGATTTGATACGATGCATTGTTTTTTTTTCTCCACCTCCTAAATCCGATGGTAAAGGATTTTTTTCAAAACCGCTGTAAGGCGATTATTCACCCGAGCACTTGGAACCGGGATGTCAAAATCCAAGGAACGACTTTCGGCAGATGACAAAAGCCGGGGGTCGTCGGTCGGATAATGACCCAGGCGTGGATTGAAAATTAATTACCGGATTCATAAGCGACTCACGTCGGGCTCCTTCATGCCGTTCTCCGAGGAACCGCGTCAGGGTGACCATAAGTGCCCCGTGTTAAAATATCCCATCCAGTTTTTATTTATCCGTGGTTTAGTTATTCCATAGTCTCAGCGAAAATGCGGAAGAAAATTGTTCTATTCTTTCATTTTTAATATCTAAATTTCCCTCAATACGAGACTCATCGATTGCACTATCAAGGCGAGTGCCAAGAAGATTTTTTATTTATTTATTATTTATTTTTTTAATATCTAAATTTCCCTCAAAACGAGACTCACCGATTGCACTATCAAGGCGAGTGCCAAGAGCATTAAGTTCTTCATCTTCCAGCCAACCCAGTCTCTATACGTGAGGGCGAAGACTTCGACGCTTTTTCTCAGACCGCAGCCGACTTTTCCTCGACTTTTCTTAATTTTTCGAAAAGCATTCACCGGATTAAAAATTCTGGAACTCTTTCACGGTGCACTCGGTGCACTATATGCAGTAGAGAGGATGTAAACAAGGAAACCATGCGGCGTGAACGCGTGCGCGATGAAGACTGAACGGCTCTGGGGCTTTTGGCTTGGAGAAAGAGAAATGCGGGGCCTGCTCCCACTTCATCTGCAGATCGTCTTCATCCTGGTCGCGTTGTTCCTGGCGAATGGAGGCGATTTCCCTGAAACAGGTGTAGAATAAGTAGGAAAAGAGCCAGGTGGGGTGGGACGACAGGAACCACCCCTGGGAAGTTGGCCAAGATCCAAATCCAGACCTTGTATACCAAAGAGTCATAAACTTAATCAGAGTATCCCTGACCTCATCCCTTGATTGATAGGAACGTTTAATAGCATAATATTCTTTGTGCAAAAAAAAAGGATCATTCAAGATGGCTTCCAGGGAGTGATGGAAAGAAGCGTAGAAAATTTCCCTCCAAAACGAGTAACGCCTACCGAGCATCAACCTGAAGCCTGTAATCCTTCCACCTGTCCGCGGGTTCTCATACCTAGGTATTAATTATAATTAAACGTCCACCTGGAAGCGGCATTTCTTTCAAAGTCCTATACTATACCGATACCACCCTTTGTGCAAACCATGGACGTAATGTAATTCATGTACCCAGGTTGTCCCTTGTTATTGAGAGCACATTCTAGATCGACTTTGTGCCCGTTCCCGGGGCACGACCTCCTCGTGGGTTCGGGAGCGTCCTCGTTCCTCCACGTGTCCTCTTCCAGGGCACGTAGAGGCCGGATGCAATTTACGTTCGCCTACTTTTGTCATGTGCCGTTCCTTGGCGGGTTAATATTTCCCCTGGCCACCGGGGCCCGGAAAGCGGGGAACCTGGAACGAGTGCCTTCCCCGAGGTTCCGTAAAGCCGCTCGGCGGATCGACCGCAAGAACCTGGCGAACCAGAATATCCGGAAGCGTCTCGGAGGAATTCGCTATTCTCGCAGGCCGGACTGAAGAGTGTCGAAATCGCGGGAGCCCGTTAGGAGAATCGCGGAGAAGATGAGGGTTTTTGCGCGGACGGGACGCGAAGGCCTGGTGAACCAGAAAATAGGAGCCTCGGAGGAACGGTGTCTTCTTCGGGACGGATTCCAGGTCAATGGCGCTGCTGTTATGGCCCGATCCGCGATATAATAAAATCGGTCTCGCTGGAATTTACGGCGGGCAATTAGCATCTATATCCTTGGCCGCGAGTAAAACGAGGAAAGCGCCGCTTCCGTGGAAGCGGCGCTTTTCCCGGTTTCTTCGGACCTCCGGGCAAGAAACTCCGGATGGACGCCGTCCACCTTCTTGCAGATTCCGACTTGCGGATCTCTTACTCGAGATGCCGATTCTTACAGTTAGAGCGTCGACTCTTCGCCCTGGGACCTCGTTCCCAGGTTTCTGGCCAAAAAGTCCTGGCGTCTGGACCCGCGACGTCTTCCACGAGGTGCTCCTCCTTATCTAATCCCTCGAAGAGATAAATTCCACCAACTGGATTTGCCCCGATTAACGCGTCGGTTAATGCAAATGCAATTCAAGTGATATCGAATCGGAGGCAGGTTCAGTTTTTTCCAGCCTCGGCGACGACGTCGGCGTCATTGTGCATGTGTCGTTTTGGGCCCCGTTTTTTTTAGATTTAATGTACTGCACCAGACGAGTTGGGATTCTCTTGAGGTTCCGAAGACGAGACGTGGAGGCTTTACTCTACTTACTCGCCGATCTATCCGGCTATTTTACGATTCTACGTGCCCGCCACGTCGCCGCGCCGCCATTTGCATTCCTGAATCGTTCGCCGGGCACTTCCTCTTCACCAAACCGGGCATCGGCGCCTCCTTCGGGCAACGGCATGGTCGGACGTCTTCCTGGGAAAAAGTACAACGGTTCGGCAGGCAATTTGACTGTTACTGCAGGATGCAAGTACCAAAGGAACCGAAGAAACCAAAGAAACACTTAAGGCGATATGAAAGTTAGGAGAGAGGTCTCGTTTATGAGACTATTCTCCGAACTGAAAGTATCAATTCGTTTGAAACTCCACCAAGTGAACACGGAGGCCTCAAGGAAAGTCCTGACGCTCGTAAAACCCCTACTTTTGTTTTAATTCGTGAACACTTCGAGCCTTTTTTCTCGGGCATGAAATTTCACGGACGCCGGCCTTCCTCGTAGCCTCCACCTTCAGATGGCGATACAATTTCCGACAATTCGATACACCTTAGCGAGGTGTCGTGAAGAAAATGTCACTTTCATGTCACCTTAAGTCGTTTATATCAATTTAATACCCGGAGGAGGACAGTTAAATTAGATGGGAGAATCCTACGTGAACCGAAGAGTTAAGAGCGCCAGCATAGAAAAATGGCGGCCTAAGTCGTTTCCTCTTAAGTCTCGAATTTCGCGATATCCTCTACCCCTTTCTTCCTAGATCCAAGATCCTGGCAGTCCTCGTCGAGGCGAGGAAACAAAGCGTCCGAGAAATTGGTCCTTAAACGCACATCAGCGCCTCGCTCCTGGAGCGTTCGACCTCGACGAGCTCGAGGATCCGCTCGAGCGCGAACACTCGGATCTCCTGGTATACTATCCTGGAAGAATTTACTAGAGGCCCCGATCGATCCGAGCGATCACTCGGAATGGGAGCTGCCCGAGGCTGCTGTCTCCATTTTGTCGGTCCATCTTCGATATGGAGGCCGATTAATTCGAAGATGCGCGCGGTGTCCGGGAACCACTTACAGGGCTCAGCGACTCCGCGCGCTGCAAAGCCACTTGGAGGCCCTCGTATCGCGTATCCATTTCATCCCGCAGAGTTATAGTAATTGCCCCAGGAGCGATACCTTCCCAGCGATCTCAGCTGGCCGTTGAATAAATAATCCCTTCAATTTCCAGGGGCCTCGCAAGTGCGAGTTACCCGCTGATAGGGACGTCAAACATCCGCCGACGTATTCTCGAATCAGGAGCCGGGGTCTTTGGCGGGATCATCCGTTGGAATTCCTCCAGGATGGGGAATTAAGCGGGAACTTTAACCCCCGTAGATGGGGAATGGCGAAGGAAGTGCCTTCCGTCATGTCCTCGGGGTCTTTTTCTTTAATTTAATTATCAGCGGGGTGGAATCTCGGCGGAGCTGGACTCTTGGGGAATGGTCCATATGGCGCCTCGCCATGACGTAGCTTTTCAATGAGCCATTATCAGTGGACGTCATGTGCCGGCCTCGTCGTTTTCTTTTGCGTGTCCCGAACGAGTTAACGGGCCCCCACGTATATTCGTACCGGTTTCTCGTCTATTTCCTTATACTCGGAGGTACAACAACGTTTCTAGGTGAAGGCCTAAACCTCCCACAGGGTGGGCCATCCTCGGCGGGCCTGATGTATTATAAATGGACCACGATGGAGGTTCATTTCCAGCAGAAATTCGCAGCCAGTGTCCATGTCTCTGGAAACGGTCGCATTATTCCTCCACCTGTGGACATGTACAAGGGAGATGAAATCCCACGATACAAGAATTTGGAGGTTTTTTTAAGGCCACGAACCTTCAAAGGAGGACGAGTGCTCAGGCATTCACAAATACCTCAGGTAACGGTACTCGTGCACTGTTAAAAATATTCATTAGAAGTATTAATCAATTTCCACCTTCTAAAATGTATAATAGACGTGTTAATACGATGTATAAATGGAATGGTATAAAATTAATTCCCTGCCAATGAAGCGTCCAGAAAGAGTTAAAATTAGTTAATAAAATCGCAGTATTGCCTTTTTCTTTTTGTTAATTGTATTCCTGAGAATGTTCATAAAAATCGGCGAATGGAGGAGAAGTTGCCGAATACAAGAAATTTTTTGTGACTTGATTGTCCAGTTCCTTCTGATATGCTAATGATCAATTTTATTCTCGAGGTTTCCGAGAAGCTTCCCCCAGCTCACCTTCAGTTTGGATTTAGTTTATGTTTAAACATCGGACTGGAAGAGCCGATTCGTGGATCAGAAGCAGCTGGAATAATCGAATAATGGGGCAGAACTCGTCTGGAATTATAATGGCGGATGGCGATCTCATAATCGCAGACGTCTTCGGACTGCATATCCGGTGCTGTTGAACCCTCGAGATATCCGAGAGAGGAAGGAGCCGCCTCCCCCCACGTGGGAGTGCTGTACAGTTAACTTCTTCATTAATCCAACCACGAAGCCTCTTTTCCTCGGTAACAGCGGTTATCCCGCTCTTAGGAACCGAGGAAACCTTCCCGCCCACCATTCTGCCCCTTGGGCGACTCTAATTGCGCGCTGTTCCTGCCGCTAGTACGCCGCGCGGCCGGTGAGGGCAGTAGTTCCGCGAGGTAACCATTGATGAATGGCACTGTACACATGTACATGGTACGAATAGGGAAGGTGCGTCAGCCCATAATATTGAACACCGATTTCTGGTCTATAATACTCCTATTTTATGGTTTTGGTCGGGTTTTAGCGTTAAACAAACTGTTTTTGTATTCCAACTCGCATAGAATTGTTACGATTGTCAGTCATGGATAACGATAAAAATACTATGTTGGCCGTGCTCCAACTACTGCGGAAATATAATTTGAAGGTAAGAGATATGTGTAAAATGTCAACTTTGAAGGGCTATCGGAGGGAGAGGTTAGTTTCTAATGTCACTTTGTTACTTCGAAGGGTACTGAGGATTTATTTAGGAAAGAAGCGAACTTAACGGACGTTACCTTAGATGGGAATCAACAAACTGATTCTGAAGTAAGCAGTGTATTGTCTGCTTATAAGAGCGAAGGAGATCCAGCACTGTACGAGAAAGCTTACGGCGAACTGAAAAAGTTTGTCGAAGGGTCTCTCGATATTTATAAGGTTTGCGACAAGGAAAGAATGTTATTGTAGATACATTAAGGCATAACAGTATGAATGTTTTATATTAAGAGTACATTTTTTAAAACGTTTTGTTGACAGCACGAGTTAGGCACAATATTGTATCCAGTATTAGTACACATGTACCTGGAACTAGTTTATAATAATCACTCGACCGAAGCTAGACAACTTATGGAGAAATACAGTGGAAATTTAGAGGAATACTATCAAGGTGACTTGAAAAGGCTGTCAAACGTCACCAAAAGGGAACAAATGGCAGGGAACGAACTAACCGACACATTCAAGTATACTTCGGCTCAATTCCATCACTGATAAGTAGATTAATATGTTGTATTAATTAAATTTAATATATGTTAGATCCAATCAGTTCATAATAAGGATGTCGAGGGACACGTTATCGATATTAAAGCGGCATCTACAAGAAAAGAAACACAGTGTTCTACTAAATATTATTCAGGAGCATCTGTACTTTGATATGTACGAAGGGGTTGCACGAAACAAGCAACAGATCGAAGCAACTTCAGGAGCAGTTGTTGGAGAAGCAACCAGGCAGGGTACATTCTTCTAATTTGTACAATTCAAACAGCCTGCATTGCAGTTCTTATTTTAACAAGAAATATTATCGTCAGACAACAAGACAAAAGTTTATTACGGACTGCTGAAGGAACCAGACATTCAGTGCGTTCCTCCTGCTGAAGAAGAGGAGGATGATACAGGGGGAACAGAAGGAGACAAACCAAAAAAGAAAAAGGCTAAGAAGGATCCTTTGTTTTCTAAGAAAACCAAGTCCGATCCAAACGCACCACCTGTTGGCAGAATGCCTTTGCCAAATCTGTACATACATCTTCAAATTATTTTCTAAGAACTCCCATGTGGTTGTTTCATGTAGATACTCAAGTTATATTATTTCCAATGTAGGAAGGACGCAGATAAATTAGAGAAGGTGAAAGCATTAAGGGAGGCATCAAAACGTGTTATTCTTGGGCCAGACAGTTTGCCCTCCATTTGTTTTTATACCTTACTAAATGCCGTCCATGGGTAGGTTGCAATAAATGAATCGACAGCTTCTTTTGTGTATGGATGGGTGAACATAATCGGATATTATCAGTGTAACAGCTGCTGAGGTTGCGGAAGATTCGAGCCTCCTTTCTATCGGATTCAGTGATTCATCGATAAAAGTCTGGAGTCTTGTACCATCGAAGCTGAGGTTAATGAAGACCGGGGAATTATTACAAGACGTCGAAAGAGATGCCGGTAATTTTTTTTTACATTTTTCAACATAAGATTATCATCATAGTCAAATGACTATGACCGGCCAGTGGTACGATTAGTGCTAACAATTTTTATTCTCAGATGACGTGCTGGTGAGAATGATGGACGACAGAACAGCCGAGACCTCTAGAAATCTCTATGGTCACAATGGACCTATTTACAGTTTATCTTTCAGTCCAGACAGAAATTTATTATTATCTTCGTCAGAAGATACCACGGGTAAATAGAACGATTTCTCATTTCTATGATTCTTGGATACTTAAATTAACTTTTCTTTTTTCTTCAGTGAGACTGTGGTCTCTGCACACCTGGACGTGTGTGGTTTGTTACAAAGGCCATTTATTCCCGGTATGGTCCGTGCGATTTTCGCCGCATGGGTATTACTTCGCAACTGCATCTCACGATAAGACTGCCAGACTTTGGGCCACGGATGCTCATCAGCCTCTCCGAATTTTCGCGGGCCATTACTCAGATGTAGACGTACGTTACCGGGGAACCGGATTAAGTTTTTAAACTGTTGTTGGGCTCGCCCTCTACTTGTCGATGACGTCATTCCAGACGGTGCAATTCCATCCCAACTCGAATTATGTAGCGACGGGGTCAAGTGACATGACCGTCAGATTATGGGACTGCGTGACGGGCAGTCAGGTGCGACTCATGACCGGACATAAAGGCCCGATTTACACCTTAGCCTTCTCGGCCGAAGGCCGATTTTTAGCATCAGCCGGGACAGATTGCCGGGTCCTCGTTTGGGACTTGGCACATGGCCACCTGGTCGCTGCACTTTCTAGTCACACAGGCACCATCAATTGCCTCTCTTTCAGCAGAGATGGCAACATCTTGGTATCCGGTAAGCACGCCGATACAGGCAGGTGATTTAATAAAAAACGTAAACAGGTAACCAGGTGACCAAATCGTCCCCGTTTCAGGTTCTCTCGATTGCACGATTCGTCTTTGGGACTTCACAAAACTGGCCGAAGAGATGAGCCTGGAAGACGTCAACGTGTCGCACAACCCTGACGTGAAGACTTGCGTCGAGACTTACCTCCTACGAACATTCCCCACGAAGAACTCGCCGATATTGACGCTCCACTTCTCCAGAAGAAACCTCCTCCTCGGCGTCGGCATGTTCGAAGGGTCTTGAGCCATTTCCCATTGCGACGTCGCGGTACCATTTTGATAAGTTCTTATAAATAAAAAGGAGAATCGAACCGACTCGCCTCGTTTCCGGTCGGTGGTCCCTCTTTCTCCGACTAGCCGCCCTTGACCTGATATGATGTTAATCGCCTGGATATAAAACAATGGGCAAGAAGCGTTTGACGAGGCCGCGTGTTCTTGCACTTGAATGCGAATGAACGGCCTTCGGGGAAGTGCTCGAATGCCCGGCCGAAATTTTACCGATTTGCCATTCAGCTCGTCTATTGTGCCGTCCTTTTTATCGGCTTATTCGTTTGCGAGGTGAGATATGTGTACACCTTCAGAATTTGTACGCTCCAGCGTGTGAAATATCTTTCCCACACTTATTCGGTACTATTTAAAGGGCGCTTACTGCAATTCCCGACACTTGTCATTGCATCCTGGCGAAGGGAATTAATTCAAGGCGCGCAGAGTTCGCTGTACTTTTACGCGGGGATGGCGAGCTGTCGAATCATCCTCATTGAACGCTTTTTTTAAAACTCTTTTTCTGAGACATTTCCGGCCAACTGGATGTTATGTTTCGGCGCCGGCACGTGCCAGAAATAGACGTTTCCCTCGCGTGCTATGCGGGGGGGTGCAGCGACGGCTGCATCGCGGGGTTCCTCGCCTGTTTTAAATTCAGTCAAAAGGAGTTCCTGGGCCGACAAGGACATCTAGTCAACATTTAAAATTCGCCGAATCTTAACAATACTGTCCTCGTTCCTTACGCTGATCCGATACGTCCGAGTTACTAAAAACTGCACCTCCTCGTATTGCAACGCAGCGCAGAGCTCGATTAACTCTTCTGAGCTTTTTCTTGCGATTCTTCTCGGGAATTAAATTCGAGAGAAATGGGAAAAGGTGCAGGTCCGATTATCAGGATGTCCAATGCGAGCACTCATGGGGCGGGAGGGGTGGAGTGCTGTTTCTGCAGGTGTTGCACCTGCATTCATATTGAGTTCCTGAAGACGATGCCAGGCATGGTCAAAGTTGGGGAGACCGTGAGTAACATTAACACGATTTATATCCTTATGGAAAAAAATTATCAAGCACTTATTTCCTGGAACCGCGATCTTCCTTTTCTTTGACGTGTTTTAAGACAAGTTGATGGCTCTCAAGGAACGCCACCCTGTTAAAAATATTCACTACATAAGGTTGTAGTAAAATTATTAATTTAATGCCTTAAATGGTACTCACATTCATCATGAATTTCTAAATAAATTTCTCATTTCATAATGTCGCATTTTTATCCCGTGAAATTGCGTAGGAATATTCCTACGCTAAAATGTGCGTTATCAATTTTACTTGGAAGTATATCATGGAATTTGTTATACCCGATTCGATTTAACATTTATATGATTTTTTTTAGGTGCTCAGCGGCTTGATCCAGAGCCTTTTGATCAATTATGGGCTTCGATACAGTGCCATGATCGGTTCTGCTTTCGAAGGGTCTCTTACGACTTCTTCGGCATGTTTCTTGACCTCGGCTGTTCTGCTCGCTTGTTACATCGTCTCCGAGAAGTCGTACCGGCTCGTCAAGTCGTCTCTCTTTGTACGTCTCAATCATATGATCCATTTTACCATACTCGGGATCTAAACTGATCTTCACTCCCCAGGAAATGATGTTCAACGCCCTGGCTTGCTTCCTATACATGAGTTCGGCCTCTTATTTAGCGTTTTCTACGAAAGTCTTCATCGGGGCTCAGTACCTAGTGACGCCAGGATTCGACGTTTATCCTGCGATGACAGCAGCTTATGTGAGTATTAAGGTGATATGAAAGGGTCATTCTATTATATGTAAAACGTTGAAATATTAATAAAACTTCTTCGCTGCATATTTAATTACTATTTTTTTTCTTCAGATTTTAAGCGGCGTTGTTGGGATTTTGCACGGTGCAGATGCATATTACTCTTACGTGCACTACAAGACCGGTAGATGAGCGCAATGGCATCTCAAAGTGCTACAGAAATGAAGGCGGCGGATCTTTCGTCTAGTCATACGTTCTAACTGGGTATTAAGTCGGCGTCGATTAGGTTTTATGTCAATCCTTGATATCGCGCCTTATTTATTATTCCGAACTTTGTAACGCCGATAGGAGCAGCCTCTCTAGGCTCCATGAGACGATTTTGTAATCCCCGAGAACGATAGCAAGTGGAATCTCTCCGGGACGTTCATCCGGCAAAAAGACTGTAATTGAATGGAATTAAGAACGTTAATTTCAAGCGAGCGCAAATTTCACGTTCCACGCGAAATTAGTTGGGACAATGCAAGCGTTCCGTTGTATTAATTAATTGCTGGTAGCAATATAAGTCCTTATAATGTATTAATTAACTGCTCGTAGTAAGCATTTCTTGCTGAAGATATCTTCTGAGGATGGAAATTGATTTTGTAAAAGTAATCGGCATTTTAAGTCGAATGACGAGAATTCTGTCCTGCGTATTTTATGCATTTTCTAAAAATTATCAGTCGAAATAAAAAAGAAATAGTTTTGGATTAAATTCCGCTTTGCGGCGAAATCGCCATAGGTGCACTTATTGCGAAGTCTGAATCGCGAAACTCGATGAGCGTTCCTAAATAGCCGGTGATCACGATTACTTAGCAGACGGTTCAATGCGTCTAGGACCGGAAATTAGTGGTAAAGTGCCATTGAGCCGTCGCGAGTAAAATAAATGATTCAAGTGCTTGTTTAAACGGACCGAAAACCGGCCTTACTAGAATTAACTCGCCAGAGCCCCACTCTGGCCAAACCGTACGAGGTGCATCTCTCCACAGTTCGGAGTGGACTTCCGTAATGCACCTCCAAGCAGGAATGTAAATAACGCTAAAAACCTTCCGCGAGTTGGGGAATCTCATTAGAAAGTCTCAGTGGTTTAGCTGTAATCGATCAATTGCACTTTTGGCCGCGAGTGTACAAGCGGGTAGTTGTAGTTTCACTTCGAACGAGATTTCCATTCCTTTCTCGAGGCGGCCACTTCCGCGATACCGCTTTAGGAACTCTTAAAACTCTATTTGGAAAACCGTACCCCCCTCAAAATTTTACCACCGATTGATCCGGGAGAAATTGTCATTTGTTCCATCGCGTTAATTTGGCCCACGCGATTCGTACGCCATTTTGAAACACGCGTTAAAATCACCGTATATCTTAAATTCCCTCTTGAGCTCACTTTATTTAAATCGCATTTCACAAGATACCGCCTCCCTTAAAGATTGACCCATGTAGAATCAATAACTGAGTTATATAGGAAAAGTGTACATCGGTACTTTTATTTTGTCCACTTCGTAGATGAATAGGTTCGGCAGAGACGCGATCACAGTTTTCCCCTGGCACTTTCACTCCTTTCTAAATCGACAAGGTCTCTTCCTAGTTCGCAAGAAACTTCCAAACTGGGTTTATATTGACTGGGATTATTAGCCGTACTTTGGTCGAACTGCGTCCATAGGTTCTGCTACCTGTGGAAGGCATTGTTTAACTGCGAGACAGTGAATGGAACGGTTCCAGTTTCTCCGATCCTCTCCTCGCAGGGGGTCTCGTTTCCTCGGTCGGTACCGTAAGTGCCAATCGCCGCATGTGCTTCGAGGTTCTCTTCAGTTCTCTTCAGAGCCTCGAATCAGCCGGCACGCGCACTCCTCATTTGCATCCGCTCTGAAGAGAATCCGATTTTTCCAATATATATATATATATAAAAAAAAAATCATAAACAACCAATAACCAGGATCCACCCATCTTAACCATCTGGTACATCTTTTATTCCTCTTTTTCTTTTACTCCGTAACATTTTAACACTTTTCACCCACTTGTGCACCAGGGAACGTTCAATGTGTGAAGTGAAGAATTCCAATTTTCCTCGATAGAAAATGGACCTGGGATCTCATAACGTCAGCAGCACCTCACTCTGGAGGAAAGGTGATTTCTCTAGTGATTTTAATCCTTACATTATCATTGAACATTGTCATTTTTAGTGTCGGAGCCTTTGAGCGGGTTTTCAGGGATTTTTGGTACACTCGATGCGAGCTCGTCTTGCGGGTCTAGGGAAGACTTTTCGGCGAGTCGGGTCGAATGTTATCGTCGCATTATGCTTGTTTAAGGAAACTCGTTTTGTTAACAAGCTGTGCTCGTATCGAAGCCGCGCGTTCCAGTTTCAATTCCCTCGAGGAATCGCCGAGGAGTTACGTGTTACGCGAGAAGACGGCCTTAGCAGAAATTCCAAGGCACCCGGTTTCTGAAAACGGCGTTTCTGACCTCGATATCAATACTTCGGCCTCTTAACGTGGAATGGGAATATTCGGAAGTGTAAATCTTATGACATTTATAAATCCAGTTGTCGCGAAAGGGGTCCGACTCGGGAGATAAAACGCTTCTCTTTAACAATTAATTAGTTTATAAATGCATCCTCCTTTTAATACTGTCACGATGATACAATTCACATTTAATAATTAATTACCATGCCAAAGAGTAATGAATAATGTCTAACAATTCCCTGTAACTTAGAAGTTTCACTTCGGCGGCCATGCGTAGATTTTTGTTTCCTTTCTTTTAAACGGAGAGGGAAAAGTCAGGAAGCGATTTCGCTGCATTAATTAGTCGGGGGAATATTTCTCGCAAATACTTTCGCCGTTTGAGGTCTGATGGTTTATCCTATACGTGTGCAAGAGGTATTTGAAGAATGCGATACGTTATCACGTCGAGTCACTTTTGCATGGGTCGGCAGATACGAAGCCTCGCCTACCTGTACAGCTTCAAAATGGCAATTAATACAGGTGTAGAGGTTACGTTTTTTCCTATTTGTTAATATCAATATTAATAAAAGGGCTGTCGCATTATCACCCAGAGTTTGGCCCGTTGAGTCCGTTAAAGGCTGACCTTATTTTATGGTAACCATAAGGCATGGTGTACGTGCCAAGAGGCACGTTGGCATAGGGATCCTCGGAAAGGATCAAAGATGTATTCCCTGACGTCAATGGCTGAGGACAATACGTGCGACCGAATTTTCCTATGCATTTTCATGGAGCGTCCTCCGGTGCGTTCGCCTCGGCGATTGATAACGTAAAGCGGGTCGCTACACCTGTCTGGGTTTATCAGGTGCCCCCTGCTCGTCTAGAATTTCTAATCCTCAGGATCAATGGCTAGGAAGTGCACAACTCTTCCGGAGAAGTCGAGATACCGCTCGGAAATGCTAATACAATTTTTGGAAGCCACGAATCTCCCGATAACTGACTCAACATGAATTCCCCGATGAATGGGCGTTACGAGACGAAGGCGAGGACCTGATTAGATTAAAAATGATGGAACGTGCTCTTATTATCTGAACACGCTTCCGGATTAAGAGAAAATTGTATTAAACGTTACCATGCGAACTGTAATATAGGCGCCAGTCCTTCGTGAGAATATCATGAAATTCGGTAGAGTTTCGCGACAAATATACAAAGTTACATTTTATAAAATGACAGTTTGTAAAATTACGATTTGTAATGTTATTCTTTCTGCAGTGGTATGTCATATGGTTTTTAAGGTGACGTCAAAAAGTCTCGCTGTGAAGGTCCACCCATGAAATGTCGACTGTTGAAAAAATTTTTTACGGACATTATTGAAACTTTTAATGAAACGTTAAATTTCACGGTTGTTCCTTATAGCCTTTACATTCACGTTGTGAGGTTTGAAACGATTCGGTACATCTAATTAAAAAATAAAAAAAAGAATAATTCACCCCTCGATGCCACATTCGTATCCTTTTAAGGACTGGCGAATATTCCATTTTTTTTCCTCAGTGCACTATTATCAGCCAAAGTCAAAGTGGCTTTTAATAGTGTTCTGACAATGATAACTCCACTTATCGTCCCTCTTTTCGATTCTATGGAAAAAAGAAGACGCGATGAGGATTTCAGATTGCATCTCTCTCACTGTGACAACTGTGATTTCCCTAATCAGCGGATAGAAACGACCGGCTCTGATAACAGCGGCTAGATGTATAGCAGTGACAAGGAGAACTGTCGATTTCTTATTATTAGGTTTATGTAAGACCGACCAACGTTCCGGTGGCTTTCTATTGTTAAATCCGCGTGACGATCTGATCGAAATGCTCGAGTCTTTTTATACCAACGGTGGTCGCCGTTTGAAAAAAAAAAAAAAAAAAATTACGTTATTTCGACCAGTCCGAAGCCTAGTGCAATTAGGATTAACTATTCCTCGGTTCTCTTAATCCTTTGTATATATTTCCAGATGATGCTTCGACTACGGAAACTCCGTTCTCTCCCGAAGAAGAGGACGCGATAGTGACGCTGGTGGTCGTCCTCGTGGGCGTCATCGCGGCTATAGTTATCCTGTTCAGCATGGGGATTTTCCTCGATTGCAAGTTCCAGTAAGTGGAAGCATCCAGTAATTAATTTAAAGAGACCGATTATATATTATTATTTGTAATAACTAGTATAATAATCCATGAAATGCCCTCGCGCATCCTCCGCTTACTCTGGGCATAGCTCATTTTCATTTCACATTAACTATCAACACTTTATCCAGAGCACTAACACTGTTCACGAAAATTCTCCACACATAGAAAGATGAATATATATATTAAAAAAAAATGTAATTGGGATCAAATAGCAATAATAGTGAGCGGTGATTTTAATGTCAACTTCGCTGAGCCAGACTTCTCAGACAACAAATTGAAATTAGATAACTGCGGTGGCATAAGTTTGACATTAGAAAGGAAACGTAAAATGTAACATAGTAGAAACAGGGAGAGAGGTCCAAAGGAACTGACAAGGTATATGTCCATAGGAAAAAGGAATCCCCGAAAAGACGGAGGCTGAAGCTGAAGAAGCCTCCACTTGGTAGGAGTCGTCGGGACGAAGATGGGAAATCTTTGGCTTCGGACATGTGTCCAACAGGATCTCTGGACCCGGAGAACCCAGGTGACATCGCGGTCTGATAAGGAGAAAAATCGATTCTTAATCGCTTGGGATCTGGAATCAACGAAGGACACTTCCTCGAGGATCACGGGAGCCGGTCCTGCCCAAGGAGAAAGGCTGCATTCATGAGCAAGGACGACTACGGAAAAGAATTCTGTTAATTACAGTCACGTCACCGTAACTGCGGAAGTCTCCTTCTAAACGAACTTCTGAGCCGGTGGTATCGAGTACTAGGATTAATTAATTTATACGTAACGCATCTCAGTATACACTGAGAAAAAAGAATTCATCGAGCCAAGTAAACGTTTCTTCGGATAGTGCCGATAATTGATAATAAATTGGATGCAGCGTTTCTTCGGAACAATGGCAATTTAGTTAAGCCAAATGATTATTCTTTGAATTAACGTAACGATTCATTGGTTCGATGAATGCCTTTTCTCGGAGTAGCGAAGGGCCAAAGATCTGCTCTCGAAAGACATCCTATCCACTGTGATTGTTTATCAACTTCTGTATTTATTGCTAGAGCCTCTCTATTTATTCGATCCGAGAAGCCAAGAGGATTTAATAACGAAATCCCGTTCCCCATCGGTGTCACTTTCCGTACAAAGGGTTCCGCCCCAGGAATCGCTTAGCTCTAAATCCGAGTGATTAACTCGTTATCGTTAAAATTACTCTGTAATTAATTTTTCTTCCGAGCCGCGAGACCGTTACTAATGGATCTGATAAGAGCGACCTGTACTTGTGCAAACAGATTCGGATAGATAAGACCCCGAAAGTGCCTTCATTGTCACTCGGATACCGGACGGATGAGGACGATTTTAGCTCGGGATTCGATAATTGAACATGTTGATAAAGCTAATACGTAATGACGAACGGTTTCGACTAATCATAGGTGAACGTCCATTCCGCACCTGCGGGGAAGACTCGTCATTGTATCGATATCGTAGGTACAATAAGAAGTACGTGCCCCTCGTCACACAGGGCGGGTGTAATCTCTGATACTGTAATTGTATATCCTTGGACACGAGCTGGAAGGAATGTGCAACATCGATGCAAAGTGCATTACCATGCACATGTCTGTACATTACACACACGCGCAACGATAATCGCCGCCCGACGAGTTATTCTCGTCCGTGGCTTAATAAAAATTCACCTCCAATCTTTAATGCTTGCTAAGCTGTTTATTCCTCGCGCAGTGCGAGTAGTAGGAAATGTACTTCGGCTGTAAATTATGCCATTACGGTAGTTACGGATCCCTAGAGCCCTTTTTTAATCCCACATTCACGCCAAAAGTGAGTACACCGGAAGAACATCTATCGAGCCGTTTACTCACTGCGTAATACAACAAATAATTGGAACCGAATCATTTGGATTTTTCTTGTTTTAACTATAGAATATGGTTGTTACATGCACGGCCAAACACTTGGTTGACATGACAATTTTGTCACGAGTGAATTTTCACTCGGTCGATTGCATAAAATATTGCAGTAGATCACGTCAAATATTAAAATAATTTGGTAAATTAGGACACCGTCCGACTCTGCGCGCTGCGCAAGTGTCGAGAACGAAAGCACCTCAGCCGTCCCTGTAACGGGTTTCTTGTAAGATAATTATGCAATTTCCAGCCTATTTTGTGCCTCCACTTGGAGCAGTCAGTTAGCGTCGTCGAATCGCCCAGAAATCGTTCTGGAGTCAGAGTCCATTGAACAGGATAACTAGCGGAATATCGAAGGGAAACATGGGCGGGTCCTCGGACCCGATTCTCGACTTGATACAAATTTCCTCCCCATACAAATCCATTCGCCTGAAAATCTTTGCATTGTTGCAAGGTCGCGTCATTGGTCAACATTTAAAAGTCGTATACGAAGCGGTCAATATCGCGCGTTGATCGTATGAGGTCGAAAATTGAGTCCCCGAGTCGTCGAGCCCATAATTCCTAATTCCATTTGCCTAGCTCCTTCCAAGGACCATGGCAAGCAATGCCATTCTCACGTAAACCCCACATTCTGCCTGTCTAAAATATGCAGCTCTGGGGTCCGTGTCAAATTCTGGACTAATCTCGAAAACTCGAGGGAGAGGGTGCATCACCACCATTTTCCTCTTCGCCCTGGTCATCAGCTGTGGCGTGACGACGAAGTGCCCGCAAACCTAAAAGAAACATACGTTAAATTAAAGTAAATGCATAATCGTCCTGGGCATCAACTGTGGCATCACCAAGGGTCCATGGGGACATTTTTAAAGAACCATTAGGAGTCCTTACCTTAATGTACTCGTCTTGCGTTGCGAATCGCTCGCGTTGTATTCTCGTCATGTACAGGACGTCCGTGTTCGGAAGGACATCTTCCAGGCTGGCGAATTTCTCCTGGGAAATCCCCCTTTCAGCCACATAATTCACGACATGGTCTGGCATGCCCAGGCCAGGAGGATTCACGTAACAAAGTTGAACATTGTAGAGAGTCAGCAACCTGAGTTGATTACATGGGTTAATTTTTTACGTGTGTTTAAGGGGTTTTAGATAGATAGAGGGGGTTGATTAGGAGCTGACCTGGCGAGAGAATGGACGGTTCGCCCATGTTTCAAGTCACCGACCATGGTGATGGTCAGGCCGTTCACTGTGCCGATTTCTTCTCGAATCGTGAAGATGTCCAGCAACGCTTGGGTGGGATGCTCTCCTACTCCGTCTCCGGCATTCAGCAACGGCTTGCGACAGTGCTGGGAGGCTCTCTGAATGGTTTCGAGTAGGTTTTGATAGAAAGAGTCTACCCGAAGATAGAATATGACGTATCTTATTGCATCCTTACCGCGACTGCACCAGGCTCTGGGTGCCTCAGGACCACAACGTCCGCGTAGCCCGCCATCACCGCCACGGAATCTGAAATGTTCCCTCGTTTAATGAGAATGTTGAGAATTATTTCCTACGATACGCAAGATATTTAAGGACCTTCCAGGGTTTCTCCCTTTTTCACAGAAGAAGTCGAGCCGTCCATGTGAATGACGCGACCACCGAGTCTCTGCATGGCTGCAGAGAAGCTGCAGGACGTCCTGGTGCTGACCTCGTAGAAGATCGACGCCATCACCTTTCCCTGAAGAAATTCACTAGTCAGAAGGAAACCACCACGGGGTTTTTCATTGCTGAACGGGAAATTCAGGTTTACCCGCAGAATGTGGTCCAGCGGTCTTTCTTTTATCACGTAGATGCGGAAGGTCTGGGCTAGGTTGAAGATGTCGTTGAGCTGCTCCTTGGAGAACATGTCAACGGACAGGATGTGGTGTCCTGCCAGTCCATGACTCGTAGAGATGTGGGGGATAGTAGAAACAGGAGGGACGAAGAGATTCGGGTTGCTGTCGCTTTTGTGACGAATACCAGCAGTGAATGGAAGAGGCGACAAGCTGCGAAGTCCTCCAAGGACCTTGTGATGGTCCCGGGTGTCCATTTCAAGAGCAAAGTGGACGTTCGACTTGTACGCCGGTTGAAGGAGGTTGGCATATGGTTCTAGAAAACAACCAGAAGTTTAGTTCAAGCTCTGGATGAAGGAGTTAAATTAAACCATTCCTACAAGCGAAGTCCTGTACCGTTGAGGAGCCCATCGAAGGCGTCGGCGAGACGGTCGAGGTCCTTTATTGGTCCAGCTGCGATTTTCTCCAAATTCGGGGACAGGAGTCCATCCAGAGCCGACCCTGGTCGACTGCTAACTTCGACGTTCATTACGTGAGTTCCTGGCTGATGCTTCAGTTTAGCCTGCAACTCGCGAACGTCCTGGCCAAATCCTGGATTGACAAGGACCTGTCCCTCCACGTAGGCCACCTCTCCTCTCAGGACGACTCTGTGGACGCATCCTCGGACCTTCATCCCTGCAAATGGCGTCCACTTCGACTTTGTAAAGCGCATCGCTTCCGGGATGACCCACACTTCGTCCAGGTCGACCTCGACGTAGGTGTTGGCCTGATCGGGCAGGTTGAAGATGCGCTTCGGATTTTTGTAGAACTTCTCCACGATGTCCTGGGAAATAGAAAGTGGATCAATCGCCTTGCCATCTCGCTCCTGAAGTCCTGAATGTACAGTGGCGGATATGAATGTCTTCCCTGCAGATACGGCATCGCCTGTGCAGGTTGGGAGGGCATTGATGTCTCCCAGTGTACCTTACGCAACGTTATATAAAACTGCTCGAATGCATTCTTGACCTTTAGGAAACGCAACTTGACGTTAACACAGACTGGGCACACAAGGTCGGCTGGCGTTGGCCAAGGCGCTCTTATCTAGGGAATTACTCCAATGATAGTAAGGTCGTTTATCGCGATCGTGCACACGACAATCGAGTGACAATGCCTGACTCTTTGTAAGGAAGTGATAACCAACGGCGGGCATTTTTCCTTGTAACTCCTAACAAGTGGCATCGCAATTAATCTCGAGACTTTTCTCTCGTGTCTCTTGACATACCTCCACGGTGAGCTTTCCCTCATGCACGGCGTTTAGCAAAAGCGGAAGTATTGTCTCCAACCCCGGAAATCCGGGAGGCGGCTTCTCCCCCGTTTTCTCCTGGACACTATGTGGAGCTGAAAAATGATTCCATTGCTAACTCAGCAAGTATTTTTTTTTTTTTTGTAAAAGAAGCTCTTCTATGGTATTTGCAATTGGAGATATTTTGATTATTAGTGCGATTATTACTCCAAATTTTTATCAACGGTGCTGTTCGAGCTTTGAAAGCTTTTTTCCAAATTAGTCGAAGAGCTGAACGTTTATCGTTTGGACGAGGACTTTCTATGACAGGATTTACCATGGTCGGTGGCGAAGCAGTCGATTAAGTCCAGATTTTCCCAAAGAGCTTGCTGATCCTCTTTAGTTCCCAAAGTCGGCCTCACTTGACCTGGACCATGACCTATGCGATCGAGGTCATCCTGGCAAAGGAAAAGATGGTGGGGACAGACTTCGCAGGTGACGGACAGTCCCTGTAAATTGAATTCAATTGTTAAAAGGAAATCGCTGAAAGGTCTAAAAAATCGATAAATCAGTCGAGGGCATCTCGAACCTTTTCTTTGGCAGCTCGGATGATCTGGATTTCTTCCTTCCTTGCGACATGGCAGACATGAATCGGCCTATTGTGCAAACTGGCCAGCAACAACACGGCAGCTGTTGTCTGGCCTTCGGCATGTACACACAAGGGGTACTTCTTCGGCCAGTTGTCGAAGTGCTGGAAAGTGCATTGTTCATGTCATCCGGGAAGGGCCTTTCATAATCGATTGCATGCAAGAAGGGTTTTAAAAATCCCATGGACCCGAGTCGAGCGCCATCAGGGACCTAGGATTCTGCAGAAGGGTTAAACCGAAGAGAGGGGACCTTGACCAACCTTAATCCACACAGTGAGGTCGCTCAGGCGAAGGGTTGTAAAGGTCTCGTTGAGGTACATCTTCAAGCCCGCGGCGAGAGGAGCGATTTCGGAGCTGATGGTGTAATTGTCCGAAGAGGCCCCTAGGAAAATCGCGTAATCGCACCTAGCTCCGGCCATTGCTTTCTGTAAGAACAATTTTTTTTTCCATTCAGCGAAACTTGGTTAATCCATTTTTAGAGACTTTTCGTGGTTCCTGCAGGGTCACCTCTTTCGCAAGGGCGAACGATTGATGGTCGACCACGGCTGGATTCGTGTTGGGCATCGCCAGGATCATCGTAATCCCTCCAGATAATGCAGCTGCTGTGCAGGATGCAAAGTCTTCCTTGTACTCGGCTCCGGGGTCTCGGGCATGCACGTGCACGTCGATGAAGCCTGGGAGCTTCAGCATCCTCCTCGAGGTCATGCAGTCGGTGTGAGTCTTCATGCGAGGAGCTTTTCCGCCCAGCATCCTCATGGCCTACAAGTGCCAAAGTATCTCTCTGTTAAGGGATGAGTTTACACTATCCGAGATGAAATTTCGATCCTACTCGGAGCCAGAATTTTAAGTATGATCGAAATTCCAACTTGGGTACTGCACAAGGTCTTTACCTCGACCAAAAGCTTGGCACATTTAACGTCAGTGACAAGAGGAACCGAATAATCAACTGCCAGTCTTCTCGTGCGGTAGCCATGGGTCATGAAATTGGAGACACGACGAGCTCCTCCATTTCTCATCGGCAAATTGATCACCAAATCGAAGTGTTTCTTCGACAGGAAGTCTGCAAGATGGCGGAGTTCGCTGGGGCTGGAGTCCTCGTTGACGTCGATGTTTTCGAAGGTCCATTGCACAGGCTCCACCTAAGAAAACATTCTTATAATCTCCGATGGCAAACCCGTCGTAAACATTTGATAACAACGAATGAAAAGTGAAAATCCAGGTTTCGACCACTGTGGAATTCATTTTTCCTTCCTTCAGATTCCACATTCGCAAGGTCCTCGTTACGTTTCCAGGAAAGATAACCGAGAAATTGGAAAAAAAGATTGGGATTACCAATCTCCAAGACGAAGAAGTCCTTCAGGAAGTTTATCAAGGATCCCGTGCAAACCTGCAGGGATTAAAAGCTGCAGATTAGACGCGGACGTCTTTATCGGAAGCGTCGAACTCTCCGATATGGTTATCGGTGACGTCACGGATTTCAGGTGTCGAGTATGCCAAATGTCTTCCGTGTCTAGCTGACCAATCGAACTCGAGTGCCTTATCGAATACTTTACGAATTCAGCCAAATAGTGGTTCAAAGACCGGACGCGGTTATATATCACGAAGACTCATGCCTCATTCTTTTTACGAAGGTAGAAGAACGTAACACTGTACGATAAAATGATTATCTACTCCTCTTCGTCATGTCTGGGGAGTGAATCTTACTTCCTGCGATTTATGTTACAAGAAGTCTTTCATAATGTGCGCTAAAGTCCATTAGGAGCTTTCATTAACCCGTTTAAAGTGAAACTTCTGATGTACCTGTAAATTTGTGTGTCATGAAAGGCGCCTGATTTAAAATCATCCTTTTGATTTAGTATTAAAAAATTTTCCGTAAACGTTATCGTTATAGTTGTCGAGGGGCTATGGTATCTATGGTGGCTGCAGATATATGCGAAGTCCTCGAATGATCTCCTCGAAGACGCTTGACCTCCTGTTTACGGACTCCTCTAGAGAGCGTATTTATCAGGGCGACTACAGCCGGCGCGAAATTGCTTCCACGAATTTTTGACGTGGGCTCCGTTATCATTCGATAGGAAGCGTTCGATTAAAAACACGAAGCGCGACTCGATAACGCGATAGATATTTATCGAGATCCCTTACGAGCGGACAATCGCAAGTCGTCGAGTGTCGGAGGAAGAAGTCAGCCAAATTCTGAAAGCATGTCCGCTTCCAGGTTCGAGGGCTGACCTCGACCTCGCGAAGGATCTCATGGTGGAAAGAAAAAATCCCAGTGAACCCGATCAGTCAGAAAATCGTGAAAAAAGGAGAAAAGAAAAATGGGCAGTGGCAAGTCGAAGGGCAAGGGCAGAGGCAGGAGATATCCAGGACGAGCACAGAGGTCTCCAGAGTCCCAGCAAGGAAGAAGTTCCCAGGACTTCGACGAGGTCTACGAGCAGGACCTCCGACTTCTCCGGAGAACCATCGTCAGGGACCCCGAGGGCTTCATCCTGAACAATTTGATGATGTGTGTTCAGTTTTTCAAGAATTACGAAGAGTAAGTCTCACCTCCACCCCGTGCGGTGCATCCTGGATAAGTCCTAAAAAATTTCTCAGCCACGTTCCGACCTCATCCAGCAAATACCGATCCTCTTATCAAATGGCTCCCGATAGAGCAAGATATCGGCATTGCCGAATCTCGTAGACCCCTTTTCGAGCATCGAGAGGATTTACAAAGTCCTTAATGGCGGTCCTCCTCTTCGATATATTCCTCGCGATCGATCGTAAATCCAGAAAAAGTACTTCCGAGAATGTTTTAAGGCGATACGCGCCTTCCCAATTAATCTAATCGCCATTGACTCGAATTTACCGAATATTGTTGGAGGTGACATCACCGTAGATTGCCGATCACCACGTCCGCCAAGGTCCCCGGGATTCACAGGAAAACATTGTTTCTCGATTTAGACCAACGTTGTTTTTTCGTTTCCTCTAGAGAGATCTCGCACATACAACAGACATTGGTCTCATCCCGAGAGACGGAACTGAACGAACGTTTGCCGCCCTTGAAGCACACCCTGCTTCCGGATGTTCTTCAGGAGCAAGTATCCCAGAACGTGAAGTTCATATCTATGAGACAAACTTCTCGACCCACGGAGGAACCTCTGCAGCCCGTCAGAATTTACGTCGTAATGGATAATGTTGAAGTCACCGAGGAAGTGTATGGTCCACATTACAGCAGCGTAAACGATGCCGTCACTTATAACATGCTCCTGAAACCCAGCGAACATCAGGGTTGGTACCTCAGAAGTAGTTGAAATTTTTGTCTGACTCCATTTCTTATGATTCGAGCTCAGGATGCCAGGACCAACAATGATCATTCCGTTTGCAGGATACGTTCGTCTCCAGCGATTAGAAGTGACGCCCTCGAAGAAGAATCCCGTAGCCGAGGACGACGTGGACCTCTCCTCCATAGCCGAAGACGGCGACGAGCCCTACAGCGACAACGACAGCATGTTCAACATGAAGTCCAGCCTAGGAAAAGCACTTCCCATCCGCAGTAAGCGAATAACGGAGTTGTCCAAGTCCACCCTGAGCAGATCCCTCCCGGACCTAGGGTGCGAAGAAACCGAGGAAAGCCTCTACGACAGAGCAGAGTCTCACGCGAGTCTGCCAATACCCCGATACCCAAAAAGACCAAAAGAAGAAGACAACTACAGCGCTGGGCCACGATCTTCAAAGTCCCTCAGCTCCGGGTCAGGATACTCCAGAGGATCCCACAACAGGCCGAGATCTTCGAAGGCTCATCCGAAGAACAACCCTGGCCAGCAGACTCCGAACGAGAGTCCTGCCGGCAGCACAAGTTCAGGATACAGATCTGGCAGCTACACCGTGGACAGTGACAGCGATTGTGGCTATGCGACCATAAAAAACAACCCCATAAAGCTTGCCAAACCCGGAGACACGCCATCGGATGCGGAGATCCCTCCGAACTGCTTCAAGAAACTGACCTACACCAAGGATGGGAAGATCTACGACCCTAAAGAAGAGCGAAGGCAGATGCTGAACAACAAGCAACGCAGGATTAAGGTCGCCTTGAAGCGCTACAACTATGACGTGTGGTACTGGAACAGTGGTCAGTTCATGAAGCACTTCATTGATCTTTTTGTAGATCATTTGGCAGCGGATCTAGGGTTCGACCAGGAGACCGTGTCCTATGTCGAGGGCCATGGTGCGGTGATCTACTGCGACAACATAGACGTCTTCAAGACGGCAAAGTACGCCAGCGTGGAGTCCTACGAGGTGATCCCTGGAGTCTGGACCCAATGGCCATCCTGCGCTCAGGAATGGTTGTACAGACCTAGGGGAACATGGCCCACCTATGAGATCATCGACAAGATCAAGGAATTCGGCTGTTATGCCGTACCCGAAGGCTTCGTTCCGAAGAAGGAGGTGAATGCCCAAGAGGACCTCGAATGGCAGCTGACTTTCCCGGCTGCTGAGAGGTTCCTGGAGACTTGTCTGAGCAGTTCGCAAGTCAGGGTGTACCTGATCGCTCTGATGTTGCTGAAGATATTCATCAGGCCCGTCAACTCGACCCATGGGCTGGCCACTGCTCATATTAGGAATCAGCTGTTCTGGCTGGCAGAAGAAGATGACAGACCCTCCAGGTGGCCGGAGAACATGACCGGAGAGTGTCTTCTGAAACTCCTGAATTCTCTCTATCATGCTATCAGTAGGAACGAGCCCACCCTTCCGGACTACTTCATCAAGGAGAAGAACCTTTTCCAAAATATCCCCGACGAGTACCTCCTGCACAATCAGAAACAACTGAAGAGGATCATCGAGAACCCCGTGATGTATGTCTTCCATGCCATGGAGAATATACGCCACAAGAGCGATAAGTTCTTCCCCAGGTTGGACTACGAGAAGCTTTTCCGGATATTGACGCAGGATTCGGAGGATGCTCTAATCTTGGTTAATCCTGCTCTTGCCAGGCAAATCCCAAAGCCTTTGGATAAGGTAAACGATTACACCGCGTATGACAAGGAGTATGATCACCCTGGAGGGTTCTGGGACAATGTGAAGTCGAAGAAGGACCAGCAATACGTCGACTCCAGGAAACCCGTGACTCACAAGACTCTTATCAATCCAAAGAAGGCTCACGACTCCATCGTTGAAATCTCGGTAAGCACCGTATGCTTAAACAAAGTTACCCAGAAATATTTTAATTTGACATTTGTTCATATATTTCATAAACACGTGTAATGAGTTCAGGCCACAAGTGCGGGAATTATTCATTTATTTAGAAATTTATAGCAAATGGGTAATGGATGATAACAATGCTAATGCCTAGTCCTTCGACTTACAGGTTCGCTGCGCAGAGTTGGAGGGACCAAGGTTGAGTGCCTTGTTGGACTTCTTCATCAAGCACTTCATAAAAATGGCAGAGTGTTGCCACCAATATAGGGCTAGTCAACAAAAATCGGTATACCTAAGCCAGGCCGATCTCCTATCAGTTTTGCTGTCGGAGTACCCTCGGTTCAAGGACGACGCGAAGGCGTATCGGCAGAAGATTCGCGCCTTGAAGAGGAAAGCCATCGGCTCGAAATCAGTTAACGAGGCTCCGGAAACTCCGAGGAGGAACATAGATCCTCCGACATTCAGTCTCCCCCTTAGAGAACGGTTCACCAAAGAATCTCTTGACCGAGTCCCCGTGACTCTGAACATGAACAAAGGATCGAAGGAGTACGACATCGAGAGTACGAGCGGCTACGGGTACCGGTCGCAAGTTGCCATTGTTGAGGAAAAAGTAGTCAAAGCAGCCGTCCACAAGGAGAGTCGATTAGAAGAACATGAATCCAGCCTTCCGAAAACCAGAAAAACTCCTCTGGAAGATAAAGACGCCTCGGAGATGGGCCCGACAGGATCCAGAAGAGTCGTCTTCGAGGACAAAGACGGTGGTTCCAAGGCTGAAGAGGCTAAAAGTTCTGAAGAGTTCGGAATAACGAGACCTAGCGAGCCAGAAGACGCATCTTCTGCAAAGAAGCCACATACAGTGTCCATAGCAAAAGGCGAGAAGGATTCATTCCTGACCGAAACGACATACATCTAATTAAAAATAAAAGCGCAGCCACCCATCCGCGTGATCCGCTCGTTAGATTGGACATTCCCCGAATTTGATCGGTGTCACTGTACATACATATAGAACTCTTGTAAATAGTCGCGTTTGTTATAAAAAAAAAAAAAATAAGCAATAAGAATGACTCACCTCGACTCCATGTTCGGTGTAGAAATCGGCGGTGCCCATGCTGGCGTACAGCTTGTACCCCATCTTGTGCAGACTCCTTATCGAAGGAAGCAGCTCCATTTTGTGCTATCAGAAGATAAAGAAATAATTCACTCTTCTCATTCATAGACGGATTAATTAATCCGTGCACTTACTTTGAAACTACCTATGGATAGTAAAATTCCTTTCTGCGGGATGTGGAACCCGGTGCTCATCATTCCCTTTAGATAAGCCTCGTACCGATTGTCGCCAAAACACGCGACCTCTCCGGTCGATGCCATCTCCACTCCCAACATTACATCTGCACCTGTAGATGATAATAGACGGAGAGATGACACTTTTCCACGGAGTATCTTTAGGAATAACGGCAAAGAATGGATAATTAGATGAATAACCTGCGAGCCGGGAGAAGGAAAATTGTGGGACCTTCACGCCGACTTTTCCACATCCTGCCAGGACATCCACAGGATCCACGGTTTCCCCGACGATTAACCGAGTGGCCATCGCCACAAAATCGTGGTCCAGGGTCTTGGAGACGAAGGGGAACGACCTGGACACCCTCACGTTGCATTCGATCACTTTCAATTCGTTGTCCTGGAGTAAATCAGGAATTAGTTGCATTTCTTTGATCTTTGATCATCATTTAAATGCCGATTACCTTCGCGATCAGCTGCATATTAAATGGTCCAGTGACCTCCAGAGATGCGGCGATAGCTCTGGAGATGGTGCGGATTTTTATCAGGGTCTGAGGGTTGATATCTTGGGGAGGAGTGACGAGGGTGGCGTCTCCAGAATGGACTCCTGCATTTTCCACGTGCTCCGAGACTGCCATGCAGAGGATGACTCCGTCATAGGCCACGGCATCCACGTCTATCTCTTTGGCTTCCAGGATGAACTTGGATATCACCACGGGATGTTCCTTACTGACTTTGCTGGCGTTTTTTAGGTAGGACTCCAGATCGTGGTTCGAATGAGCAACGTTCATAGCCGCACCACTCAGGACGTAGGATGGTCGAACCAGACATGGATACCCAACTTCCTCGCAGAATTCGATGGCTGACTTCAGATTCGTCAGCTCCTTCCACCTGGACAGATAATACTTAAGGTGTCATGCAAGTGTCATATCGACTATGGTAAAGAAAAATTCCCATTACCTGGGTTGAGATATCCCGATTCGGTCCAGCATTCTGGAGAACTTGAAGCGATTCTCAGCACCGTCTACGGACTCTGGGGACGTTCCCAAAATTCTGGCTTGCTGTCTGTGGAGGTCCATGGCTATGTTGTTAGGCAGCTGGCCACCCATCGACAGGATAATTCCTTCGGGGTTCTCGTAGTCATAAATGTCCATCACCACCTCGAACGATATCTCCTCGAAATAGAGGCGGTCGCACATGTCGTAGTCAGTGCTGACCGTCTCAGGGTTGTAGTTGACCATGATAGTCTTGCGACCTAAACGTCTGAGTTCTCGCAAGCAGCTCACGGCACACCAATCGAATTCGACGGAACTGCCGATTCGATATACCCCAGATCCTAAAAGTGACTTCGATTAACCCTTTCGATGCCTTTCTCCAATATGCTTCCTCTGTACAGACCCTCAAATCGGGAATTTATCGCTACAATATGGACCAAGCGCGACAAACGTTGACCATGGTGAAAAAGTAAAAAAAGTCCAAAAGAAAGCAAAGTGAAAAAATTCGACTAGTTATGCATCAACGGAAAATTTTATGACTATAGTCGCCCGTGGTATCAAAAGAGTTAGCAATGCCTAAAATCGAGGGATTTACATCTAAAAGTATTGTCTAGTACCTATGACGATTGTGTATCCTCCCGGGAACTCGAGATCGTGAGAAATGCCATTGTAGGTCAGATACAGATAGTTGGTCGTAGCCGGCCACTCCGCAGCGACAGTGTCTATCTGTTTAACAAAAGGCTGGATCTGATTTTCTTGCCGTTGTTTGCGAACAGCGAGCTCGGTGCTCTTCACGGCAGCAGCTATTTGCTTGTCCGAAAAGCCGATTCTCTTGGCGCCGAGTAGAACCTCGTGAGAGAGCTTGGTCTGGTCGAGGTTCTCCAGGAGCTCGTAATAGCTGATGATGTTCCGCATCTTCTCCAAGAACCAGCGGTCGATCTTGGTCAATTCGTAGAGCCTGTCGATCGTGTATCCTGCCTTGATGGAAGCCGCGAGGACGAACATCCTCTTGTCGGTTGGCTTTTCGAGTTCCTCGTCGCTGATGGACTTGACGTACGGGTCGAACCCGGTCACGTTCTCGTCCACCATTCTGAGAGCTTTCTGAAAGGCTTCCTCGAACTTCCTGCCAATGGCCATGACCTCGCCGACGCTCTTCATCGAGCTACCGATCTTAAATAAAAGAAAGGGAGACGTATAAAAAATCTTTCGCTGCCTTTAGTGCTGCTTCAGACTACGATAAGGATGTAGGGCACACCTTGGTGCTGACTCGCTGGAACTTGCTGAGGTCCCATCTGGGAATCTTGACGACGCAATAGTCGAGGCTGGGCTCGAAGCAGGCGGTTGTTTCGCCGGTGACGGAATTTCGGATATCCGGAAGAGGAATGCCCAGAGCTAGTTTAGCAGCCACGTAGGCCAATGGATATCCGGTCGCTTTGCTGGCCAAAGCGGAACTTCTGGACAATCTGGCGTTCACCTCGATTATAAAGTACTCCTCCGACAGGGGGTTCAGGGCGTACTGGATGTTGCACTCCCCCACGATACCGAAATGTCTGATAACGTTGATAGCGGTCGTCCTTAAGAGGTTGTACTCCCTATTCGACAACGTCTGGCTGGGTGCAACAACGATGGACTCCCCTGTGTGGATACCAAGGGGATCGACGTTCTCCATGTTGCAGACTGTTATGCAGTTGTCGTACGCATCTCTGACCACTTCGTACTCGACTTCCTTCCAGCCCTTCAGAGACTTGTCGATGATCAGCTGATTGGAATGAGCCAAGGCTTGCTGGGCGAGTATCTTCAGCTCTTCCTTGCTGTTCGCGAAACCGGACCCTAAACCTCCTAGAGAGAACGCTGCCCTCGCCATCACGGGGTATCCCAGTTTTTCTGCAGCCTCTAGAGCCTGTCGAAGGAGCAAGGATTTTTTTTAAGAGTTGGGAATTAATGGAAAATAAATGTTGAAAGTGGTAAATCAGATAGCGACCTGCTGGATCGAGTAGACAGCGGCGCTCGGCGCGACTTTCTCGTTTATTTCGCTTATCCTCTCCGTGAACATCTTTCTATCCTCGGTCTGAATAATCGACTGTATTGGTGTTCCTAGGATTTTAACATTGTACTTGGCGAAGACACCGTTCTTCTCCAATTCCACTCCGCAATTTAGAGCAGTCTGCCCACCGAAAGTCAGCAGCACCCCGTCCGGTCTTTCGGAGCGTATGACCTGAAACAAACTTAATTGTTTATTGAAGTTTGGGTTGTTCGACACCACGAAGTGATATAAAGAGTTAATCGAATTTTCTGTTCGATACCATCAATGTCTCCCTTTCATCGAATTATAGGAAAACTCCCTTCAGATTCTCACCTGTTCCACATATTCGGGAGTAATGGGCAGGAAGTACACTTTATCTGCCATGCCTTTCGAGGTCTGCACGGTGGCGATGTTGGGGTTTATAAGGAGAGTCTGAATGCAATCTTCGCGAAGTGCCTTCATGGCCTGAGACCCAGAATAGTCGAATTCCCCAGCCTGGCCTATACTGAGACCTCCGGAGCCCAGAATTAGGACTTTTTTCGGACGTGCGAATTCTTTAGGAACCGAATAATTCCTAGTCAAAGTCTGAAGGAGCCTTTCTCTGACTGGGCCATTTTGGAGGCCCTTGGTCTCCTCCTTTACCGTCTCCAAGAAGATGTCGAAGAGACATTCGAGGTCCTGGGGACCTGCCGTGTGTTCAGGGTGGAATTGCACGGAGAAATATGGCAAAGAGGAGTGCACGATTCCCTCGTTGGACTTGTCGTTTGCATTTGTAAACAACGGCTCCCAGTCACCGGGCAAGGTCGAGACATCGATTGCGAATCCGTGATTCTGAGACGTCATGTAACATCTCCCACTTCCACAATGGATAGCCGGCTGATTGTGTCCTCGATTCCCGTATCTGGAAAACAGCAGATATCTTCAATAACGTCCATGAATCTCTTAAGGGGCTCTACTACTGGGAACGTCGAGAAAAATTATACATTTTTCTCAGGCATAAGTATGTCATTTTCTCGACGCTCGGAGTGGCATACCGATTTAAGAGACTCATAAAAATCTCTTAAAAATCTCCTAAGAATCTCTCCACGTATCTTTGTTATTCCCTACCCGACTCATGCAGAGTGGAAAGTTGTACTAACGCCATTTTGTAGCTGGAACATCCTACAGCCAGGGCGAGGAGTTGATGGCCCAGACATATTCCAAAAATGGGTTTCTTTGTACCACTTGTCAATACCGATCGGATGTGATCGATCGTTGCCTCGCACATGCTGGGGTCGCCGGGTCCATTGCTCAGAAAAAGCCCATCGAATTCGTGGACGTCTAGGGGGTGGTCCCAGGGGACGACGTCCACCCTGGCACCTCGACTTAGGAAGCAGCGAAGTTGGTTGAACTTCAAACCGCAGTCCACCACGCATATTCGTGGATGGCCACCCGGGTTGTACGTGGTGGGCGCTTTCTGGACAATTGTCAGGATCAGATGTCAATATTAATTCTGGATAAAAATTAAAAGACACGGGATAACTCACTCGGGAAACCTCAGCCACGAGGTGTCTCTTGTTGGGGTCTGAGATCGGTGGGGTCAAGAGTAAAGATACGGCGTATGGTTCCCCATAAACTATCCTCCCCAGGACGGAGCCTTTCTCCCGGATGATCTTGGTCAAGGCTCGAGTGTCGATTTCTCGAATCCCTGGGACATTTCGTTCCTTCATCCACTGAGACAAGGTCCTGGTGCTCCGCCAGTGGCTGGGGGTCTCGCTGAGCTCCCCGACGATGAGACCAGCTGCCCAAATTCGGTTCGACTCGAACCAGCTGTGGAAACACGGATTTATTATCATCTGAACAAGTGTCTTATCACCGTTCCTTCAAAAACAAAGACACCTACCATGGCAAGTCGTACTCGTCCGTCTCATCGCCAGGGACTCCATAATTCCCGATCAGTGGATACGTGAGGACCAAAATTTGGGCATGATACGAGGGATCCGTCAGGGACTCCGAGTACCCCACCATGCCAGTTTGGAAAACTGCGAAATGCGATTTATCATTAACTAATGCATCCTACAATATTCATTAGGAATATGTATCAGCGTTAACTGGGCATGATAACACATTTATCGTAGAAAAGTTCGGTCTTCCCGCGCAATTCCCATTGGTCTTTGGCTCCTTCTCCTTCCTCATAAGAAAAATAAAAAACCTACCCAGTCGCAATTCTTTTCGTTTAGTATAATTCATATTATAATTATATATGTCAGTTTTGGAGAAATAAGACAACGGAGCGATCTGTCAAAGCGAGATTCCGACCACGTGGTCATTGACCGAGGAAAGATTTTTTATATCTCTCATAATTGCCCATTTTCGCTGGGGGTAACACGAGAGCTCTTCTCGTGTAATTAATACCTTCACAATGTAAGATATCAAAGCACGGTTTAGCTGATAATACGCGCGCCGTTTCTTATCACGAACCGTCGAGAAAAATTGATGACTGGTTCGAGGAGCCTATCTCTCACAGAGCATCCATTCCCCGGGCGAGTAAGAACGGCATCTTTTATCCGACGAGGTGTTCCTATCGTCCGATAAATTAATTCCGAAGAAAGCCAACCAGCTCGCAGGAGATTCGCATGCAATTCTAGGGCGATATGTGTAGGCGTGCATGTCGTTTATTTCAGAAACCGGTCGGTAAAGTTGCTTGTAAAAAAGAAAGGCCAGCACGTGCGCCTCCGTCTAAAGGAGATATTTAATACTGGCGTTAGTATCACTTCAAATCAGTCTTCAAAAGAGCCATTACACCAACGATCAATTTATGGTACGCGAATCCAGGTATTTAATATCTGAAATCGTTTTTTAAGTAACTGATACTTGACACCTGGTCTATAAAGTTGTCCATCGGCGATAGATACTCATTAAGGAATTTTAATTCATTAATAAAACTAAAACAACTTCATATACTTTAAACGAATTGAATTTTCTGGCATCATACATATCCGTCCAACGTTAGGTCCACTATCGCCCGCACGGTCCCCCGAATTTCGGCTAAACGTTGGAAGTCCTTACTAGTCAAAGGGTAAATTCCATTTAATCAACCCGACCGCTAATTTCCTATACAGCATCAAGTGAAACTCTTTTAATCACATGAATTCTTTTCATTTTCCGTAGAAAATGATTTTTTGGCTCAACGTGCCGGCTCGTGACGTCAGAAGCGAAGGCCACGCGCCGGCGCGGTCGGTAAAGTGGCATTCGACCACGTGTTAGGCCGGGGTCCAAGTAACCGCGTCGTGTGTCGCACAGAACGCGGCAAATCGCCGCCTCGAAAATTTCCCACCAATCAAAATCGCGGAAAAAGTACTGCGCCTGTAAAAGGCAATTCTGATTGGTTTTCCATGGTTGACGCGTCGCCGCGCCGCGGTCTGTGTGACACCCGCCGCGTTCAGGAGGACTCCAAACTCGCCGCTCGGGAGCGCGAGAAATTCCCGGTTTCCGGTGAAATAAAGCCCCTCACCGACTTCCCCGTCGACAGGGACCACCGCCCCGAAGCTCCTTCCTGGGAGGATGGTGCCATCCTCCAGGAGGAGGGAGACTTCCAGGTCTTCGTCCTTTAGAACCGTGCACATGACCTTCCAGGAACGGCCGATGCGAGCTGTTGGACGACTACTGTACGTTCGGAACCGCCGTGGGCATTTGACCCGTTCGAAGAGCGCCTGTTGCCCCACTCTTGAATATTGTCCCCCAGGATTGGCCAATTTCCCCTCGAGCCGGCTTCCCGGCCCAATGGAACGCTCCCTCACTTTGACCGTGGCCATTCATGGTGTTTGTCGAATTCTAATCGGAGCACTTGATAGAACGGACATTCTTTACTCTAGAAACCGCGCACATGATTATCGGGGACATAGAACACCGAATAATTATCAGATTTCGGTGATTTAGGGAAAATTCTTAAGGCGGTTTGAATTTCCCGCCGAGATCTCCGCTCCCATTTGAACCGAGGATGCGTCGTGGAACCCCGGGAAATATAAACCTTTGCAGACTCGTAATGAATTATAATGCAATATTACTTAGGAGGGGTATAAAGATATTTGGAACTATATGACCACGTGTATTTGTATGTATAGTTAGGAATAGTTTGGGGAACATTAAGTTCGAGGACTTAGGCGCAAATTCTCTTGTGCGTCCAGGCTTTATCTGCTTTAGAGAATTTCAGGCGATCTGCTATGAGGCAATCTCTTGCATGATAGAATTCCATCATGGAAGGGATCAGCACGTACGCTCCGCTGAAATGGAAATGAGTTTAATTAGAGCGCGAATTATAGGGACTGTTAAATTTATTTATTTTAACGTACACGTAATCGGGCATTGGCAGGGATTTGTTGCCATTGCGAGCCTCTTCGACTAACTCATCGTGTCTTTTTTTTAGGTCGTCCCAGTCGGTTTCTTGATCCTGGTGGCAGATATGTGACCGTATCTTGCAGTAAAATGGTTCCCTGTCGTAAAGATGCTGGAACTTCTCCCTGGGAAGCGTTTGCACGGCGCCTTCTACACGTACCTGGACAATTGGACAACAATAATTCCTCTCGAATTCAAGGTGAGGAAAAAATTCCCGAACCAACCTTCTAACGTTCATAACGTTCTTCTAAAATTCATATTATTCTAAAAGATGGGGGGAAAAAAATTCTGCAATTTTGTCTCGGAACATTTGAAGTCTTGTAACACTTGTACAGGTGACTTGCCTGTCTAGCGACATGTTGCTGGGTGTCGTTATAATAGGACCACAAGAAGCACATGGCAGCTGAGGGGACATTTTTCTGAAACAGGTAGAGCCATAGCATGTCGATAATAAAACCAAATGCCAGCACCAAATCTTTATGAAAAGTGTTTATAAAGTAGCGAATTGCATTTCTTGACACTTGCCAGGTCGTCGACCTTCCGACTGCGATCATCAGTCATGAAAACGAAACCCTCGGAGCTGTACTCCCTCAGGACGAGATGACGAGCGGAGACATTCAGCTCCCTGAAAGAATGATTTCCATCCGAAGAAAAAATATAAACAAAAGATCCGAAGAGTCTATATAATATACTTGGACACTGTAGCGAGACAAAAACTGCTGGGCAAGCCTGTCGAAAAAGTCTTGGCCTCTTGGAGCCAGTCTTTGAACAAGTCGAAGGGATCATCGGACTTCAAGTCGATGCGAGCGAGGTCTGAAGAAAAGGCGCACTTCTTCTGCTGACTGGTGTTCTAAAATCAGAAATGCTTTCCTATACCCTCTACAGACGTCACTGCCTTTAGAAGGGGCAACTCAAAGCCAAGAATGGTCCAAACAATCGAATCATCCCCTTTTTACGTTTCCATCCCTTAGTCGCAGCAGCCAGTCAGGCGCGAGGAATCGAGAAAGGGAAGTCGCCTTGCTCGATGTTTTTGGCTCGATATTCCACTGCGATTCCCCTCTTCGGTCATTACGTAAACGCGAGAGGAACGTGAGTCCAATGAGTTTGCGCAGCGGAAACTGCATCCACAGCGTTTCGATAAGCCTGGGTAATATTATCAGCGATTAGCGTTCATATTCCGGAGGGACTTACCATTCCGATTTGGGCTGGTCAACAGGTGCGCAAGTCTTGGAATCGGACGCGACACTGACTCCTATGGTGAAGGAGAGGAGCCTTATGCGAATGCGTTGACGCATTCTGCCCCTTCCTCCACCCCTCCCACTGGAGATGCTCCCAGAGGCTCTAATCGGTATCAACTGCAGACATTATCAAACCCGAACATGCGTCAAAGTTGATCGGACCTCCACGTGTGAGAAGATACTTTGGACAATGACTTGGGAAGCGATTACATGGAAGGCTGAAATTCCTTTTATTTCTAGTACGAACGACGCGGTATACATAGGTAACAATGACGGGCTAGAAGTCGAGACTCCCGGGATAAAAATAAATTAAAGTACAGCTTCCTGGTCCGACCTCTTCGAGATCTTCTCTCTGGTTGGATTCTCGAGGAAACAGCTGATCGGCTCGCCCATCGAAGACCTCCGATTCGATTCCACAAACGCTCCCTCTAGGAAGCAACGTCCTTAGGCATTGTTATACAATACTTGGTAAAGTTCAACTCTAACTGGAGATTCTCGGTAAACATTGTTCTACGTGCTAAGATATGTACAATCGTCCCTGCGCTCTTCGTCATCCGACAGTCTAGGCGCCCTTTAGTTAGTTTCCTCGTGCAGTCCTTTAAGGATCTCTAACGGCAGGGAATGAATCTCTGACAATTCTCTACCTAGGGCAATATTTTCCTGACCTACGGTGATCCTATCACAAGTAGAAACTCATTATCAGTCGCGTTGATAATACTCCGCTTCCAGAGATCCCATCCCCGAAGCCGTCCACACTCCCAGCGGATCTACCCATCATCCGTTCGCGATGAAGACATGACTTTTGTTAATTCCATGATAAGACTCAGCCAATGGTGGATTCTATCCAAGCGATGTTGGAGGAGATCTTGTCGTAGAGCCTTGGTCTCTCTGCTCCAGCCTTGGAGCACGCTATCCTCCAGCTTCCGACTCCTGTCAAAGCCCATCTCCTTCCATCGGATAACAAACAGAGCATGGGACTTCCGGCCACTTCCTCCTCCTAAAAGAAAAACCGTCCCTTGAATCGCGGCTACAATCCGACGCCCCGTTATTTTTCTACCGAATTTTCTTTCATCGAAATTCCATCCAAGAGTTTATTAAATAATCCAATATCTCTTGGGAGGACTTTCTTATTTTCGTTCAGCTCGGTCGAATCTGCCTAACCGCGAGAAAAAATCCCGCGGTGGGAAGGTTGCTGACCGCGAGTCTTTCACAATCGGGAACAGGGTAACTCACGTTACAGTCATCTGTTGAGAAGGCTGTCTCGGTGCAGACACTGTTGAGAGAAGGTATACTGATGTTCTCGCATCTCTCCATGGAGCTGAGTCTCAGCTGGACCCTCTGAAGCAGATCCCCTTAAAAAAGGAAGCGATCATGACATAACGAGTGGAGTCGGATTTTCTGAGCTAATAATAGGGTCAAGGCAGAAAGTATCATTGTTTTGAAAGCATCATCATCTAGGATGTATATATACGCGGCTTATCTAATTTAAGCACGGGTCTTATCACATTGAATGCAATCTTAAGAAAAATGGCAACATAAGCGGCGTTACACGAACCGTCTCAAGTTTAAAGAACAACAATGGTTCCTGACGCCGGTGAAATTTCAATTATTATAGAAAATCTTAAAAATCTTTATAAACAAATTGAGGCAAATTAAATTCCACGGGTGCCAAGACCTTCCTCATGGTTCCAGTTTAAAACGATTCGATACACTTGATTCGGAGGAGAGTTTCAAAAGGGTTGCGGATGTCCACTTTGGTATCGCCTTAAAGTCCTCGGTTGTTTCAGCCGGTTCTTCCGTAGTTCTTGACTTACTGTTCCTGGCCCATCCCAGGGTGTTGCAGTGGGATCCGTTCGTCGGAATCGGATCACGGCTAGAGGGCAGACAAACGGGTCGAACGAAGTCGGAAAACGCGACGACTGGTCTGTCCAACTTGAGGAGTACCGTTGTGCTTCCTTCAACGGGGGACTTGACCATGCCGATGATTCTGCGCTCTTGCTGCCAGGGCGAAGTGCTGCTCAGCCTGACAGTCCCCAGTCTAGCAGACCACTCTGCCTTGGGTTGGCTAAAATCATCGATAACGAACCCGCTGAATTTTTGATAAGAAGCAGTCCTCGCTTTACGAGCACCTATCCTGGGATATATACATATATGAATTAAATTCTCAATTTAAAAACGGTCAATTAATTCCTGCATTCAGGGACTAGTTCAGCCTTCCTTCACGTCTTAATTTAATATTACAAGTCCCTCGATGGAGATTTTTATATTGAATTTTGAAATTCTTTTTTTAAATCGTGCGCACCGAGTTCTTCATGGATTCCGGAAAAAAGTAAAAACGTACCCCTGGAAGCAAAAGGCAGTTGTCAGCAGCCAATTAGCCGCCACCAGGGTGGCGTCGCAAACATGGACTTCTTGTTTGAAGAGGGCAACATGCCAAGGCCAGTCTCCAGGCTCCGCCATCTTGCTGAGACCGGAAGTCCCGGACCTGGTTCTGAGAGCTTGTATTCCGCATTCTGCGGAATCGGTAAAAAAATGAGGTTGCATTAAAAGGGATTAATCATTGTCCAGGGTCATCATCCAGCAGGAGATTCTTCTTACCAAGGGCCGCGCACTTGACGTACATCACTTCTCTGCTGGGACAAGGTGCACGTACGAAAGTGATCTCCGATGCGGAAGGATCCTCCATATGAACATACTGAACATTTTCCTCCTCGTCGACCTTGACTTCCACGGACTCGACGCCGCTGTGAAATCAGAGAGAAGGTATTACAAAGCGTTAATAAAAATATATATAGACACATAGGAAGAGACCTAGGTGCTCTCGTCACCTGAAAGTCAGGATGCTGCAGAGCGAGCTGGCAGCGGTTTGCAGAACCGTTTCCATTTCCGTTTCCGGCAACGTGGCATTGAGGTTCTCCGTGCAGAGTTTCCCGACACTTCCTTTCTCGTTGAAGACCACATATCCTTCGTCGATGTATCTTGGAAGATGAGGAGTGTCCATAGGTTGGGACTTTACAGACGCGACGCTCTGGGCCAGACTCACTAGGACGGAAGTGGATGGTTAAAAGTCTCAAAGGAGAGCCTTAAGTCAGAAAACTAAGCTACTAACGGCAGTCCTTCTCGTCACTGCCATTAGGGCAATCCAAGTTTCCATCGCAGCGTTTAGACCTCGGAATACAAGCTCTGCCGACTCCGCAATGCACGTACTCGTCGCGGCAGTAAGAGCAGCTCTTCTCGTCAGATAAATCCGGACAGTCGATGACTCCGTCGCAAATCCTTGGAGAGAGAGCTTTGGACTGAAGGTCCTGCACGCACCCTGGGTCCCACCATCAGAAAAAAGTCGGGATACATAATGAAAACAATTAATCGGAATTAAAGGAATAGTCCTCGTACCAGGTTTGGGTCTGCAGCTCCCGGAGTCCGCGTACTCCGGGAAATTGGAGCAGTCCAAAGCTTGTCTGATCCTATCAGAGAGTCGATTCCCACATCCCAGCCAGAACTCTCTGCAGAAGCTCCTGCAGGGCAGGTGCAACACGTCCTGGCCGTGTCCTGGAAGACAGGAAGGTTGGAGAACCTGGCAGATGAAGTCGTAGGCGAGCCTGTAGCATTCGGCGTCCACCAGTTCCCTAAAAATCCGAGTTAAAGGACAGTCAAGCATTTTCTGACAGAGGTGGAGGAGCGAAGGTCCTGGGGACTCATCGAAGGATCACCTGAATGCGATCACGTCGTTTTGCACATCTTCCAGAGATTTGTGGCCTAGGACGTTGGGGTAGGACGTCACGTTGTAGGGCAGATGTCGGCAGTAAGAGAGCTCCAGTTTGCTGCACTTTCTGGGAGGTGGTGCAGTCGTGGTTGGAGGCAAAGTGGACACCGTGGTCTGCATCGACACCTGACTCCTCAGAGCGTCGAGACTTTCCTGGACCTCGATGCTTTTCGGATCCACCGTCAGATTCCCGAGGTATTTCGGATACTCGGAGGTAATCTCGCGTTCCAGGACGTCCACCACTTCGGGGACAGTTATCGTACGAAACAGGGGGTCGAATCGCACGTCGAAGTGGACCACCAGATCTCGACTCTCGGTTCTTAAATTAAATACTTCATGTAAACGCATGAACCTTGGATCTATGGATCCTGCATCCTCAACTGACTATAAAGATGGCAATGCCAGTCCATAATCAAGGGAAAAAAAAAAAAATAATCCCTCTGTTCGCTTTCTCTCCTTTCCGCTTGATAAGAATATCAACACTGCTAAATGCCCATATAAATTGACGTCCCCAATCATTGATTACTTCGATGCCATGATAAAATGCAGTAAAGTGGCATTCTCTGTAAAAAAAATTAATATCCTCTAATCTGTAATTTTTTCCACTTTATGTTTATCTACATGAAACTTCATATACAAGGTGTGTATAGATGCAAATTTATCCCGATTTTTATCAGTGAAGGGAACGCTCCATATATCTTACGTCCTTGGAAAAACTTTGTAAACTTTTGCAATACTTAAATTGCACTGTGCATACCAGTGTATGTACGAGGTCAGTCGGTGACAGTGATATGCTCCGATTTATCGTTCCTCCATTATTTTAATTAGCAAGGTCATCTACCGACTTTGACTCGGGGTTGGAAGATTCGCAATCGCGAGTCTTTCTCTCAGAATGATAACAGAGATAGGGAGAAAGCCGAGTAGAATTTTCCCGCTTGTGAAACGCTGCGGTGAGATCGCATCTTTTAGAGGTTGCATTGGAAAGTCCGAGCGATCTTTAATCGGATCTCTGCGATCTCCTTTCACGGATAAAAGATCCGATCTTAACGATCACTCGCGAACGATTGTTCTTGCTCGATTTAACGCGATCCTGACCGAAGCTAAGCCGACGAGATCCATCTTAACGGGAAATAAGCGAATCGTAAAGTCTTATCTCGAGGCGACATTGCATAATTGTTTCCGAGGGGGTACAATGGTTGCATTAGGTTGTTCTGTTGTTTCCTGCCAACCTATTTAAAGGTTAATGTACACTTCAAACCGACTTAATGCGCCCCCTTAGGGGGTTTAGTAGGTCATGAAATTTGGTTTACTTAAAGTGGGCTCAACAGAGAATTATGATAAAAAAAGGTTTTTACCAAGCCTCGGAAATAGCGAACTTGCGTTTTCCTTCGGACCTTGTTGTTCTCCCGAAATCACGTAGGTCGTTAACAAAATAATCAGTTTAAAAATTAATTCCCAGTCGCTACGAGGCATTTGAAAACATTTCTATCTTAAGTTCCGATTAAAACGTTAAATGAAACAGTATGTATAATATAAAAATTATCAACGCCGATATATACCCATCAAGCGCCAGGATTTCCGTTCCCAGGAAGGACAGCTTCAAAGGACTTCGTCGGAAAACTAAATTCAGTCTGTCTCGATACTCTCTGGATCGAATTCGAAAAGCCTCAGTGGATGGATCGGCGAGTTCGGATGCAAAGGAGTCGCCCTCGATCACTCGGAAAGTCGCAAGGAAAATCTGATCTCCACCGAGGTCCGCCATCAAGAACGTGTCTGAAAGTAGAAAGCATGAAGTCTGAATGAATTCTCAAAGAGGATTAAAGAAAGCAGTTACTAAAGAAAAAAAATAAAGCCATTTCTAGGGGACTCAAAATCCTCCCCACGCAGAAAAAAAAGAATTGTCAATAAAATTGTCCAAACTGAAACAAACGAGTTCGATAAGAACTATAATTCGGTTTATTGGATCGAAATGATTTTTTTAATTTTTAATTAATTAAGTAAAGTCGATCGAATTTTTTTAATGAATTATTTTCCTTTGCGTGGTCGTGCTTTTCGGGGAGGGTAGTCAGAGCGGAATTCCTTCCTGCGAGAAAGGGGTTTCCTCCTCCTCCCTAGCTGCGTAGTCGATATAAACGGTCTCACGACTCTAGAATAGATGTCGTGTCTCACGAAAAGGTGGCGAGGTCGAAAGGAATAGGAAGGTCTCCGAAAGTCGGCCAGTCGGTCGCACCGTTAGCGAATCCGTGTCGGGAGACCTGGATGGTCTCCGGGCGCATCGCGTTCTCGACTCGTAGGTGCTCGGGCTTGAAAGAGCTCTCAGGTCTTAAAAGCTGCATGCATGGGTGCACCGACGCGTGCACATGCAACCGAGTGTCAATCGCAATCGCAGCTCTCAAGCCCGTGCACACCGGGACCGTTTCACAGCTTGTTAACCCCCCACAATGCGTAATTACGCGAGAGGTTCGTAACCGCGTCTCCGACTGCGACAATTGCGGTTTTCCGTTTCACCGGCGCGAGATACGAAAAAGCCTGTTAAGTAAAAGTTCTTCGCGGCATTCTTGGGAGTAATCCTTGTAAGGGACTTTTTTCCGCACCGCGCGCCGGTAACGCGGAAACTGGGATTACCGCTCGCGCTGCGTGCCGATTAGTCGTGGACGGAGGTGCCTAGTTTTTCTTCTTCCTGCTCGACCGATCGCTCGCTTGAGCTCGTACGATTTCTTCGTACATACAATTTAATTTAGTATGTACGTTTTGAGATTTCTGCGAGGCCGGTTTATTCATTTAATGGCATTATTAATGCACGTATCGCTTAATAGTGGAGTGAGGATGGCTCCGAGCTATCAAGGTGTTCACTTACATCCGAGGTAGATGGAGACCCCGGAGAAGAGGAGGAAGAGTAGAAAAGCGGCTAGGACGCAGCATCCGCATCTGTATTGGCCCCCCAGCTTCCTGGTGAACCGGATGTCGCTGTCCGAAGAGAGAATAGAGCTGGGGGTCCCAGCTCTGCTGAACCTCCTCGTGCTGACCGTGCTCACGGATATCTGCAACCGGAAAACAATTAAATCCCCTCGTCGGGAACGAACGATGAGTAAAATCGGTCTTGGTCATCTAAAAACCGAAAGACCAGGACCAACACTCAAGTATCCAAGACCAAAATTCGAGCATCCAAGACCATCCTCGATCTCTTTTCTCGCGATTGCTCATCACTACCAGGAATCCGCAGAAGATTCTAACGTCTCATCAGAGAGTCCAGGAAGGCAATCCCGAGGACTCGCCTCCGCTCTAGCCGCAGCCTGGGAAAGGTGGGCGTCGTCTCTTCGATGGAATTCTGCAACTGCGACTTTTTTATTCCTCTCTCTTCTACGAAATAAGAGGACGTCGACCGCGGGAGCGTTTCACCGTGGCGAGGGGATCCTCCATTAATTGGATTTTTGCAATCCCTACGGATGCGACGGCGGAAACGGAACCCGCGATTGCCGGGCCGTAGATCTTGCGAGATCACGAAATGGCGACGATACCCCATAAAACCGAATTACCATAAACGAATCCCCGGATCACTTTCCGTGCCCAAAAAATTCCTATCAGAAATTGGACCGACCTAATCGATCGTAATGACAGTCGTTACCGCCCGTCGACCCTGCACCTGTAACACCTTTGCACCTGTAGCTCGAGCGTGTTTCACGCTCAACGCGTGAACAACCGGACACCTGATTTACGCGGAAGGAACGCCGAGAGAACTGGGTCGGTTCTCACATTTGTACGGCATTCACTCTTACTCGAGCAGGACCACGTTTTTCCTGATGAAGTCTCGAGTCGACAGAGAAGGAGGCGCCGAGGCGAGTCGATGGCATTTTCAATCTCGACTGGGACGAGATTTGGAGCCCCTCGAGGCGCGAGGATCCTTTTCCAGGATCCCAGGTGAAGGTGTCCCTGGCAGAGTGACCTTTAAGGACTCTCCTCGAGTATTCGTGGGCAGAGGTGCAATCCTTCCGTGCCCGCCGGAGCGTGAGCCCACGGTAACATTTACACGGGGGCGTAGGCCAGGATTACGTCTCCGTAGCGTGGACTGGCTAAAACGGAAGGGAAAAGTGTACCCGGGCACGTAATCCCGATTACACGGACGCTTGGTGCTCTGGAACTGGAGCAACCAGGAAAAAGGTTGTGCCAGACTATTGGAGTCGCAGGGAAGATGCAGGACTCCCCAGAGCGATCAGGTGGAGGGCAGGAAAAAACGTCCTAGGAGCCAAATTTGAGGATTTGGACCGGCTAGGAGGCGGTGCAAACCGTCCAGGAAGAATCGCACGGCTCCGAATTACGTAAGGAGTGTGGGACTGGATTCGGTGCAGTTTCTAATAGAGATCCGGGGCACAATGGAGCGATGAAAGGACGAAAGTCTCGCGGTTCGTTAGCCTAGGGTACAGGAGACTTCGCTCTCCGGTGGTCTCGTAGCCTCTGGGCCAGTTCAATACCCTGAAAGCCAGCTCTGGGCCAGTAATTTCACCGACTGCGCGGAACCGTCCACCTTCCAGAGTCTACCTTGGTTACCTGAGTTCTCTACCTGGGGCCTTTAGATCATGCTCGTTCCCCGCTCTCTACCGCAGCTCCTGGCCCCCTGGCTTTCTTTCCTCGGATACATGCACCTCGATTCTTTCTGTCCCGAGGCCTTTGGGTTTCGCAACCTGGAAAGGTCGGCAAACCCGAATGCGTTCCTTCGTCGGCTGGGAATTTCCTCAGGCTAAGGTGGGTCTGGCGAAAGAACCCGACATTTCTCCCCCGCCAGGAATTTCACTAGGAGTATTGGAAGGGAAGAGATTTCCCGGCCATGGACCCAGAATTTCCTCGTTTTTTTACCAGCTAATTTGCTCAGGCTAATTCTTTAAGGGATTCAAGCAGAAAGTGGTGGTCGAGGACTCCCCGATAGATTCCAAGCGACCGACCATGAACCGACATAAGTACTCGTCCTCGAAGAAGTGCTAAACGTTCCCTCGACTTCTTATACAAAAGTGCTCATCCTTGAAGAAGTGCTAAACGTTCCCTGGACTTCTTACACAGAAATGTCATTAGGAACCCCATCGGAGAAAAAAAAAAAAAGGAGAGGCAGTCGACGACTTCCCGACAGATTTCAAACGACCGACCATGAACCGACAAGAAAGTACTCATCCTCGAAGAAGTGCTAAGGATACCCTCGACTTTTACGAGCCCCTCTCGTGGACCTTTCACGAGGGCTCCTTTATGCTGCTCCGGTTGGCTCCCTCGACTTTTGCGAGATACGCTAATGCAGGATCTACCGTTAGTTGGGCTTCTACTCTTCCCCAAAGAGAATAATTCAGACACGACCCTCCGAGTGCACGCACTAAATTGCACCAGGCTCTGACCGTACTCGAAGAACGGCCATAGCGGCTGTTATGGTCGTAAAGAGTCGGTACTCGGTTGATCGCTTCGGAAACGGCTCCACCGGTACATTCTTCCTCCATAGTTTCTTCGAGCTGGTTTCCCCATAAAACACGTTTTTCTCGACGATACTCCGAAATCGATCCATTGAAGAAATTCGCCCAATTGACTTAATTTCAGAAAACGCTTCCATCGAGTTAACCGCATGAGTACGTCGCTGTCACCATAAGACTTCCTAAAGAAATATTCCAGATCATTTAAAAAATGCTAAGTTCAAAAAAGAAGTCGTAAAGCATTTGGAAATAAATCCGTATCTCGTGTACCTGAGTCTCGAGCACCGCTGTGAAATTTCTAAATGTACCTTGAAGACGCATCGGTATAGTACATTACGGGTATACTATTAAGTATACTATTAACAGTGTCAAGAGTTACTGCCTGAATCCTTCGCAGATTTTGGGGAACTGTCGAAGGTCCTGCTTACTTTTTAGCCCCGTCTAAGAATTCTAGAAGCCGAACAAAGAGAGCGAGCGAGGAGAGGCTCGTTCCCCCTGCAGGATCCAGGAATCTGGAGATAGTTGGAGATAGTTGGGGATAGTTGGAGCTGGATTCTGCCGATGGTGAAGTGTATGTTAGTAAGCAAAGTAACGGTACGAGATTCGAGCTGATGCCCAACCCACCAGCCCAGCCCAGATAATACGTCAGAGCCTTCCGTTCAGCCTAGTTCCTGTTTAGAGTTAAAATTATGGAGAGAAACCAGTGGACCAACTAGCACCAATCTGTGAAGAAGGCCACACTGGGAAAAAATTCCCAGCTCCAATTATTGGTCATTTCGATGCGACAATATCTAATGCGGGGTAATATCGCATTTAACGTCTAAATTTACCTAAAAACCTTAATAACTTTAACTTGATAATTAGTATCCTATCTTAATTCCGACATAAATGTCTCCAGGATAATCGCTGATCTCTGAACTCTCCTAAAGGATCCTTCTAACGGGAAAGCTCGTACGCAGCTTCGGCTATACAGGCCACTTTCACCATCGCCATCGAGGCTATTCCCCGATGACGTTATCCCCGGAACACATCTCGAGTCGAAGTAACAACTCGATGACCGTGCCCCGAAACCGAGGTTCCTAACGGGAGAGACCATCTTGGAGAAGTCCTCTCTCAAGGCCGAGGATAGGAGCAGCGACCTGGCCGACCCACTAGCCTAGTTAGTCTCCTCCAATTATCCCAATTACACCAATTACCCCGGTAATCGTGTCGGAAAGGATAAGCAGAGGTTTCGGAGGCAACGACGACGCGGAAGGTGCGGCATCCAGGAAGCGGATTTTCTCACCTTGGAGTCCCAGGAGGTCTTCCTCTTGTGCTCCGTCGAGACCGTCATCTTCGTTCGCCGTTCCTCCCGGAAGTCCCTCTAGGAGTGTCGCTAGATCTCTGATTCCTCTCTGAGAGAATTTTCGGAGCTGGTCCAAGGCATCGCGCGAGATGACTTTCGGATCAGCAGCTCATCGGAGGGACGTGGAGAAATCTCACGAGTCACTAGTCACTGCACGGAACGGAAACACTTGCGGCCATCATGAGCATCTTCGTACAAGTCTGCAGAACTTTCACGGGGGGATCTCTTTCGAGTCCCCTAAGAGGTCATTAGGACCTCTCAAGAGGCTCTACGCTTTTTATCGGAGGATGGAACTCTCCGAGTCACCGGATGGATCTCCAGGATGATTTTCCAGCACTCCTCGCGGAACTTTCTCCCGTGCGAAAGTTCATTACCTAAAACAGATGCATAAATACTGGCTCAGAATCGAAGTCCTTACCGACTTACGAGGATAATAATTAGACCCGAAATTTCGAAGAAACTGGAATTTTCGTATCACTATTATTTATTACTTTATCACAGCTGATTGACTTCTCGGACGAGAAATTCGAATGAACGAACAGGAAAGAAAAAAAAATACATTTACCCCATTTCTGCTGATATTGAGACACAAAAATGAGGGTATACGGTAATTAACTGTATAAGAAAAGCGTTTCACTTTTCGAATCGAGTCCCTTTCATAACACGCGAACTTACCCACCTCGCACTACCGTGTGATAAGAAGTTTCCCGCGATTCGCTTGTTAGATAACAAATCGGAATTAAGTAACACCAAAGAACGCGTTTACGGGGGTTCTGCTGATATTAATTGTAGGTACAAAATTGAGGGTTTACAGTGATTGGCTATAAAAAAGAAGCGTTCCACTTTCCTGAACGAGTCCCTTTCGTAATATGGGAATTTGCACACTTTTTTTTTTTATAAAGGATTTACGAACGATAGTGCCATAAGAGGTACTTGAAAATCCCGCGCGCACTTATGGATCGAATGTGATAAGTTGCCCTGATAATTTTCTCCCTCCGACCCCCGGTTAACTTGAAATCCGAGTCTCGGGACATCCGTCGAGGATCGCAGAAAATCAGAGACACGCGACGCAAACCGTGAGAGACAGCAAAGACAGGGAAAAACAGTTCGACCTCTTACGACGGCACCGTTAGAGAAACCGCCGGTCCTGACTGTCGGCGAATAACAGAACCGACTCCCCTCCTGGCAACCTACCAGTTTTCTTAACTCATTGGTATTATCTTTCAGGAAACGGATCTCGCTCCTTTTTCCGCAAGGACCACGCACATACGGAATCTAGACCGCTGTACCGCTACCAAGATTTCCCTGGGATAGACTTTAGCTCGTTATGTCGAAATTTGTTAAAGGGGTTCTTGAAGTCGGGTCATGATAAAAGGTCGATCCAGACATGTCCCTGATATGACAGTAACATTCGCCGGACACCGAGACGTCGAGAGGAACGAATTTTTTTTTTTCTTCTCGTAAAAGGCAATTCTATAATGCATTAACAAAGGTCTTTAGAAAGGATGAGTCTCGTCCGCAAAGGGGGAACAATTGAATCTTAAAGAAAAAAATTCTCGCTCTCTTCGCACTGTTCAATATCCCTCGCGGTACGAGCGCGTCTGAATTTACGATTAATTATTACCGATCGATCGATCGGTCAGTTTGGGTTCACCGAGTGGCGCGCAAAAAGGAAGCACTCGCTTTATTTGCACTGTTAAAAGTCCCTTACGGTACGAATATGCTCAAATCAGGCTTAAATAGGCTCGTAATTTCCACAATCTCGTTCAGGATTGGTAATTGCGATCGATCGATCGGCCAGTTTGGGTTCAGCGAGCCGAGTGGAGTGCAAAAAGAAGCACTCGCTCTCTTAGCTCGGCTCGAGATCGGGCTGCAGTCAACGAAAGAACTGCCTCGGCAATTTCTCCAGCGAAGGAACGGGCGATCGGGCACCGGTATAAAACGGGGATTGTCGTGCCACGAAAACAGGAGTGGCGTGTATATAGTCATTGCTCGCTTGTAGATGCACTTTCACGTCTTACCGGTTTCGAGTCCGGTGCAGCCGTTAGACTCGAGAACGGAGGACGCTCCGCGGGTCAACGCGGAGGTCTCTGCAAGGACGACAAAAAAGGAGAAATTACGAGCGACCTCTGTTAGAGTTGACCCTTCGGGTCCCCGAACGAATTGAAAAGGACATACAATCAAGATAAAGGGATGACAAGCCTGAACAATGCCGAAATACATAAACGCGTCACCGCTGCGAGCCACGAATCAGTCGCCAGTCCGAAAAATTGGAACGGGAAGAAATAACAATTTGCAAAAATTAGAAAAAATTCTCAAGTCGTTCTTTCCTTCCACGGGAGTATATTATACATTTTCTAGGGGCTGGAATTTATTTTCGAGCTCCTGCTGACGTTCACCGCCATTTTTCCCCGGTTTAAGCTTCCCGACGAAGAAGTGGAGTTCCTCGGCACGTTTAACATGTTCTTCTTTTTTTTTTCTTTTTTTTTCCCCGGCATTTCTATTCTCTTTTCTTGCAATTCGGTTACCCTTGGCACGGCAGAGGGCCTTGGAAAAAAGATACCATTTCACTTTGTAGGCCGATCGCCGGGCGCGCTCGGAGGCCTCCTTCGAGGTCGTGATTTCAATCCCCGGGGGATTCCTTTTTCATTCCTCCACCTCGGTGGATACTTTTATCTTGATTTACGCTCTTTTATACCGAGTTCTCTTTTTACGGTTTACCGGTTTTGAGCCCCGATGGGGCTCCGAAGATGGCGAGCGATCCGCAGACCCAATTAACGCGAAGGCCCCCTCGAGGTCGGGATTTTTATTCGCCGGTTGTTTAATTAGTTAAGGGCGTTCAAGAAATCCCCAGGCATGACGAGAGGCTGGGAGAGTACCGAGGTGTCTCGAGAAAAGTGAGATCCCCGATCAGCTCGGAAATCCTGATTTATTTGAAAGGAGCTTTCGTTTAACTCTTCCTCGGAGAGGGGTCCGAGCCTTCTCCGAGGCCTCGACTTCTCGGGAAGAATTCCTGACAGAGCAAAGGGGAAACCGAAACGGTACATTTCGACCGAGTCTCCTGGACTGCCTTCGTGAAATATAGGGTTACGCCGACTGTCAAGTGATAGTATGTAATTCCGTACGTGGGTAGCCGCAATAGCGTACGCAACGACATCGCGTTCCTGACATTGGTCGGCTCCAGAAAAGGAACCGAAAACCGCACCAAGGCACATCAAACCTCTCTTATATTTGAAATATTTGCAAAAGATTTACTATAAAATAATTATTCTTATAATTCCCGTCCAATAGCTCCACGTGTTTTCGTTATATACCGTCGCTGCAGAAGTAATGCCGTTTCTACCGGGTAACGCCACGTGTAAAAAACGGTCAATACTTATGCCTCGACCGAATGCAATCCCGACATTGCTCTTCGAAGCCGAAAACCCATACTAACATCAGCACATACCCACTTGGGATTTAATCCACTAGTCCCTAGGTCCCCGGTGTACTTTCTTCGGGCACTCGATAAAGACTGCCGAGTTCCCCTCTTTCGGGATTCTACGTATCCGTCTCCGGAGGGTCGCAGCTGTTCCCCATGCCGTAAGGGGCAGGGTGGCGGGTTGGGTTCTTCCTGGAGGATGCTTCCGAAAAGCCCGTCTCCCTCCGTGCAACGAACCGAGAAAAGAACGACCGTTAATCCCCTCGCGTTCGCGCGTAAATCGCGTGCGGTACCGCCGCGAGTCGACCGGCGATTAGTCGACCTGGCGGCCACCGGAGCACGTTGGAGAACGCGCCGCCCTTCTCCAGAGCCGAGCCAAGCGCTCCTGGCCGAAAGGCGCAACTGGGTCGCACCGCCTTCCACTCTGGTCTAGAGATTTCAGACTTTTTTTTCTTCTTCTTCCCCGCACGGTGTCCCCGGAATCTGCCACTCCAAGGCGGCATACAAATGAGCGTGAAACGGCCTCTCGTTGCACCCAGGTCCGAGGGTCCTCGATATGCATCAGGACACCTGTCGTTGGTAGGACGCCACCTCGAAGAGACTGCAGGACAAGGGCGCTTCCTTCAGGCTATTCTTCGACATCCCATAAGGGGATATCACCTAATCAATTCTTTACCGAGTCGTTTGAAATTTACCCACGGGAACGTATAGACGATAAGGAAGGCTCGGACTCCCGCGAAAAAATTTTTTTTCTTTTTCTTAATCTGTTAAAAAATTTCGGTAAATCTATTATAATGGAATGTCACGTCAGGACTTTCATCGGGGAAATGAGTACGTATCAAGTTTTACGATTTCCCGATTTTTCGAATTCCAAACGAGTCGGTACATCCTGCCCGCTATCTACATATGTAAACCTACGTGTACAGAATGTTTGGCACGAGATGTAGATTAAATTTGAATTATCGCGGGAGGGCAGGTATTTTTAATATACAGTGCAGGTGATACGGTGGCCAATAGGTGTGCATCGACACGTGACAATCGTGACCACGTATCAGGAAGTTAAATTAGACGTTAGAGTGATTTTATCACAGGTGCAATATGGCGACGCATAGGTATAAGGATGATTGCAGCTCGTGTAAAATTGCGACATGAAGCTAATGCGAGGCCAATTTGAAGGAAACCCGTCTATCCGAGTTCTACCGACTGTCAAGTGACACGAGTCTAATCCACCACCTGCCCACGTGGATGTGCATACACAGAATATATATGTATTTAAAAATGCATCTCAAATTTGAACTACCCTAAGAAAACGTTTTCAGCACACGTCGCAGGTGACATGGCGTCAACATACGTGCACCACTGGTACAAACGACGTTAATACCGCGGCGGTTCATCCAGGAAACGTCTGGGTCAGGATTAGACCTCCCTTCCGAGTGACGGTACTCGGTCGACGTAAATGGCGCGCGACTCAACAGGTGTACCGGTAATCTTTCGGTCGAGAGTTCGTAAGTTCAGGACACCACGAGTGGCAGTGTACATACCGCTAAACACGCACCTGTTCCCCAGCCCTGTAGCATCCTTAGATTCGCGTACAGAGCCCGAGAACGATAATCAAAGGGCAAACTATTGAGTCCCGCGCCAAGCGCATATCACACCAGTCCAACCTGTCACCCGTTCCAGCAATTCTAGGGCGCACACCTCAACGGTTGAATTAATTTTCACGAGACCTCGGGGGCACGTGAGCCTTGAACTGTGTAACGGGATTATAGACGGCCGTCTAAATATCGAGTCGCGTAGCTAGTAGGAGCTCGACGGCGTCATTTTTAAATATACCTCGCCTTGACTGGCGACAAGAGAAGCGAAGAGGTAATAAGACTGGTTAGCGTATAAAATAGGCTTTCTCCCGATCGAGCCTAAGCATTCGGGTGATCCACGTCGGCATTACTCGTTACTCGGTCACTTTATTCGCAAGGACAATTAATATATACGATATACATATACATGTGTGTGTACGAATTACGTGTCGCTTAAGTAAGACTAAATATTTTTCCTCTCTCTCGACGGCGCGACCGAGTAAATAAGTGTCCGCGCTTCTTGTTTCTCTTAATTTCTTCTTCTTCTTTTTTTGTCTTCTTTTCTCCTCCTTTCTTATCTTTTTACTTCTTTGTTCAAATCACTTAACCCCCCTCTCGTTCTCTCGGGAGCGGCCTCACTTTAGTTCGCGCCGGAGCTAATCGTAACGATATACAAATTAAAGGTTACTACCCTGTAAGATGCGTAATGCGAAGATTCGATATCGTGTATATTCATATTTGTAGCGTAATTGATACTCGAACGACACTAATAATGGTTCGTTTCCTCGTGGAGGATTGTGTTTAGCGTAGATGTAAATGCATTACTCTAGGCGTTTATGAATGATCTCCCCGAGACCTCGGATTGTACTCCCGTCATTGTCTTCGATGCGAGATTGACCAAAAAGAGAGAAAAAAAAAGGAGAAAAAAAAACCCTAAAAAATACACCAAAAGGTTCACGGGACAAAAAGCTCTCGGAGGCGATTCTCGAAATGGTAACCTACATCGCGGTGACGTAAAAAAAATGGGGAGGGGCAACAAAAAACAAATATATAAAATTCTTCAGAGATCGAACTCGTCGCGGTGGATCTTCCCGAGATATCGCACGGCTGAGATTGGTTAATGATAATCTCACTAAAGAAACGGCACGACCGACGACTCTAAAAACTATACGGTAAAACTGTATCCGAAATAACATGCTACACCGACGGAAAGCAGTCTGCGCACGATTCTTCGATTAATCCCTCTCGACTTTGATTATCTATTTCAACTAAACCTTATCCCTAGGTGGACCAGGATGATTCCGCCAGCCCGGCAGAAATTGTCGCATGAAAAAACGGAGATACGATACACGGCCAGCTGCGACAGTCCGCAGGCATAGAGAAAGATGGACGTCGCACCAGACATCGCCGACATGTCCGAGGGTTCGACGCACTCTCGGCGCTGTAAAGAGTGTCCCGATTGACGTTAACAGGGCTCTTTAAAAGCGGCATACCCATCCGATGGCCGTAAAGAAGCTGTTAACCATGACGCCGAATGCCTAACAGCGTAGATAAAATGAGACAGAAAAAGGATGCCGAGAACAATCCGAGGCTCGAGGGCTGCTGCAACGCCGATCGCGTCCGAAGCCATCAGGCTGTCGCAACTGGCCGGGTATAGCGCCGTTTATCGGTGCAATTTCTGCTGGGCTGACGGAAGAGAAGTAAATCCGCGATAAAACGCGTCGTCAAGGGATCACCCGGGAGTTAAATTAAACCTCCACCGTAGACTACTTTCCGTCAGTGTCGGATCGCCCTCGTCATCTACTCCCCCTACAAGATCAGCATTTCAGCGTTAAGGGGACGTGAAAGTGGCACCCGAAAGGCTCAATCATTCCCGAAACTTTCCTACGAACTGAGTGCATCCAATCGCCCCAGACATTACCACGTGAGGCTACAAGGAAGACCCCGACACTAGGGAAATTTCATATTTTTCATAAAAAATTTGGAAAACAAGAGTGAACAAATTTTTAAAAAATTGAAATTCTATGGGTGTCGGGACTTTCCATATGGCTTCTGTATTCGCGTCGTTAAGTTTCAAGCGATTCGGTATACGCGGTTCGGAGGATAGCTTGATAAACGAGACCTCTTTGACGGCACCTTCGCGTCGCCTTAAGGTTAACGGCTTCTTCTCTCAGACCCTCGGTAGCACGAGGTCCCTACCAGCAGACGGGGCTTTCAGAGAGCCCTGTAAGCTCTATCCGTCCACATGATCCATCGTCAAAAGGACATCGAGCGGATCCCACCGAGACCGTCCACACATCACGTCGAGCCGTTTGAAGGGAACGCTCTTATTTAGGTCCGTCGACTCTTCAGTCCCGGCCAAGAGTGGCGCGCTCGTATAACGCGAGCTCGATCGATGAAATCCCGACCGGACCTAGGAAATGACGCAAACATTCGCAGACCCTCTTACGTGGTAAGAAACGTAAAAAATCGTAAAACTGGGAGGCGAGAGGTCGCCTGCCGGCGACATCGGTGTCGGGACGACGCTGATCAGCAGACCCTCGGGGGTCTACAGGTCGGTGTCGTACCAGGCAGCCACCTGGTTGTTGTCTTGGGGCGGCGCCGGGAGTTCCTCCAGGTGGTCGAAGCTCAGGTCGTCCTCGTGGATCACGTCCATGGTGTCCATCGCACCGTACGTCGATCCACCCCCGATCTCTAGTCCTTGCATCGAGTCTATTGGTATCTGGTCATAACCTGGTCACAGAACGGATTAGAATTACTCCGAGATACGTAAAATCGTTAACAGGCGGTCTGGAGAGGAAATCGGAAGCAGAGCAGATCGCGCATAGGAAGGTACCGGAAGCGGATCCGCAGGACATCGTAATATCAATAAAGGACCACAAGGTTGAGTAAAAAGAACCCCGGGATAAAGTTTCATACCCCGGATTCGGTCCGACCGGCGAGATAATGGGATTTATCCCGAGATTTATTCAACGAATCCAAGCGATTCAAAATGGCCGCCAATCGGTGGGAGACCGCGAGAGCTCAAAGAGAGCGTGAAACAACGGCGTTTAACCGAGCCTGTTGGACTTAAGATAGAAATATTCATGATCTCTCGCGTGCACCGGATCGGATCGAGACCGAGCACCTCCCGGAGGGGCGCCAGGACGAAGAGATCTCCGGTAGACGTTTTTTTCCCATCCTCTTCGTCTTCCTTTTTCGCGGGAGACCCACGGAAATAGGCAGTTAGACGCTCGCGGGGGACTATTGATTTTTCAGCCTCGATAAACAGAGTGGGGAAAAGATGAAAGGCAGGACAAATTACAAGCCGCCGTCGGAGTTGCTTGATTGCATGCTCTTGTACGCTCGGCTGGTCCCCGCGACTTCCTTTACGCTTATCCAGAGAGAAGCGAACGGTTGCTAAGGACGCCTGGGAGAAGTCGAGATCTTCGATTCGACCTCCGACACATTTGGAGCATGCAGGGTCTACCATAAGAGAGAGGAAGAGAGATGCAAAAAGCCGCAGGGGACACGCATTCGAGAAGATCAGGCAACATCGGTGCAACATTTTTACGCAACATCGAGCAACACATAGCCACAGCAATAAGTAGACAATGAGCTTCACCTATGTTACTGCAAGACACTGCCGATAGCCAGTATTTAAATTAAACTCCTTCGGTTAAGCTGCTGTTGAAATAACACAGGGTTAAGTGTGAGTTAAGCCCTGAAGATAGTTAACGTTGGATTAACAGGACTCTAGAAACCGAGACAATGCCCATCAGTCTGGATTAATTCGACAAACGGAATGCGATTCCTCGTGTTAGTGAGGTTTATATCTCTGCCGATTAGTAGGGGCCAATTTTTGGTAACGTTCAGGATTAGCAGCTTTAGGAGTGACGTGATAGCACGTTAACATGGGTCAAGTTCGCCCGGTAACTTACCTTGAGGTTGGTAGCCCCGGCCTCCATGGCTGCTGTGTACACTAGGGGGTCCTTGGCCATACATACCGTCATAGCCTTGGTCGGGACCGAGCATGTCCTGGAGATTAGGTAGCACAACTTAAGGTCAACACAAAACTCGACTAGTCTAACAACCACTTGGACAACCCTCGTTAAGGTTCCTGGCAAGTCCTTTGACCAAATATCGTATAAAATCGCGCATAAATCTAAACGGAAAATAAATAGATAAATAAATAAAAACAAAGCAGGCACTCTAAGTGTCGACAAAGTGGTGTCTCGAGACCCTCGCTAGGCACCGTGGCTAAATTTACCTTGCAACTTGCGCGCACCCGGCGCGCAAAGAGATCCCCGTTAGGTCGTATCTCGTTATACTGAAAGCGAAGCGAACAAACCTAGTGCGTGATCACCAACAAAAAGATCTTGTTATAGAATCCAGCGAGGGTGGCGTGATATTTACATCGCTCAGGGGGGGTGGATTCTTTGAGCAGGAATAAACTGAGCCACGTCGCAAGCGGTGCTACTCTCAGGCAGGGTGGACAAATGTGATACGCTCAAATATGAAAACGTATAATGCGAAAAAAAAAAAAAAAAACCCTGTAGAAGACCAACATTCGATAACGCCGTTTGAAGTGCCGAAGATATCTTAGAAAATGGCAGCTGCCCTTTGGCCGCACTGACGCGGGTTATTAAAATGCTAGTCTTCGATTAAGGTGTAAATCCAAATCCTAAGTGACTATTCTGGCGCCAGTGGCGACACTAAGGGTGCATTTTCACGTTGCACGGGAAATGCAATCATGAGGATTATTCGCCACCGCTGGTATCGCATGATACCAAGCGCCGAATTACCTGAAGATCGGGGCCCATGCCGAAATCGGAGTTGTTCCACAAGTTGGTGTCTTCGCGGAACAGCGAATTAGTTAGCTCCATCGAGAGCCGCTTTTTGTAATCCTGAGGCTTGTCTTCGCTCATGCGGAATAAGACGGCAGCCGCGTAAGTCGCTACCCCCTCGTTCCTGGAATGCAGCAGTTCCGTCAGCGGCGCCGTGGCACCTTCCTGCTCGATCATCTCAGCGCCCTCTTTATCAGCTGCCAGCTCGCAGAGGACCCCAGCAGCGACGCGCTGTATGTTCTCGATCTCGTTGAACAGCAACTGCAGTCCAACAAGAAGAAATCGCAACGATCATCACCAATTCAGCGGTCAGACTCTCGTAAAATGCGGATCCTGTACCTGAACAAATATGGGGATGACGTTTTGAGCACGAATATTGGCTCTATTGTGCGATTCCCTGGCGAGGATGTGCAGTGCACCGACGGTCCCCTCCACGATTTCCTCCATGCGAACCCCATCTGCGTAGGCTCCTTGTGCTTGCTGGCTGCCTGTACTCGCCACCGAGGACCGTTGCTACGCATTAAATGAGAGTTTCCCCCCATGTTTAAACGGAATCGATGATACAGTGTATACTATAAAAAGGTTCAAAGGTAATGAAGAGTGAATAGCTACCCTCTGAGTGTCCTGGAAGGCACGCATCAGGAGCCTGACGAGATGATTTATGGCGCCGTGATCGCGCAAGGGTGCATGATTTGCCGGGCATAGAGCAAGATTCCTGATCAGCCCGATCACCGCCTTGACCAGCGGCCAACGAGACGGAGGATGTAACAATTTGACTATAACTTGGATGCCGTAATTCAGACGGACTGAATTCTGAGCCATCTCCGCGTCGACGTGGCGAGACGTTAAGTGACGCAAAGCGCAGACTGCCGGCTCCGTGATCTCTTCTCGATCACCAGCATTGACAATTGTGCGAACAAGAGCGTCGACTCCACCGACTTGACACACGGTTACCTAGAGTGACAAAGCAATCGCATTTTTATCCGGCGCTCCAATCTATAAATCTCAATTTTAGAGTATCCAGGTTCAACTTGCCTTGTTGCGCTGGTTGTTGCAGGTAAGATTCGACAAAATGCCGGCCGCGCAAGTGACGACGTTGACGTCGCTCGACGTTAGTACTTGGACCAGGCTTTGGAGAAGTCCCTCGAGTCCGTCAACCTTTGTGCCGGCGTCGGAAAGGTTGCGCAAGGTCCAGAGACAGTTCTGCACGAGTCGCTGGCTCGGATTACCGAGGTGCATCGCCAGGGCTTGCATGCCACCAGCTTCGACGATCGCTGGCTTATTGCTGGCGCACACCGACAATACTGGAAGGACGAAAGCATTCGTTTAAAATGTATCGCTTGAACTAGAAAAATTAATACCGTTTCTTAAGCTTCCGTAGAAAATAGGTTGAGAAAGTATTTTACCTTTGAGAACTCTAGAAGTCGTCCAGAGTAACTTCTCGTAATCGTAAGAGCGCATAATGCGCACGAGTTCGATGGGTCCCTGGGAAGCCAAGATGATGAGTTTGCTTTCTTGATTGCCGTATGCTAAAATCTGCAGGCAGTCGGTGACGATTGCCAGAAACTTGACATTGTTTCTCTGAAGCAGGGCTACCATCTTTTGCAACCCACCAGCCAGCCTGACCGCCATTTTGGAGCCATCCTGGTGGAGCAGGAGATTGTGCAATGTCGTAATTGCATAAAAGAGCACAGACTCCATCGGAGAGCTAAGAAGTTTGACGAGAGCTGGAATTCCTCCACTTTTGAAGATAGCGAGCAATCCTTGTCTGTGGTGCGACAAGTTGTGCAGAGTTCCTACAGCTGCTTTGGTGGATTCGAGATCATCACTGTTTGATATGGCTCGCACCAAAGCTGCCACCATTTGGGCGCTGTTCATTATGGCATGACGGGATGCTTCTTTCTTGGACAGCTGATGGACCATCATTGCTGCGTGAGATACGACCACTTGATCCTCATCATTTAGTAGTTTTATTAATTCCGGAATTGCACGCGTCGCCAGGTCGGTATCGTCCTGGTAATTGATTAGATTGACCACAGCGTGTTTTAACATCTGACTTGGTTCAGCCAGACGTTGAACAGCTGTTGGTTCGGCCGGGTCGAATTGTGTCGATGGAATTTCAATTCCTTCCTCCAGAGTCTCGGGGAACATAGCTGCTCTGACACGCTGAGACCGTGTGTGACTCAGCTGTTGATTCATTTCTAGAAAGTTGATTACACATTTTTGTATAACTCCGAATAGTCGAAACTACGAGTTGCTTTGAATTTCATGACGATTTTAACTTAGGTAAAGTAATCGATCACTGTTGACAGAAGTTTTAACAAGATCTTACCATCCACTTGATCCTGGGTGAAGCCTTGAGCAAAACCCTGATCCAGATCGAACATCAGCTGATCTCCCTCCATCTCGTCATCCTCCTTCCCGGATAACGAAGGAGCCTGAGTGGCAGCTCCAGAATGAATTCCAGAATCACCCATGTACGAGTTTTGCTGCCACATCAGGGTTTGTTCCTTTGCCGAACCCATGGGTAACCCGTCATTGGGACCCTGGTAGTTCCCGTGAGACACTGAAACAATAAATTCTCAAGAATCGGCTCTAACAATTAATAATTCTCACTAATTAAATCACTCACTGGGTCTGGACTGATTCGACGACATTTGATAACTCATGGCTCCTACGGGTGAATCTATCCACACCTGGAACGGAATACAAATCAGCCTCAATTCACAAGCAATACCTTCAACCTTCACCCGAAATCATTCACCTAGGAAATCAAACAAACATTAATCGGAGCAGAATTCACTGGGAGAGGAAAAAAATCAGTCCTCGAAATTACAATCAGCAAAAAAACCACTATACCATTTCCACAGAATTCCGTAAATATATTTCCAGTCAGACTGGCATTCATCAGTGTTAAAAAAAAAAAAATATCAACGCCGTCTAGAGCCTCACTACACGGGGTATAAAAAATACTTTCAGATCCCCAAACACAGTGCGGTGTCCTTTAAACACATTACAGCCCCACACACAAAAAAAACCACGTCAGCCACCCCAGAAAAATCGGCCAAGAGTTCGTCCAGACATCAATTAGACGCGAGTTAGACTCCTATCGTCGCCGAATTCACTTCCACTGTCGAAAGGAGCACGTAGGGATGCACAGGAATAAATCATAAACGAGCCCTATGGCCGAGATAAAGGAGGCCCCCAAGTAGCGATCGAAACGTCGGCCTTGCGTATTTCACGGATTCCTCTCGACGAACACATAAATGGCGGCGTGGTAGAGTAAACGAAGGCGTGAATAAAAACGCGTAGGAGGGTTCGAGTTCGAGATGTGGCGGCTCGAAGGGACGCGGCGGACAACAAAGGGCCGGAATGCGGTGTATCGCCGTTTCCTGACAATCGCTGCTAAGCGTTACGTGCGCGGGGCGGAGAGGCGCGGGGTCGATGAGAGACATTGACACACCCAGCGTAAACAGCGAGAGGAGAATTCCGAGCGGCGGCCGGGCTCGCCTCGAGATTTCGGACTTAATCGGCGCCTTACCGCAAAATAGCCAGCCGAAGGTGCAGAGGTTTCCGGTGGTCGAGCTCCGAGGGGCGCAGGTGACTCGGGAACCTTGCGCTCGATTCACCAGCTCGGTCCTTCCTTCCCCTTCGTTACCTTGCACCCAGCTCGACTCGACCGACTAAAGATGGCTGCCGAGTGACGCGCCAAGGGCGCCGCCAGCGCCGCCACCGACGCCCGACCGCTCGGCGAACTAACCACTCGGCTGCTCCGCGAACCCTCACGACTTTTCCCCGCTAAGGTTGAATGGCCCCGAGATTTTCTTGTCCAGGCATTTTCAGGGAAAATCTGCCGGGACAAAGGAACGGTATGGGCAGGTGGGAAGGTTCGAAGGCTTGGAAAATTCTGCAGCAGGTTTTGGGGGTATTTAATGTCCTTTTTCGTTTTGGGGGATAATAGGGTCAATTGATTTTCATGGGGGAGGAAGGATTCCTGGGGGAGAGATAACAAAATGGGTGCTGATATACAAAGACTAATTTGTAGAAACTTTTCGACGGAGGAATTGTTGAGTTTATTGGCGCCTTCAGATATGACAACTATCTATACTGGGTGTTCGTAGGGAAGCACACACCCGGGTGCTGTAGTAAAGAAACTCTGTACTCATTCGAGAGTCATGAACTTGTCGGAGACGCTACCGGAGTTCTCGATATTCTGGGCGCCTGGTGAGGCGGCAACCAAAATGCACGTATGACGGGCGGGAAGTCGACTTTCAGGCGTGACAAACTCCGGTCAGTGACCATTAAAGAAAGTACCAGCAAGGGCGGGAAATTAATTTCAATCGAGGAACGGCGCTCCCGAGTCCGGAGGTGGTAATTTTATAATGGAGCCGCGTTTCACATGCGCACCCGCGATCAAGTCCACGCGAGTAAATCGTCCGGCATGGACGGCGCGGCCGGAGCTGCACGCTCGGGAAATAACGGACATTGGGCTCGCAAAGTAAAATATACTGGCAGTTTGGCAGATACGCCATTCGTTATCGACTGCGCCCACACGCCGATTAATTTTCGGATGTGTGTGATGCCGCCGGCTTCCGTGGTAGGCTCCGTTGACGCGCGGCGCGTCGACAACGCTGGCGAGGAAAAAGTGCCAACCCTGACACTCCTCATTTCCGCCACTCGTAAAGCTTATAGATACATATTTACCGAGACAACGAACTAAATTTTCCACGATTTCCTTGGCCGGCTCTTAGTCTTACTCGTACAATAAGTACAACTGCGAGAATCGGACAACCAAATTGCACTTATATCCCATCGACGTGACATTTTCTGCAATTTTTTTAATTCAAGAATAAATTCAGTCGATTTGAGTGAGATTCATTGAATTGACAAAACATTTCCTCGGTACCGTTCAAACAAATATTCCCTAGATCCAATGAATCTTTCGTTCTCAATGTAGGTGATTAAGCTACTGCACGACTCAATTATTTCACCGTAACTTTCATGGCTTTTTACGTAGGGCCAAAAGAAACCGCCGATTCCCTAGAATATCTCCACGCGGCATAATTACGCGTTGAGTTATGACCGCAGGCTGAGACAATCCCTGATTTACGTCGAGTCTTATTTGAGGGGATACAGACCGCGGTCCCGATAAGTGTCCCCGATAATATGCTAATAATGATTTGTGGTGACGCGGACTTCCGCGTTTAATCCACCTAAACGCGCCACGGCTAAGGAACGGGCCGAGATCGTTTCTGGCCGAGTGCGGCGGAGATCCTGCGATTTCCCGATCTCGCGATCGCAGGATCGTCTTCGTTCCTGGGGCCTGGCTGGGGCCAGCGGGGGGAATCGGGAGAAATCGGCACGTAGGTTTGATTTATTCAGCTGGGTCCCCGAGTGCCCATCAGACGCGACCCACGCTCCATGAGTATCCAATGTCCGCGCGATTCCTCGAAAGGACCCGCATTGGTTATCCCGATGACCACACGGGCGGATCGGGGACGTCATCGAGATTCCTGGCGACCGGTCCGATGCACATCCTGTTCGAGAACAGAATTCCGGATCCCAAGACTGCAGCGCACTCCGGGCCGCCAGCACCGAATAAAATAGGACGACCAGTTCCCGAGAAGAAGTGCCGCAAGCCTTTCCTATCGTTGATCCAGGCATTTGCCACAGCGACTCGAAGAACCTCCCATCATTGATTCCAAGCCTTTGCCATGTCGCACGGACACGTGTCAACGCAACATGGCAAAGGCAACCCATCGTTGACTTTGCGTACAGGGGCCCCACCATATCTCCGTTGTTATTGCTCAAGTTGCCCTGGAATTTCTTGCCATCACTCATTCCCAACTCTTCGCCGATGGACCCCTGAGTCATCCCGGAGGTCTTCCTGGTACCCTGGCGTTAAATCTTGCGACACCTAGGGACACGCATTGTAAGATTTCTGCACGATTAAGCGGAGTGCGCTTTTAGGAGCTGCCTCTTTGAGCGTTGAATAAATAGGGAGGTCTCTCTGGTGCTCCCCGATACATCACGCCGTGCACCCGGGTGATAGATGCATCTGCTCAGCGCGGTGTCTCTCCCCACCTACGCGGTGCGCTTGCTGACACGAGCGTTTATGTCTACATAAATTCTCATTTGAAGCTCGATAATAAAGTAAGCACGCCGGGGGGACAGACACGGTGCTCGGTTCGGCGGGCACAAGGCCTGATACATAGATCACGAGGAAGCGGCCGAGAACCGGCGCGAGAGGAGCTCGTAGGGAGGGAGCCAGGGCTCCGGTATACATTTGCACTCGGAAGGTGTATGCGATCGCATGGAGGGCGTATATGGATGCATCTCTACGAGAATGCACCTCCACCCTGGGCCGACGTCACACGTGGGGCGGCCTCGCGTGTGCGTCTCCGTACACCGTTGCGCACGGCCAGTGCTTAATTATATGCATTCTCAGAATCTGCTTGGATCTCTCTCCACCTAATGCCCGTGTATTCTGCGCCGCTCGTGTTTGCCAAGGGGAGGTGAAACCCCCCTTATTTACTGCCCTCCGTCACATAATGCTCGGCCGGCCTCCCCATCTTTCGTCTCCTACCACGCCGGACTCGCGTCTCCGAGCTTCCACTTCGGGACCGACCTCTTCCCTCGATTATTAATTCCATTTCTGGGACGATCGGGAGGTTCGGATGCCTAACCGGGAGTTTCAGATGGCCATGACCAAAGTCGGTCCTGGTCTTGGAGCCTTGGGCTTGGAAATATGGTCAGGACCTCGAGTTTCATTTTTCGGCTAGACCATCACCAAGACCAGGATTAAAATCGATTTTGCTCGTCGCTAATCCAGTGGAAAGTCTAAATCCCACCGCGGACGGAGAGACGTCCCTCCGCTGGAGGACTCGCGCTCATCGCTCAGACTCGTCCGGCTCGCCCTGGTTTCCCGAGTTTTTCCCGACGGACGGCCGGAGGGATCCCTCTTCAAATTGATCCTGATCCGCGAAAGCACTCTGCAGGCCCTCTCACCTTCGGTGATTTCGGTCCGTCCCGTTGATTTGTCTCCGTCTGGGGAGCACCGGGGGACATCCGGCAGGCGGCCACCGGGTGATGAATCACGCATCGTTCCTCGTCGGCGTCTACGTCGCCGGACTACCCAGGTCCCGGCATCCCCTCGACATTAGTGACGTTAGCCGTGAGACTACTCCATCAACTGCGATCACGGGACCGGGAATGCAACTGCGAATCCTAGCGCCCCGTTCCCTCCAGTCCCAAGGGACTCCGATGGTTAATCCGCTCTTTTCCGCATTCGCGGATTCCCGAAGGATTTCCCGATCCCCAGGATTCGAAGATCCCTACCAATCCTGGAAAGAGTCCTGGAGATACCGCCGTTCCTAAACCTCAACGATTTTTAAAGCCTCAGTCATTTCTCAAATCAGTCATTTTTTTATTTCCACATGATTTCGAGCGTTAAAATCCATGATTTTCTGAATACCCACTCGTACCCATCCCTGAAGACACCTCTACCCTTGAATCTTTGAATTGGGTGGATCAAGGAATTCCACCACGTGGAGACGAATACAGGGATGATCGCTCGGTCCCATCAGGATCCACGACCCCTTCTGACGGCGTTATGGGGATCCTATCGACCGGGGGAGTCGAATCTTGGGGAAGGTCAGAGATCGATCCTCGGGGCGGACACACCTGCGTGTCCGCCGTGTCTGGGAGCCGCATAGAAGTGTCCCTCGCGTCGTGTGGGTGCCGGCTGACAGCTGCTATCGCGGCGGCTCGGATAGGTTATTGGAGGTCCTCAAATGGTATCGAACAAGGTTCTGGTGCACCGGTAGGGTACTCCCGGGACGAGGCGAGGACCGGGCGGGTGATAAGAGGGAACGGTCCCCTAAGTATCTTGGGAAGGCCTCACACTTCCATGCCGTGGACGCGCGCGAGTACACGCTAGTACACGGCCATGTCCTCGTGCGTGTGCTCGTAGGTATCTCCGGACTACTCGCGGCGGAGCAATAAGATACTGCAGGACGTTGGCCATCGCTGATGAGCCAACCCACACCGCGACAGCGACAAACAGGACAGCATCGGGACAGGACAGGACGCGCCGGTCGGTATCAGGACTGTAAATCCGGGATTTTATTCGCCCGGTATCGAGGTTTATAGTGTCCTCAGGCGGCCCGGTGTGCGCCCATGTGCGTGTGCAAGAGTTATGCCCGACTGTCGGCCGCCAAGACGTTTGCATATCTCCGGCCGCACGGCTCGCCGCGAGAGGAGACACCGAGAGATGCCGAGAGCTGCAATTCTGGGTCCGTCATCCTGTAATGTCCTGAAATACAGGCTTTATCTGCGTCGTCGCTTCGCCGACGTGGGTATTAACCGGCTGTCGTACGAATTTAATTTACCGGCCGACGGACCCGGCATTGCGCCGGCTTTTATCGGGCCCCGGGTATGCAGGACCAAGGATCGGACCGGCAACCCCCTTCGTGGGACCCTGCCCTGTATCCTGTGAATAAGGGATGACGGAACCGACTCTCGGGTTACCTCTCCACTCGACGTCTCCGAGGAGCCCCCTTGCAGCGCAAGGACCCCGCGAACACCGTTCCTGGGAACGAAGCTCCAAACTTTCGGATCGAAAGGGATGAAAGTATGAAAAAAAAAAAAAGATTGACAGGGCATAAGAATGCCGTTTAGGAAT